TTGTTTTCCACAATAAACGCTCATGGAATCACAAAATCTGACCAAATATTGACTCCAAGCAGATTTTTGAAATTATAATTTTGTAGACATTGATATTGTAATGAAGATTCTAGCAGGGATTATTACTGAAATTAATTACAGATTTAATACGCACTTCATTCAGCTCCTGCTGAGACTATGGCATCAAACCATATCAGTAATCTTTCCTTCATGTCACTGCTGCAACACAACGTAGCCCTCAAGCCAAACGTTGATTTTAAAAAGCTCAATAGAAGAAATAAAGACATTTTAAAATTCAGCATCATTAAAACCAAGGCTCATGTGTGAGGTTTGGAACAGACCAAACCTCACATGTGTGTGTCTGTGTGTGTTAAAGCTTCAGTCTGGCCGATCTGTCCCAGTTCTGTTCACTCCAATCAGACAGATTTACTCACAGTGTCTGATCATCAGACCGCTCGACAACTCCCTGGCTAATCTCTGCTACGGTAGTAAGCATTAGAGTTAATAAAGCCAAAAAGTGAGCTGCTTCTCACTGAGCATTTGGAATATGTTTAATAAAAGGTGATCATTTAATAAAGCTGCCTCTTTTCATACATACTGCAATGAGTCAAAATTTACAACTTATGACTAAAGATATTTAATTGAAACTTACTGGTGGCATTAACACAACTGTAATTAAACAAATGTCAATTTATGAGGACACAATAGAAAAAGCTTCTCTATGTTAACAGTTACACAAATTCTAACCTAATGGAAATGTCCAGCTTTATCATATTGCTTTGTTAAAAAAAATAGCATTTTAAAGTTTTAGTTATGGGGTAATACTTATTCATGCATTTATCTTTGAAATAATCGAAGCATTTAGTAACTGGATGTTTCAAAAGCAGTATGCCAAGATTCTTCTTCTTCAGGGCATCTGATTTTGTTTTCCCATAACAAGTATTTAAGTTTTCAAATATCTAAGGTTTCTTCCACATCAATAGTTTTCCAGTACTTCACCTAATCCCAGGCCTTGATTACACAACTAACTAATCAGAACAGTGAATAGTCAGCTTGTGCACACTTCCTGTGGCTGGAATGCTCCTCTGTAATTAGCCTCTAGTCTGTCAGTGCAGAGCAAACAGAAGCATCTGCTACTGGCTATTGGTGAAAGGCATCAGTGTACACAAGGACAGGGGGTGAACCGTACCTTATAAACACCAGCAACATTCAAAATAATCCTTAGATAGTATAAAAAGATGTACCAGGTACTTAAAAAACTAAATGCTCCCTGAAACATATTTTAATGAGCTATTAACATAAGAAATATTTGTCTATACCTGTATTTTATAGTGTGTTTTGTTATCACATTTATTGCATATACTTCAGTTCAAAAAATTACAAATGTAATGAAAAGAAAATATTTTTACAAAGCAGTACTTTTCCTTTTGTGTTATTAGCTGATAACACAAAACATTATTATAAATATAAAGTATTTCTAGATTTTCTCTTGGCAAAAGTCACACCAGATATAGCAATTAAAGTAATACACAACCTCAAACACATCAAAGCAAATTATTGCTTAGCTTCATGTAAGGAAGTGGAACAGGGTACAGGCATTTCATACACAAAGAACAGGAAATACAGAATGGCTTAGAAAGCCAAGAAATCAGCTAAAAACTGCCAGTATTTAGATTTAGATTGTTCTGCACAAATCGGTTTCTAAATTCTGAATATTCCAGAGAGTGGCCCTGTAGCCAATATCCAGCAGCAGAAAGAGCATAATTTTACTACAATCACAGTCAAGAAAAGCATGTTGGAGATTGGTCAACCTTGCTAACGTCTTAGTGCGATGCTCAGGAGGAGTGCAGCAGATGTCATGGTTAGACACCATGTTTGAAAGATAAATGATGGTTTACATCACCCAAAAAACACCACGTCTAAAAGGATACTTATAGGTGCCTACATCATGATGAGAACTGTTCTGGAGGTAACTCTTAGTCCGTTTTTTTAAGCAGGACCCTTAATAATAATTTTATAAGTGTCACTTTCAAAGACTTTTAATAATGTCCATCTTAGAAAGGATGCTGATAATTGTAAACTAATTACTGCTGAGTCATAGATCATAATTTGTACAGATTAATTGGTGTGCACTTTATCATTGTAATTTTCTAACTGATAAGCCAGCAGAAAAAAGTAGAGCATGCTGTTGAGACAAATTCAAATATTAGGATTGTCTTTACAAGTGGTAAGGGTCAGAGCGTGTGATGTTTGGGAGATTACGTAAAACGAATGTTTCATTGTGAGCCTGTTGACAAGAGACAGAGGGCGGGGAACTCAGGAAATGAGCTGAACTGGGCTTTGGTTGCACTCGCTAGCATCATGTGTCTTTGTTAACACGCCTTCTCCATGCAGGTGCTTGTGAATGGGAGAGTCCTCCGAATCAAAGGAGAGGCTACGTGAAAGTCCACACGTATTCCCTGTCCTCCCTGTGAGACATGTGACAACTGACACCACAGGCTCAGGGCAGGACGTGCAAAGAAAAGGACATTTGTAAAAACTTATCTCCATTCAAGACAGGCTCCTGGATCTTATGGGAAATTGTTTTAAAACAGATTTATTTAGTTTTTTTGTTTTATTTGATTTTATTCAATACACTCAAAGGCTAGGAAGTTTAATTTTAATTATCTAAATATGTACAAAGTATGTGATATGCGGTGCAATGTTACTTTGCCTAGCAGCTTAGCCATTTTAGACATTTTAGCCTTACTGGTCCTTGGTTTGCTATGACACTTATGTGTTATGATGCATTTCTTAAATGTTTCTTTCATTAAATTTTTACTGTGAAGTGTTTTGTGACTCCTGTTTGAGAAAGGTGCTATGCAAATACAATTTACTTTTATTTTATTATATTTATTTTATAAACACAAAGGAGACATGAATTTTAACAAATTTTAAAAATAATAAAATTGCATAAATAAAAACCTTAAATCAAGGCATATTCATCCCTCTTTGGTAATACTGAAATAAAATGACTTGAAACTAATTGTTTTTATATATTTAATAATTCACAGTCTGTCCCTGTGTAATTTATTTCTGAATAAATCCAGATGTAGTGTGAAGATTTCAGATATTTGGTCTAAAATATTGATGAACAGTATTATATATATATATAATACTATATATATATATATATATATATATATATATATATATATATATGTATATATATATATATATATATATATATATATATATATATATATATATATATATATATATATATATATATATATATATATTTTGCATGGAAGAACAAAGAAAAAATAATTCTCAGTCCCTAAAACATAATTAAGTTTGTGCCTGTGAAGTTCACAGGTATGAATAGCTTAGCGAGACACTGTGTATTCTAACGGTTTAAATTTTCATCAAATTCAACAGAAAATTCTTGTTTGTTAAACAAAACAGTGAATCCTTTGGGTGTGACGTACAAAGAAACTTCATACATGACACTTCACATTAGCATCAAACGCATCCAAGTCATCAGTGCCAGTGATGTGTAAGCTGTATGCACAGGACACACAGCTACCACCCAGCTGCATTTTGTTCATGAAGTCAGATTACATCATGCTGCTGAGAAGACTGGCAGGCAGACAACGAAGTTTGGCAGGGCAGCGGGAAACATCTGGGCTTCAACTGTGATTTTCTGTGACATGAGTAGCCTGGCAGCGAGGCCTGCAGACAGAGGAGAGTATCCGTCACTGGGCACAAGCCGTCGTGAAAGACCAAGCATGATTAGCTAACTTGGCATTTCTTCCTTATGACGACAGTTGCAACCTGAATGCAGCACAGGTCAGAGCAGAGGTGTTCAGAGAGATGTTGCACCCCCCCATCCTTTAAAAAGAGGACGATCCTGTTCTCACATCCAACATTACCACCCAGGGATTTCCATTAGAAAGAGTGTTCTACATATCAATCCCAGCTTTAATTAAAGAGCTGCTATATTCAAGGGGCCTTGGTGTGCATGCTGGAAGTACACAGGCTGCTGGGCTCTTCTCCATGAGTGGGTGAAACGCTTCATTTGGAAACCAGATGAGTTCATTGTTTGCAGGCTCAAAGCCTTTCATCTGTTGTTTTTGTTTTTATCCTTACCAAGTGACTGTCACCCTTTGGTAAACACTTGATCTTGTCATCAGCATCATTACTCATATGCTTAAAAAAGGTGACTCAATGCAGTTTTGTCTTATGTGGAAATGTACACTTATAAAATGCATCTGGGAAACATTTATTGTTTGAAACATGAATATAAATAATGAGCACCAGGCCATAAAATAACATTTATTTTTAGGTTTAGTGACACGCAAATGAAAAGGTGGAGAAGAACATTTCTACTGATCATTAATGTCATCTTAGATGATCTTTGTTTGGTCAGGTTAAATAGATATTTTACAGCAATAAAAGCAACAATATAATTTCTGTTATGATTGCTGCTTGGAGACATGGATGTTTCTGTGAAAAGATAGGTGAAAAGAAAATAACCTTTACAAAAGTTAGTCTTAAGATCAGTTTTAAAAAGAATAAAAACAGTTAATGGTGTAAATGTATATTTTTAAGAATTGTTAGAGGAAATCACCAGGCGTTGCACATCGATTGAGTTAAAAATCGATGTGCAAAAATAATCCAAGAATTATTACATCTTGGATTTATTTTTCCCCACTTCTCAGTAGTTATGCTCCAAAAAAAGTTTGGATTTTTTCAATATTTTCACTGCACGTTTATGCTCCAGCAAAAACATTTTAAACAAATTTACCAAGGGTGTCAATAAAAGTCTCCACCATCATAAATCCTCAATTACCCCCCGTGCCCTCCAAAAAAAACAAAACAAGGATGTTTGTTTGGTGTCCTATACTTTTGATTGAAATCATATCAGCCTACTGTTTACTATAAATTGTTTTTCATCACATCATTACATCAATGATTCAATAAACGGGACACATAAACTTAATAAAAAAAGAATTAAAAACTGTAAAACATGAACAGACCTTTAATTTTGCCAAGATAAGCAAATCATAGATAGAGTTATCAAAAGAAATGATAAAGTTTACCATTAATGATAATGTCTATCGCATGGAAATACAAATATTTAGAGAGGAAATACCAGCTGCTATAAAAAGCAGCAGGAGACTGAATGAGAGCTGAACACTGATCAGCAGGAGCCTCAGACAGGAAACTGTGTCCTCATCATGTCTGCCAGCTGTGGATCAGCCTCTGACAACGCAGCCTGCAGGTGCTGAAACTGTACAAGAAAAGAAAAGAGGAAGGGTGGAAATAACATGTTTATTTTCCACAGGAGGTGGTATGGTGGGACAGTTTGTCAGACTAATTAGACAGCAGGTCTAAAAGAAAACCTCTCAATATAAATAGCAAAAACAGGAAAGGCTTTCACTTAGATCATAGTAAAGTTATTTGTACAAGAGAATTTTCCATTAATTTGAATTTGGATCTTGCATAACAAAAGTTTATTCCAAGAAATGCTTAATGTAAGATACGTGAGAAGCCCATGTGACATCTCTCTCCAAACCTGTATAATTGTTAGAAATAAGCCTAAACTGACATTTTAATTTTACACTTATCTGTAATGTTTCCATTCAAATACATTAAAGTGACTTTCAGTGTCATCTGATACTCGTTTACGTTACACATGGCTTTTATAAACATCAAACTTTAAAAACTCATTTTTGATCAGTTTGATAACATTGTTGTGGATATATTAATATATGCTTGTAACAGTATCTGACTGCAGACAATAAAGCAAAGAAAAAAAGATTAAGTAATGCAAAAAAGAAAAGTTCAAATAGTAATATGTCTGAAGTGAGAACTTACAGAAGTCTTAAAACTGGGAAGCAAACAGGCTGCAGCTGCTTGACAAGTTTTCTGTGTCAGGTCGTCATTTTTTATTAAATCTGCAACTGTGTCCTATAGTGAAACAGTACAGAAACACAAGATCATTTACAATTATACAGCTATACGTCTATGATAATAGAAGAAGAAATTTAATTGGTCTGTGAGATTACCTTTGTAATATTAAGGCAAATGTCAGCTAGAAACTCTGAGGTAATCTCTGCAAGAGTCTGCAGCTGGTCATCATTTGTATTGTCTTTGTTGGAATCTTCCCTTTTGGACTCGCTTTGATGCTGGCACACCCGAAAGACTGACCCAATCAGAGACGGACCTGGGGGGGGTTAAAAAACAAGGTGAAGTTATATGAAGAGTAAAAGTCAATCTGGGATTAAGTCCAAAAAGACTTAAAAGTGGTGAAGCAGGTGGAACAGTGGAGATGTTTGGAAACTTACTTGTGTCGTTTCTGCTGCTCCACAGATCCTGGCATCTATAAAGAGCCTGCAGCACAGACAGCGCCTGAATTAAAATGCTTTTCTGCTCATGCAGGACAACTGGAAGATCATTTGGCTGACAGAGGTCCTCGCACACAACGTCACTAACAAACTCCCACAGTGGTTTGCCGGGTCCATCAGGCGCCGCTGGGGAAAACAATGGCGTAATGTCTTTTTTTAACTTAACATTTAAACATTGAGCCTCTTGAGACTGAAATCTGATTAAAGAAACATTACCAAAAACCTGAATGCCCTCCTCTACAGTGGTGAGAAGTTGGAAGATGTGAAGATAAACCTCCAGACCATTGGGACTCTCAGACCTGCGGAAATATAAAGATCAACATAACGGAATTTCACATGAACGTGGCTTTTTGAAGCTGCTAAAAGACAGGTCTGTTACTGCGCAGTTAAATCATTAACATGCTACAAATAAAAATCTGCTTTTATTTTTTTTAGACACAGCTTTTGTAACACTGGTGGCATTTATTTATTAGTAGTTGGCTGTGAAGAAGGATAAAAAGAGAAGGGGAAGACATGCAGTGAAGCTCAAATTGTCAAATTAAGGAATTTTAATATGCATTTGAACCAGTATATCCATGACCATGACCAGAGCATGCATATGTCTGAACAGCACTAGGTGTGTATCAATCACTGTGGCCCAAATACTACAAGGTTCCACTGGAGTCTGGTAGTGATCGGATCCTGTTTGTCATTTTTTCAGCTCTTCCCAACAGCTGGGCGGGAGTACGTCCAGCTGTTGCTCAAGCCAAACCTTTAAGTCTTTTCCTGCCCTAAAGGCATTATATGCCAGCATTTTCTCAGCCACTGCTTCTCTCCTCTTTATTTTTTCTATATATTTAAAAGGTAAAGTCAATATTTTTCTGTGAAACCATTCTCTGTCCAAATACAAATATGGAAAAGTTAGCAACACAATGAAAAGCATCGGATCGGTCAGGAACGGCTGCAAAACTTGGATACCAATCCTTTCCTACCTGAGCTGCTTTGCTGCCTCAAGGAGACACAAGCTCAAATCCAGACTGATATCCCCATCTCGCTCCTTCTCCTCCCTCGGCTGGGATGTGATCCAGCACTTCATTAATTCTTCATCAAGGTCAAACAGTTTGTCGATCAGCTCTCCCACCTTCTCAAGCAGATCAGCTGAATAACACATATGAGGACAAATTAGAAAGCAGGCAGCAAATAAGTAAAGTCAAAGAGAAAAACTTCAAAAATCAAAGTGCTGCAAGAAAATGTTTTTTTTGTTGCTTTTTTTAACAAATAGAAGTAATCAGCAAATAAATAAAAAGTATAACATGAAAGTAGAGTACTGTTAGTAGAACTGCTCATGATGAAACAGAGGCTGGAGCACACAGATGTCTGCTGTCGTATTCGCTGAAGCCACAGGGAACAGAAGTCTTTTTGAGATAAGCAGGTCAGTAGAAGTCTGCAAACACAATGAGAGCATTTAATGTTACTCTCTTAATCACTGATTTTCATTATTTAGGGAAGCTTAAAATGATACCTGCTGGTTTCAAGAAGGGTTGGGGGATCAGTATCTCCCAGAAGAAGCAACAGCACAGCACTGTGGTCACACCAGGAAGCTGCATTAGATATCAGAAACGTAGCAGGAGCAATGTGTTTATTCAACTATTGGAGATCTTAGTTACTACTCACCCCAAATCCTCGTTTTGGCTGAGAGTCGCACATGTTTCAGGAAAACAGGCAATATTCCCAAGGATTCCTACACAAATTTCCTAGAGAAAGAAAAAAAATCAGGCATAATTGTTCTAATTATTTAAGAAAGTTTAAATAAAAACACTGTTCATACGACTATTATTACAGGAACATGTATTGATCCCCCAACCCTTCTTGAATCTGGCATGAATGAAAAGTGTTTCACTCACTGTAAGACGTGGGCAGCGAGATTTGGCTATGACTCCAAGGAGGATATCAGCAGCTTTGAATTCTTGTAGGAAACCCGCCACGTCCTGCATGCATTAGGGTCATAAGCAGCAAATATTAAAGCTGGATTACTGTTACATCAGGCCTAAAAATTCAACAGCTAAATGTGCTGTGAGAGCAGATCTGCAAACTCCAGTTTAACTCCACATAAATATTTAATTTTAATATCCACAATCTTTACAACAGGTATACATTTTAGGCACAAATGAATTGAGATGTTTACAATTAACTTCATAAATGCATTTAAGCATTTTTTTTTAGTTTAATGTGGAGCAGAATATGGCTATTCAAGTAAGGTAGAAACTGCACCTTATCCATTGCCATATCCCAAACTCTGCAAAGATCTTCTTCCTCATCGTCAGAGAGCTGCATCTGATCTTCTGAGTTCTCTTCTGAATGCTCTGTAACCATCTGTAAAACAGTTTACAGAGATTAACAAATTAGGGGCAGTGCATAAAAAGAAAGGATTATCCAAATAACTTCAAACTGGGTGCAAAAAAGGGGAACTCAAGAGATGTTTGGCTTGGGGTGAAGTTTTGTTGCTGAGAAAGAAAAATCCTATTTTGTATGTTCCAGATGCAGCTTTAGCTTAGATTATGTCGGCCTTTTATCTGCAGGTCCTAAACTTAAGACTTAGTGGTTAAGAAACAGGATTTAGCTCGGCAGCCCACCTACCTGAATGAGTCGAGTCAGCGTGCTGAAAAGCCAGTGCTTGCTGTAAGCTGTATCTCCGATGGCATCCAGGTCTTCTCCCTGGTCTCCATCAGCTTGGTTCGGGGGTGGCGACGGGTTACGATCCATCTGAGGGGATCGTAACCCGGCTGCAGGGGACGACCTCTCATTCTCTTCCGGCTCAGGACCATCAACACCGCTGTCTTAAGGAATAAACAGAAATCACAGACCTGTTCAATATGAATGAATCTTGTAAGGAATATTATGTAGACTTTCCTTCAGTATTAAGCCTCAAAAACTATTCACATTTGGTTAATACATATTTAAGCTAGTTGCCCGTCGTAAGTCGCTCCTACAGACATTAGTTTAACATTAAGTGTCAAATAGCAACATTAGAATGTTAAACTTACCCATGGGGACCGTTCTGAGCAAAGAGGTCTGGTTATTTAACGTTACATTAAAGTTTAGAAGATTTTAAATTGCAGCACCGCTCAATTTCAAACAGCCTCCATGTATGATGGTCACATTGGCTGCGCATGCGCGACTGATCTTGTTGTGGTAGAGAACTTGCATGCAAAACAGATATCGCCCCCTGTAGGTAGCAAGCGAAAGTGTCAGGTCCTCCTCAGGTCTTACTCAAGTCTTCTTTCTCATTGTTTAAAAAGGACTGCTGACCCAGAATAATGCAAGGAATTACATAATTTATGGCAAGATGTAAGAAATTACTATAACTGAAATTAAAAGTCCAAACATAAATATCATGACACAAACTGTTCAGCCTGTTTGATAGCAACTATATGTGTTCAGACATATTTTATGTTTCCAACCTCTTTTAATAGAAATGTGTTGTCCATTCAGTCTGTGGATGTGAATATCTCTTTTTGCTAACTCACTCTGTTTAGCGATTAACAACAAAAACAGCATTTACATGGTAGTAGAAACTTTAAAAGACGTTCAGAATAAATTTGATAATGCAAGATGTTCTCACCTCATCCTACAGTGTCGCTCTTTGTGCTTTTGTTGAACATGTTTAGTTGACCCAATGTGAAATTGATCTCTAGATTAAACATTGTGAGTTGCAGCCTGTGTTGACTTCTGGACACAAAGTGGAAGTTCACATGTTGAATGAGGGTTAAGCAAACTGTTTGAGCTTTGCAGCAGAAAAACTTTAAGTTTTGGCATTAGGTAGGTATTACCTGAGTTGTTTTAGGGATTATTGAGATGAAACTCTTTGGTTATGCTTGGATAACACAACCTTACATTCAATGTTTTAGTTAACTCCATTAAAATGTGTAAAATTTTTACCTACTTTATGCAATTATTGAAGATAAGAAGCCAAACTGTACTTCAGTCAATGTTTTTGCTGGAGTACCTGAATTAAGTTGATTTAGACATTAGACATCAACTGAGTGTAGCATCATATGCTTTCACAAGTTCACAGTTTAGCTTTTGTTCTTTTATATATCATTGCTCATCTTGAAAGATACTAATATGATAAAATATTTTCTACCAGCTGAAATTAAACAACTGCAGCAGATGTCCACTGTATTGAGTTTTCCGGTCATCTCAGGCCGTGCTGCATTTTGACGCATGTTGTTTTATGGGAAACGATGACAAGTCCTGGAGGTTAAACAGTATTGTCAACAATCATTACACAAATGTTGAAGTACTGCCTGTAATCCACGCTGTCTTGAGATAATTCAGAGTGGACAGCATCCTCCTTCAATCAACAGCAGAGTAATAACTACAGAGCTTTCTCATTTCACAGCTGTCCCGCTGTGGGAGTGGTTCAAAGCCCTGTTTGCACTTGGAGGAGCTTAAACCTGAGGATATTTGAGAACATACCAGCTAGCTTTGTATTTGTTTTTAAACATATAGCCTTCCAATGTGAAAATAACAAGTTTAAATTGAAAAGTAGGACTATTTTAAAGAGAACTTCTGAGTTACTCCTATTATAGCTCACTCTATGACCATGGCCCCAATATTCTGCTGTTTTGATTTATTTTGATGATGCTTTACAAATGAAAATGTGTAGATATGAAAAGTTTATGCTTCCGCTTCCATTTTTTTCAGTCATTTTGTGATCTTACTTTTGACAGGAATTTAAATAAATATTGTTTATAATATATTTTGTGTTTTGTTTATTGTTTTTTTTCTGTTGTTTGTATTATTTTCTTTTGGGGATTTTTTTTTAGCATTGCATGTTTTTCACTTGAAAGAATGGAAAGGTTAGAAATGACTAAAATAAATTACATTTATACATTCCAATGCAACACACAGAAACATGCAGAAAGATGAAAGAAAACTTTGGAAAGCTTCTTTCCAAAGAAAGATCATGAGGAGGTGAACAAGGAAATACAAGGTTAGTAAAGTGCAGTGATTACATTGGAATAAGATCAATGCCAGACCTCATTCATGTAAACGTGACTGCAGAAAAGGAATTATGACAAACAAGGATGCAGCTCTGTCATTTCAGAAGTGCATCCTGGGCCTTTCATAGTTCAACGCTATTAAGATAATGAAATGGGTACTATAACGAGAAGAGAGCAAATATTAACTTTTGGTGACGTACTTCTGTGTCATTCAACCATTCATTCTTTCATTGAAAGCACTCAGACAGATTTTTGTGACTTTTGTCAAAAAGAAAATAAAACACGATTTTGGGGGTTCAACAAAAAAGAAGAGTGTGAGACTGAACAGAATTGGTTCAGGATCAGGTTTTGTATCAGAATTTTTCATTCCATCCCTTTTCACTTCCTGTCTATCCAAGTAAACAAACTATTTTATAACCATGGGCCTAAAACGTTAACATATGCTGTTTTGAATTGCATAAAGCTTTCAAAAATGTAGGAAATAATCATAAACAATTATTATCTTCTGAGAACTTTGAATTATGTTCTCCATAATTTTAGCTGTCTAATGAAATACTGTATAATGGGTGTTACTCAGTTCCCTCCTTCACTGTTTCATTGAATCTTATTTCTAAACAGGCATGGAGTCTGATAAATCTCTTTGAAAGTATGCCCATTTGAGTATATACATACTTTCTATAACCTATGCATTGTCACATTATCATGAAGAAATGTGGCTACATAATTGAACATATAACAACATCTATGATCATGAGGTCATTTATAGGTATCTTTTTTCATCAGGGGTCATGATCTATCCTTTTTTACAAGTCAACAGGTTAAATTTTTGTTCTGGCCTCAAAGTTTTTCATACTAAAAGTTAATTAATTAACCTTAGTGTTAATAACCTTTGAATGTACCCAATTTGGTATTTTTTCTAAGTTGTTTCTGTTGTTATTTCCCTTTGATATTATTAACCTTTTAATGAGAGATACATTTAGAAAAGAAACAGAAACCGTCAAAGAGATTTATCAGACTCCATCTCCGTTTCAAAAAGATTCCTACATAAAGGGCAATTATATTTGTTCAATAAAGAGATGAGGAGGATATAAGAATAATTTATATTGGACTCTTGAAAGGCGTCAGACAAGCATGCAAATGTTTGCCATGACTTGGCAGTAAAACTTCATGTCCCATTTGGACAGAGGGTGTGAGCAAAGAAATTTAGCTGACTTTATATAAATGGCAGCCAGGTACGATTGACCATTTCTAGTGCTGGTGACAGCGAGCCCACAGCGGCAACCATGAGGTGGAGATCTGTGTTGTGGAGCTTCCTTGCTTTATCTGTCATCACTTTCTCTGAGGTCCAAACCACACTGGGTAAGATTCCAACTTTACACTCAAAGGAATAATTTTCTTCATTTTGAAGAAAATCACAGTGCAGATTTTCATGGATGTCTTGTTGATTTCTACTTTCAACTGAGTGTAGAATTTTAAGATTTAATTAGAAATCCTCTTTCAGCCTACAATCATGTCAGCAGCATCTGCAGCACATGGGGCAGAGATCACTTCAAGACCTTCGACGGCGATGTGTACCAGTTTCCCGGCATGTGTGAATACAACCTGATCTCCAACTGCCACGACTCCTATCAGCTCTTCTCAGTGCACATAAAGAGAGCAGAAAAGGATGGAAACCCGACCATCAGCTACTTGGCAGTCACCGTCAATGAGCTTTTGTTTCACATCAGCAAAAGCTGGGTCACTGTCAACTATGAGAAGTGAGTAAAATGAAGAGCTAAAGGTGAAAAAGCCACAGATGTGGCTCACAGTAAAAAACAAAAACAAATGTTTATTAAATGCTTTTCTTTCACCAGAGTCCCTCTACCTTATTACAAGGGAGGAGTGCAAGTGGAAAATAATGCTGCTTACATCAAGTTTCAAAGCAAAGTTGGGTTCACTGTCATGTGGAATGGAGAAGATGCTGTGATGGTAAAAACCTACCTTTCAAACAAATGAAGATTCATAACCAAATGTACTACTTTCCAATGATAGTTGCTGTTTCCTTTGAAAGGCAACTTATTCAGTTGTTCAGAATATTTTACATTCTATTGGACATTTGTAGCACATTGATGATCTATTGTTTTTTTCTTTGCAATGGTATTTCTGGTGTTAATAAAGTGCAGTGGTTTAGTTTTTTAGTTTTAGTTTTAAAAATGAAAGCAACAAGATTTAGTTTTAGAACTCTTTTTTTGAACATGTTTTAGGTGGAACTTGATACCGACTTTGCAAACCGAACCTGTGGACTTTGTGGAGACTTCAATGGTGTCCCAGTATACAATGAGTTCATTCATTTTGGTATGTAGAGGGTAATTTAGTCTGAGTTGAATCTTTTAAATTCTGTATTATGACAGTCTGATCTGATCTGATCTTATCTGATCTGATCTGATCTGATCTGATCTGATCTGATCGCTTGCAGGTCGTAGAATCAACCCCATTGAGTTTGGCAACCAACAAAAAGCCCACCACCCAAACGATGACTGTGAGGACCCTTATGAGCAGGAATTGCTGGAGGCTGTGACTGTCTCAGATTCCTGCAAGAAATTTGTGAGTTTATTATTCAATTAATATGTGCACCTTTACAACACTTTAATGAGTACCCACAAGCTAACTTCACTCCTGTTTTTCTTTTTTTTTTCTCTACAGGTAACTTTCTGTGAAAACATGTTCTTGTCAGAGTCCTGGAGCTCATGCACTAAACTGATTGACCCTGAAGTTTACATCCAGGCCTGTGTAAAGGACATGTGTGGCTGCAGAAACAATACCAATGACTTCTGTGTCTGCAGCACGCTGTCTGAGTTTTCTCGACAGTGTTCCCATGCAGGAGGACAGCCTCCCAACTGGAGGACAACTCACTTCTGTGGTAAGAGTTTTATTTATTTTTTTTGTAGCTTTTGGATATGGTGTGATGAGAATCTGTATGAATCACAATGTTGTAGAGAAGATACAGTTTCGGTTATCAAATTCAGAACATCTAATGTTCAACCCAGCATGTATGTATAACTGTTACAACTGCATATACTGAATTTTTGGCATTATGTTGCCATTAATTCATTTATATTACCTTATGTCATAAAAATAAGAATAGCTTTAAATGCCCTTGTTCTGTCAAAACACATAAATGAAAACCCTTCTTAGCCTATCTTAATTCTCACAACTTATTGTCACAGCCAAAGAATGCCCTTACAACATGGTGTATGAAGAAAGCGGTTCCCCTTGCATGGATACTTGCACACATCAGGACACAAGTTCACTCTGTGAGGACCACAAAATGGACGGCTGCTTCTGTCCTTCTGGTTAGTTCATATAACATTTTAGATTAATTGATCGGTCCAAATTTAAAAAAAATAAAAAAATTCCACTGAAATAAAAAATTCCTTTCCTCAGGAACTGTGTTTGATGATATTTCTAAGAGAGGCTGTATTCCTCAGTCTGAATGTCAGTGCAAGCATGACAAAATCTACAACCCTGGAGAAATTTACCGACAAGATCAAGAGGAATGGTATGTCAGATGCTTCGTCATGTGTACAGAATGTGTAAATTAAAGTCTTTTATGTCAACTCTGAATATATATTTTATTTCAGCACATGCTTTGAGGGACTGTGGGATTGCATCACTCTTGAAACACCGGCTACATGTGCAGTTGAACAAGGTTCATATTTCACTACTTTTGATGGGAAAATGTACACTTTCCATGGGGATTGTTACTACACTCTGGCAAAGGTGGAAAGCAAGGTAAATGAGCAATTCAATAACATGCTTAGTGCAGAGAGATAAGATATTTCTTTGTTCTTTTTTTTTTTTTTGTTTCTTTTTTTATTTAATTGTGATTTCAATGTACATTTTAGGATGGAGCGAGCCCAAACTTCACCCTCCTGGCCCAGCTGGTGCCTTGTGCTCACCAACAGTTTGACACATGCCTGAAGTCCCTTAAAATCCTGCTGAACAATGACAAAAATAATGTGAGTAAAATAACATAACCATTTAATAAAATGAAACTGTAAAAACTTATCTAACTCAGTTTTGTTTCTTTAGGTGCTTTCATTCACCTCTGATGGTGTAGTTCAACAAAACACGCAGATTGTCACTTTGCCGTACCATTCAGGTAGGTCAGACCATCAAAAAGTCTGAATTAAACAGTTTTCTTCCAGGTTCCATTTAAATATAAATCTGAGGTTATATTAATTTGTTTATTTTAGGAGACATCAACATTTTCCACGCCTCATCCTTTCACATCTTGCTGCAGACCAGATTTGGGTTGCAGATTCAGATCCAACATGTCCCTCTCATGCAAGTCTACATCAGCCTGGAACAAAGCTACAGATCAAAGACACGTGGTGAGTTTTGCATTTGTCTCAATAACAAAAGTTTCTATGCTGGTTGTAAAACATTGTTTACAACTTCCATCACGAGTGAGTATCTAAAATAACAGCTCGGAGCTGACTACCAAAAGATTACAACTGTCCATTTGCTAAAAAGAAATTAGACACTGATATTGTTGATTGTGTCAACATTATCTTCTCCCCCCTGAGAAACACAAAATTTACTGTGTTCATTTATTATGGCCCAACATCTTTTCTTCAGTTTTCTTTTCAAAATGTTAAAATAATTGATCTCTTCAGGTTTATGTGGGAACTTCAACATGATCTTGAGTGACGAAATGAAAACTCCTCAGGGGATCGTGGAGGGAACTGCAGCGACCTTCAGTAACTCTTGGAAGGCTAACCTCATGTGCTCAGACATTGAGGAAAGACTTGATGATCCGTGTTCCCTCAGTTTGGAAAACGGTAACTAACAATTGTGGATTTATTTTTTTTTTTTTTGAAAGTTATGGTCTGCTCTTAGTTGCTAATTCTTATGTTTTCAGTAACAGTTCAGCTGCAGAGATTGAAATGAAAACTATTGGTCTGTTCCTCTCCCTCTTAGAGATGTATGCCAAACACTGGTGCGCCTTACTTATGAGTCCAGACAGTGCTTTTGCCCAGTGCCGATCAGTGGTGGATCCTGAGGTGTTTCACAAGGTATGAAAAAAATATTTTAAAACTTCTGTCATGTTCAGCAGCTGCTCTTGATCTTCTGCACCCCCAAAACAAGCTAAGATAGTTTTATTGAAAAGATAAACATTAAAACTGATATTTTTTAAAGGCTTTTTCATGTCTACTTGTGTTTTTAGGATGATCTGCACATTTTAGAAATATCCAGGTCAGATTTGACCTGCCTGGGGATTTTAGATTTTGATTTAAAAAAGAATCAAACACAGTCCTGATTCCTCACTAACCCTTCACTGAAGTGCTCTATCAGAAGGAGCACATAGTGACTTCAACCAGCCACCATGTACACTCATTTTCTTAAGAGACTTGTCCTGTTTTAGTTTTTGATTGAGAATGCACATTAAATGATTGATTTGACATAAAAATAATTGATAGAAAACTTGATTGAGGTGCCCCAAAGGCTGTGCAACCCTGGACAAAGAGTCATAATGCTGATTTTCAGTAATCACCACTTGTCATATTTGGTGGAACAATAATTTTTCTGAGTGTTTTCTGTCTCCTGCAGCGATGCATCTACTCCACCTGTAGTTGTGAGAAGAGCGAGGCGTGTTTGTGTGCCGTCTTCTCTTCTTATGCTCGAGCTTGTGCAGAAAAGGGAGTTTTCCTGACGAACTGGAGAGAGAATGTTTGTGGTAAGAGAATCATTTTTTATGTTGAGAATGATGATTATTAAAGTGTCATCACCCTCATTTGTAAGACATGAAAATTCTAATCAATCATTTTCTTGTAATCCACAAAACAGATACATACACAAAGAGCTGCCCGGCATCTCAGAGCTTCTCTTACACACATCAGAGATGCCAGCTGACATGCAGGTCTTTGAACGCAGAGCAGCAGAGCTGCACCTCAGACTTCCTGCCTGTGGACGGGTGCGCCTGTGCTGAGGGTCTCTACTTGAATGAAAATGGCCTTTGTGTTCCAGTGGAAAAATGTTCCTGCTTCTATAACGGCAATTACATTCAGCCAGGGACATCCATCAACATCAGAGAAGAGCACTGGTGATTAAATGAAAACTAAATTTGTAGTATCTGTCAGTTGTTATCATAATATCCTTCATGTACCTTACAGGATTTTTAATGTCTTCTTCTAGTGTGTGCAATGATGGAATACTTCACTGTCATTCTTGGAGAAGCCGCATGTCATGTTAGTTTGTTTCACCTTTCCTCTCCCTTTCATAGCTCCCTCATTCGGTTGATTGACTATAAAGTAAAATCATTATTTTTTTTGTTATAGTGTGTCCTTATCCAAAAGTCTACTTCAACTGTTCCTCTGCAACCACAGGAGTACTTGGACTACAGTGTGCTAAAACTTGTTCGAATCTGGAAAGTGATGAATGTGTGAGTAGATGTTATTAAAGCCACTGAGCCTCAGTGAATTTATGAGTTATTTATGAGTTATATGTGGATTGTCTATTTTGATTGTAAATTCTAAGTGTTTTTATAGTATGAAAACAAATTTAACAAAAATAGTAAATGTTTTTTGTTTCAAATTCTTACAATCTTTCTCCCCTCCTAGGTTTTCACAGAGTGTGAGTCTGGCTGTCGGTGTCCGGATGGCCTCCTTGAAGACGGCAAAGGGGACTGTGTGAAGGAGGCTGACTGTCCATGCAAGCATGATGGACGTATTTTTGCTCCTGGAGCAGTGATTCCTAACCTGTGCAATACCTGGTAAGCTCGTATTTGAAAAAACAATTATAGCTTGTATAATTTATACCTTGTTTCAATGTCAAGTTGATACAATATGCAGTTCATTTAAAAACTATTCAACAATTTGTCCCAATTTCTTTGAAATCTAGCAATTGTAAAAGTGGAAAATGGAAGTGCACAGAGAAAAAATGCCCAGCATCTTGCATTATATATGGAAGTGGACACTACAACACATTTGATCAAAGGACTTATGGATTTCAGGGTGAATGTGGTTATGTCGCTGTCAAGGTAAATAAAATTTATGACTGTTGGAGATTGTTACTCTCACACACACACTGAATGCTTTTTCTTTTTAAGAATAAATGTGGCAACAAAACAGCTGAGAACAACTTTGGAGTCATTACGGAAAATGTACCCTGTGGCTCTTCAGGAACCACCTGCTCCAAAACTGTCAGAATTCAACTTGGAGTAAGTCCAGACAAAATATTTCTGAGCCTAAAGTAGTTGAATATTACACTACAGAGGTATTTTCAAGAAAGACTTTATGTGATGATAACAATAGCTGCTGAAACAAAAATCTCTTTTGTGTTCCAGCGAACAGAAATCAAACTAATGAAGGGTAAATACATAGAGGAAGATCTGGGACATGGTCCCCTGATTCAGTACAGAATAAGGAGGGTTGGATCGTACCTGGTGGTAGAATCAAAAATTGGTCTGGCGGTGATATGGGATCGAAAAACAGCTGTTCGCATCCTTCTGGAGCCCGAGCACAGCGTGAGTTACAGTCATTGTTTATTAAGAATGACAGGAATCTCTTACAAATGGATATCAAATTTTTTTTAAAAATGTATTTTGTGACAAATGACTTGCCTGCTGTGACTGTTTGCACAGGGTTTAGTGTGTGGCTTGTGTGGAAATTTTGATGGAAATGCAATGAACGACTTCACCACCCAGGGTCAGCTGATAGTGAGCAACCCTCTAGAGTTTGCAAACAGCTGGAAAGTTCAGAGCACTTGCCCAGACAAGGAAGAGATTGTGGATTCTTGTGTAGCTGCACCGATGAGACATCAATGGTCAAAAATGATGTGCAGCATCATAACAGGGAATACATTCAAAGACTGTCACCATAAGGTCTGAATAATTTACTTCTGTTTTTTTGCAATAAAATATTAAACATGCTCCATTTTCTTAAATTGGTTTGTTTTATTTTGTAAACAAACAGGTTGATCCCCACCCCTTCTATGATAACTGTGTGAAAGACTCGTGTGCCTGCGACACTGGAGGAGATTGTGAGTGTTTCTGCTCAGCTGTCGCAGCCTACGCTCAGGCTTGCAATGAGGCTGGAGTTTGTGTTGCATGGAGAACCCCAGACATCTGCCGTGAGTAAACTATAACACTCTGATTGAAATGATTCTTATGTCTTTGTGGTACCATGTTCATCTCTGTAGAGACTTTGTAGAAATGCCTTCAAATTGCTTGTCATCATCATAAACAAACCGTTCCTTTCTTAGCAGGGTACTTTTGAAAAGCTAGCTTCTTGGATTCTCAACCTTATTTTTGAAAATGTAATAATTTCAGCTTTAATGTCCTTATGCTCTTACTCAAAACTTGATCTCTAAAAAATTCATTTTCATTAATTTTGAAGTCCTTGAATTTTAACAAATGAGTGTTATACTTACGTGTAATGTAAATTGTTTTCCCTTACAAAGTGTACTCAAAAGTGGAAATTTGGAGTTTGTTTAAAACCTTTAGATTTAAATTATTCCGTTTTTTCAAGACGTAAATCATTAATTTCATATACAGTGAAAGGTGTGCATATCTTTCACTGTATACAAACAGTGAAAGGTATGCACCAGTAAATGTAACAAACCTTTGTATACCTTTACTGGAGCAAATTTTGCTCCAGTAAATTTGATCCTGTAAATGTAACTACATTTGTAACTACATTTGTAACTACATTTACAAGGTGTAAATGTAACTAGTAAATGTGCAATTTACTAAATTGTAAATTACTAAATTTACTAAATTGTAAATTGTAGATTTATTTTGTACTTGTGCCTAAGTACCTAATTTTGACCATTATGGGTATTGATTTCAATTATTTCAACATTGTAGGATAAAATAATGATGAAACAATAAATAACATTGAACACAGCTTTATACAATTTTTTGTGAAAGAACAAACAAAATTAAATTTTAGCTTCAGGAAATACACTAAGGTCTGTTGTCAATCCTAAAGGATTTTCTACTTGGCACAGTCCACACAGCGATGGAAAATTTCAGCATCACTAGCTTTCCGGTTCTGTGCTTCAAAATGGAAGGTCCAGTTGGACTCTGGTAATACTTTGTTGAACTTTCTCTGTCAGGTTGCAGAGACACATTACTCTACTTGTAGCTATCAATAGTCTAGAAGACCACAGTTCTTTTAACAAAAATATAGCATTTGAATCATGCCAAAAGCATAATGATGACTATAAAAAATTTACATTTTCTTCACAAATGTTAATGAAATATGAATTGGTTTGTAAGTATGTATTTGAGGTTAGGTGGACCCTATGTGAGACTTTTACCCAATGTGCTGTCCCATCGGGATCACGCTATGCTTTTACAATCCCCATTTCTTCTCTTTTGTCCAACTGTGATATCTGCCTCACTCTTGGTACTACGTTCTACTGCTTCTGCTTCTGAGACACATGCTGAATGATTCATCTCAGTCTGTCAGGAATATAGAATCAACACTTAACACCTAACTAAAATATAATAATTCCACCAGACAATATGAAAAACAAAAATTCAAGTTTCTATAAAAGTTGTAAACACTTTTCTTAAAATATTTCAGTTCAAAATTGGTCTCGTAAAAAATCTTATTCAAATCAGTCATGACAAAATATTCTTCAATGATTTGTGAATTTTATCTTCCACAATAAAATTATATAGTCTTTATCCGTGTAATTTTAAGAAATTTATCACATTTTGATTAACATTTCTGAATGTTACTGACTTCTGCTGTGCTTTCGTTTTTAGCTGTTTTTTGTGATTACTACAACAGCCCAGATGATTGTACATGGCACTATAGCCCTTGCCACACACCTTGTTACAAGAGCTGTTTGAACCCTCAAGGAATTTGTAACAACCCGATACCTAATCTGGAGGGTAAAAATACCATTCAAGATCATTTTTTATTTTAGCATTGTATCTTTGGAGTGTACAACATATTTGATGTGGTTTTTTACAGGTTGTTATCCAGTATGCCCAGAAGATAAGCCAATTTTTGATGAAAAGAATCAGACTTGTGTGGAAGAGTGTGCCTATTGCTTGTACAATGGGACAATATATGAAGATAATGAAGTCATATACAATCTCACTGACAAAATGGGAATGTGCTACTATGCTATCTGCATTAATACAACTGTGATACGCACAAGTGAACCCTGTGCAACAAGCCCACCACCAATTTCCCCAACTGAACCTACAACTTTAGAGCCACCGCAAACAACAAAGGTTACTAGTCCCCCGACACCAACCTCTTCAGCAACTCCAGCGCCACCTACAACCACAACTCAGGAACAATCTACAAGCACAGGAGCTACTTCCTCACCTACACCACAACCTACAACAACCTCTGAACCCTCAACAATCACAATAATTACCCATACACCTACAAAAACTTCTACAACAACAGAGCAACCCACAACAACATTAATTATTAATACATCCACAACAACCGCTATGACAACACCGGAAACATTCACAAGCTCAAAAGTTACTCCTCTATCGACCACAACAAGTGTAACTTCTGTCACAACTCCATGCATTCCAACTTGTGAGTGGTCTGGCTGGTATAATGTGCATGATCCAATGACAGACAAAAATGACTGGGAAACCTATGAAAACGTGACAAACAGTAATCAAATTATATGTGAAAACCCAATGGAAATTGATTGTAGGTCAGCAGTTTTACCAGACATGGACTTTGAGGAGTTTTTGAAAGAAAATAATCAGGTTGTAAGTTGTAATAAAGACTATGGCTTAATCTGTAAAAAAGAAGACCAGCCAATGCGCCCTGGAAAGTGTTTTGATTACAAATTCAGATTATGCTGTCCAGTATGTGAAATAAAAACGACACCACTCACAACAAAGATACCTACAAAAACTCCAGAACAATCGACAAAGACAACAGCTACTGCTTCACCCACAACACATTCTAGCACAACTACACGTGCACCTCCAACGACGCCAACCCCAAAGCCAACTACAACCACAGAAACTACAACTGCAAGTCCCACTACGACAACTCCAGAGACGACTACACTTCCGCCTCCGTCTACCACAACTACAGAACGTCCTACAACCACAACTTCAACTCCACCTACACCAACTCCAGAGCCAACTACAACCACAGAAACGACAACTGCACGTCCCACTACGACAACTCCAGAGACAACCACAACAAAAACAACTACACTTCGGCCTCCGTCTACCACAACTACAGAACGTCCTACAACCACAACTTCAACTCCACCTACACCAACTCCAGAGCCAACTACAACCACAGAAACTACAACTGCACGTCCCACTACGACAACTCCAGAGACGACTACACTTCGGCCTCCGTCTACCACAACTACAGAACGTCCTACAACCACAACTTCAACTCCACCTACACCAACTCCAGAGCCAACTACAACCACAGAAACGACAACTGCACGTCCCACTACGACAACTCCAGAGACAACTACAACAAAAACAACTACACTTCGGCCTCCGTCTACCACAACTACAGAACGTCCTACAACCACAACTTCAACTCCACTTACACCAACTCCAGAGCCAACTACAACACAGAAACTACAACTGCACGTCCCACTACGACAACTCCAGAGACAACTACAACAAAAACAACTACACTTCAGCCTCCTTCTACCACTACAGAGCGTCCTACAACCACAACTTCAACTCCACCTACACCAACTCCAGAGCCAACTACAACCACAGAAACGACAACTGCACGTCCCACTACAACAACTCCAGAGACAACTACAACAAAACAACTACACTTCGCCTCCTTCTACCACAACTACAGAACGTCCTACAACCACAACTCCACCTACACCAACTCCAGAGCCAACTACAACCACAGAAACTACAACTGCACGTCCCACTACGACAACTCCAGAGACGACTACACTGCGGCCTCCGTCTACCACAACTACAGAACGTCCTACAACCACAACTTCAACTCCACCTACACCAACTCCAGAGCCAACTACAACCACAGAAACTACAACTGCACGTACCACTACGACAACTCCAGAGACAACTACAACAAAAACAACTACACTTCAGCCTCCTTCTACCACAACTACAGAGCGTCCTACAACCACAACTTCAACTCCACCTACACCAACTAAAGAACCAACTACAACCACAGAAACTACAACTGCACGTCCCACTACGACAACTCCAGAGACGACTACATTTCGGCCTCCGTCTACCACAACTACAGAACGTCCTACAACCACAACTTCAACTCCACCTACACCAACTCCAGAGCCAACTACAACCACAGAAATGACAACTGCACGTCCCACTACGGCAACTCCAGAAACAACTACAACAAAAACAACTACACTTCGGCCTCCGTCTACCACAACTACAGAACGTCCTACAACCACAACTTCAACTCCACCTACACCAACTCCAGAGCCAACTACAACCACAGAAACTACAACTGCACGTCCCACTATGACAACTCCAGAGACAACTACAACAAAAACAACTACACTTCAGCCTCCTTCTACCACAACTACAGAGCGTCCTACAACCACAACTTCAACTCCACCTACACCAACTCCAGAGCCAACTACAACCACAGAAACGACAACTGCACGTCCCACTACAACAACTCCAGAGACAACTACAACAAAAACAACTACACTTCGGCCTCCGTCTACCACAACTACAGAACGTCCTACAACCACAACTCCACCTACACCAACTCCAGAGCCAACTACAACCACAGAAACTACAACTGCACGTCCCACTACGACAACTCCAGAGACAACTACAACAAAAACAACTACACTTCAGCCTCCTTCTACCACAACTACAGAGCGTCCTACAACCACAACTTCAACTCCACCTACACCAACTCCAGAGCCAACTACAACCACAGAAACGACAACTGCACTTCCCACTACAACAACTCCAGAGACAACTACAACAAAAAAACTACACTTCGGCCTCCGTCTACCACAACTACAGAACGTCCTACAACCACAACTCCACCTACACCAACTCCAGAGCCAACTACAACCACAGAAACTACAACTGCACGTCCCACTACGACAACTCCAGAGACGACTACACTTCGGCCTCCGTCCACCACAACTACAGAACGTCCTACAACCACAACTTCAACTCCACCTACACCAACACCAGAGCCAACTACAACCACAGAAACGACAACTGCACGTCCCACTATGACAACTCCGGAGACAACTACAACAAAAACAACTACACTTAAGCCTCCTTCTACCACAACTACAGAGCGTCCTACAACCACATCTTTAACACCACCTACGCCAACACCAGAGCCAACTACAACCACAGAAACTACAACTGCACGTCCCACTACGACAACTCCAGAGACAACCACAACAAAAACAACTACACTTCGGCCTCCATCAACCACAACTACAGAACGTCCTACAACCACAACTTCAACTCCACCTACACCAACTAAAGAACCAACTACAACCACAGAAACTACAACTGCACGTCCCACTACGATAATTCCAGACACAACCACAACAAAAACAACTACACTTCAGCCTCCGTCTACCACAACTACAGAGCATCCTACAACCACAACTTCAACTCCACCTACACCAACTCCAGAGCCAACTACAACCACAGAAACTACAACTGCACGTCCCACTACGACAACTCCAGAGACAACTACAACAAAAACAACTACACTTCAGCCTCCGACTACCACAACTACAGAACGTCCTACAACCACAACTTCAACTCCACCTACACCAACTAAAGAGCCAACTACAACCACAGAAACTACAACTGCACGTCCCACTACGACAATTCCAGAGACAACCACAACAAAAACAACTACACTTCGGCCTCCGTCTACCACAACTACAGAACGTCCTACAACCACAACTTCAACTCCACCTACACCAACTCCAGAGCCAACTACAACCACAGAAACGACAACTGCACGTCCCACTACGACAACTCCAGAGACAACTATAACAAAAGCAACTACACTTCGGCCTCCGTCAACCACAACTACAGAACATCCTACAACCACAACTTCAACTCCACCTACACCAACTAAAGAGCCAACTACAACCACAGAAACTACAACTGCACGTCCCACTATGACAACTCCAGAGACAACTACAACACAAACAACTACACTTCAGCCTCCGTCTACCACAACTACAGGACGTCCTACATCCACAACCTCAACTCCACGTACACCAACTCCAGAGCCAACTACAACCACAGAAACTACAACTGCACATCCCACTACAACAACTCCAGAGACAACTACAACAAAAACAACTACACTTCGGCCTCCGTCTACCACAACTACAGAACGTCCTACAAACTCAACTCTTCCTACACCAACTCCAGAGCCAACTACAACCACAGAAACTACAACTGCACGTCCCACTACGACAACTCCAGAGACGACTACACTTCGGCCTCCGTCCACCACAACTACAGAACGTCCTACAACCACAACTTCAACTCCACCTACACCAACACCAGAGCCAACTACAACCACAGAAACGACAACTGCACGTCCCACTATGACAACTCCGGAGACAACTACAACAAAAACAACTACACTTAAGCCTCCTTCTACCACAACTACAGAGCGTCCTACAACCACAACTTTAACACCACCTATGCCAACACCAGAGCCAACTACAACCACAGAAACTACAACTGCACGTCCCACTAAGACAACTCCAGAGACAACCACAACAAAAACAACTACACTTCAGCCTCCTTCTGCCACAACTACAGAACGTCCTACAACCACAACTTCAACTCCACCTACACCAACTAAAGAACCAACTACAACCACAGAAACTACAACTGCACGTCCCACTACGACAATTCCAGACACAACCACAACAAAAACAACTACACTTCAGCCTCCGTCTACCACAACTACAGAGCATCCTACAACCACAACTTCAACTCCACCTACACCAACTCCAGAGCCAACTACAACCACAGAAACTACAACTGCACGTCCCACTACGACAACTCCAGAGACAACACTACAACAAAAACAACTACACTTCAGCCTCCGTCTACCACAACTACAGAACATCCTACAACCACAACTTCAACTCCACTTACACCAACTCCAGAGCCAACTACAACCACAGAAACGACAACTGCACGTCCCACTACGACAACTCCAGAGACAACTACAACAAAAACAACTACACTTCGGCCTCCGTCTACCACAACTACAGAACATCCTACAACCAACTTCAACTCCACCTACACCAACTCCAGAGCCAACTGCAACCACAGAAACGACAACTGCACGTCCAACTACGACAACTCCAGAGACAACTACAACAAAAACAACTACACTTCAGCCTCCGACTACCACAACTACAGAACGTCCTACAACCACAACTCCACCTACACCAACTAAAGAGCCAACTACAACCACAGAAACTACAACTGCACGTCCCACTACGACAATTCCAGAGACAACCACAACAAAAACAACTACACTTAGGCCTCCGTCTACCACAACTACAGAACGTCCTACAACCACAACTTCAACTCCACCTACAACAACTCCAGAGCCAACTACAACCACAGAAACGACAACTGCACGTCCCACTACGACAACTCCAGAGACAACTATAACAAAAACAACTACACTTCGGCCTCCGTCTACCACAACTACAGAACATCCTACAACCACAACTTCAACTCCACCTACACCAACTCCAGAGCCAACTGCAGCCACAGAAACGACAACTGCACGTCCAACTACGACAACTCCAGAGACAACTACAACAAAATCAACCACTTCAGCCTCCGACTACCACAACTACAGAACGTCCTACAACCACAACTCCACCTACACCAACTCCAGAGCCAACTACAACCACAGAAAACTACAACTGCACGTCCCACTACGACAACTCCAGAGACAACCACAACAAAAGCAACTACACTTCGGCCTCCGTCTACCACAACTACAGAACGTCCTACAACCACAACTTCAACTCCACCTACACCAACTCCAGAGCCAACTACAACCACAGAAACTACAACTGCACTTCCCACTACGACAACTCCAGAGACTTCTACAACAAAAAAAAGTACACATTGGCCTCCGTTTCCTACAACTACAGAACTTCCTACAACCACAACTTCAACTCCACCTACACCAACTCCAGAGCCAACTACAACCACAGAAACTACAACTGCACGTCCCACTACGACAACTCCAGAGACAACTACAACAAAAACAACTACACTTCAGCCTCCGTCTACCACAACTACAGAACGTCCTACAACCACAACTCCACCTACACCAACTCCAGAGCCAACTACAACCACAGAAACTACAACTGCACTTCCCACTACGACAACTCCAGAGACTTCTACAACAAAAAAAAGTACACATTGGCCTCCGTTTCCTACAACTACAGAACTTCCTACAACCACAACTTCAACTCCACCTACGCCAACTAAAGAGCCAACTACAACCACAACAATTACACCAACACCTCCCCTTACAATCATTACATCCCCACTGTCAAACACTACCACAGAATCAATTGTTACTGGCCCCCCATTGACATTTCCTGCTACACCACAAGTTGTGGAAACAACCCAAACATCTGAAACACCACCGTCAACACAAACTTCATCAACTTCCACGACAGAGTGCTTCTGTGTTTTCAATGGCACAGTTTATCTGCCAGGTAATGAATAATTTTAGCTTTTTCTTTTGTTTATTTTTTATATTATAACCTTAACTTTTTTTTTTTACCACCGTTTCAGGGGATCACATATTTTTAATGCACCCCATTGGATCAGGCATTTGTCTCACAATGATTTGCTCTGATGTTTGTGAGATTCATAACAAAACTGAATTGTGTGTGCATACCTCAACCTCGGCACCGGCACCCTCTCCCACACCCTACATTCCTACGTGTCCTGAATGGGATGTTGTTGTAAGACCTTTTACATCTTATTCGTGTTCAAATTAGTATTTGGTTTCATATTTTTCTGATTTATAATTTTATTTTAGCTATTTGCACTGACCTTTTTATTCATGTTTTTCTGAATACCCAAATACATATAACTAGTTGTTTTTAACACTTTTTCTTGTTTACAGCAAAATGAGACTTTCTTCTTGTGCGATTGCATTATGGCCAGATGCATTGAGAACAACACAATTGAAATAGTTCCATATGAGTGTCCACCCCTCCAGAACATAACTTGTACCAATGGAAAGAAACCAGTTCTTGTGTATGACGAGCACCACTGCTGCCAACATTATGTTTGTGACTGTAAGTTATTCTGCATGCAATGTTGGATTTAAGTTTTTCTTTTATTCCAATATATTCACATTAATTGTAATAAAAAACACTACAGAGATGGTCCTTCACCATCTACAATAATTCTTTCATTAAATGAGTTACAAATACATTTAAGTTCCCTTTGGGAGCAATAAAGTGTTTTGGAATTTGATCTTGAATACTTTTGCTTTCTAGGTGTATGCGAAGGCTGGGGAGATCCTCATTACATCACATTTGATGGGTTATACTACAGTTATCAAGGAAATTGTACTTACATTTTGATGGAGGAGATCACAGCAAAACATCATTTGAAGATCTATGTTGACAATGTGTTTTGTGATCCCACTGAAGACGTTTCTTGTCCAAGATCATTAACGATAGCATATGGATTTCAAGTTGTCACACTCATCAATCATAACCTTGTCGGAGCTCCACAATTAGAGGTAACGCTTGTAGAAGACAACACTCAGTTGTCTTCCACTTGCTTGACATGATATCTTTGACAAATGTCAACAGAATAATGCCAATATATAATTTTTGCCTGAATACATTATAGTTTATTTGTCTTTCCTTATTGTATCTTTTCAGGTATTAAAAAATGGTGAAAAATTGAAACTACCCTATTCACAACAAGGTATTAAGATTATGAGTTCTGGTATTAACCTGGTTTATGAGATCCCTCTCCTAAATGTAGTTGTTACATTTGGAATGACTGGCTTTAGTGTCAACCTTCCATATCAGTACTTTGGGAGCAACACGCAGGGTCATTGTGGTAAGAAATCTCTCTCAAATCTGTACTTTGGTCAATCTTTAGGCTTGACATCAACTAACTGTTAAAAATCTTTGTTAGGGACATGCACCAACAATCAGGCCGATGACTGCAGATTGCCGACAGGCGAACTGTTGGAAAATTGTGCAGTGATGGCAGACTACTGGCCAGCAAATGACATTTATCAGCCTAACTGCCCAACACCACCTGTCGTACCCACTCAAGTTCCTGAACCGCCGCTAGAACCAACTCCATGCAAGCCAGATTCCATTTGTGATCTGCTGAAGAGCAGGTAGGCTTGCCATGATGCATTGATTATTTTATGGCCCTTCAGGAAATTATCTCCTAAATGAGACTAAATGATTTAATTTTGCTTTTATTTTTCAGTGTTTTTGCAGAATGTCATCCGTTGGTTTCCCCAGACAATTTCTACAAAGGTTGTGTTTTTGATAGTTGCCATGTTTCAAATCCTGCAGTAGAGTGCACAAGTTTGCAAACTTATGCTGCTGCCTGTGCTCAGGCTGGAATTTGCATCCACTGGAGAAACCACACCAAAATATGTGGTAAGACTGCCTTTCTCATGTCATTTCTACTGAGAATCCAGATTGAACTGGGAGAGTATTTTATAATGCATTTCTTAGCACCCAACATACAGGACAACAAAACATATTGTACACTGTGTAGCGTTTTGTTTAAAATTTGGGGCTTGTTTTGTTTCCAACAGCTAGTGACTGTCCATCAGACAAAGTTTATAAACCTTGTGGCCCTGCAGAACAGCCCACTTGTCAGGACGGGTACGTTGTCACACAGATTTACATTTGCATTGATTGTGACATTTGCATGTTTCCACACACTTCCTGATAACAAAAGGTAGCATTAAAGTGTGTTTAGCCAGTAAAATAATATTCTTATCTGAACATTGTAATTTCCTTTTGCAGTGCCAAAGAACCAACCATAAAGTTTGTTACTGAGGGTTGCTTCTGTCCTGATGGAATGAAACTCTTCAACAAAGAGTCAGGAATATGTGTTGAAAAGTGTGGTAAGTAGCAGTTATCTCCCTGAATTCTGCAACTGAATTGAGTCAAATACAAATAAATACTGGATTGCTCTGTATTTGTCAACAGGTTGTCTCGATCCTGAAGGCATTCCTCGAGAGGTGAGACAAAATTGCTACTTATGCTTACTGTCTGTAAAATCTTAAATGCTTCCGCCTCCTTACCAAACAATTTTGGTTCACTCTTTCAGTTTAATGAGAGGTTTGAGTACAAATGCCAGGACTGCATTTGTGACGAGGCTACCAAAACTGTGATTTGCAAACCAAAGACTTGCCCAGCACCACCCATTGCTAACTGCACTGATCCAGGATTTGTTGTTGTGAACCAAACCAATCCTGCAGATCCCTGTTGCTATGCCTACATTTGTCGTAAGACGCCTATCATCAATCCACATTTTTGTTTAATTTGTTGAACTATTATTTGTCACAGAATGCTGACACTTTTTTTTCATCTTACATAGAATGCAACATCAACAAATGCCCAGTAAGCAGCATGAACTGTCCGGTTGGATACAAACCAGTCATCGGTGTTCCAGAGGGAAAATGCTGTCCAGAACATACATGTGGTGAGTTCAGTTTGAACTTTTAGTCAATCAAACCATAAAAAAGACAACAAATAGACTACAAGAATTTGGGATTAAATTAAATAAAGCAAACAGATTCACACCAAATATGGAATTTAAGAAAACATAGATGGCTATGGATCTGTACAGTTGTCAAGATTTAACATCTTATTGTGTTTCTGTTGCAAAATAAAGTTAAAATATGTTGTATAATGTTGACATTTGATATCAAGAATGAAATCAAACTCTTAAGAAAAATAGAAATTGTACAAGAAGTTAAATCTGAAGAATAAACTTGAAACTGTTTTGTTAAAGTAATATCGAGAACAAGGCAGAAATATTTTAAAACTAAATTGAAAAGCTGAAACTACTGAAGAATTAGGATTTTTGATAGTGTTGAGTGCTGACTAAAAGAGTTTCTCATAATTTCAACTTCTCACAATTTACCTTTATTTTTGCCAATCTCTTTGTAGAGCCTAAGCGAGTTTGTGTCCACAAGGATGTTGAATACCAGGTAAATAAGAAACAGACCCATCATTTAAATGTCTCTTATAATCCAGCTTTAATAAATATCTGATGTATTAAACCACAATAATTCTCTTGGTCAGCCTGGTTCCTCGGTTCCTGCGAATGCATGCCAGGATTGTACCTGCAGCAACGAGGTCGACCCAAAATCTGGTCTGTTTAAAATAGTGTGTGTGTTTCAACAATGTAAAGAAACCTGTGAGCTGGTAAGAAAAATAAATAAATAATTCACATGCAGTCTGCACAGTGCAATGTGTTTACTTCAAGGCTGAGCTTAACTTTCCCTTTGGTTTTAGGGATATGAATATGTGGAAACTGACTCTTATGACTGCTGTGGAACGTGTGTACAGAAACAATGTGTTCTGAATTTAAATGGTACCAAGCAGCTCTTGAATGTGAGTTGGATCATCTCTTTTGGCTCCTTATTAGCACAAAGCAGTACATTGTTTTAATGTCTGTGTCTGCTGATCTGCAGGAAGGACAAACCTGGTCACCGCCTGAAAACATGTGTGAGTACTACACCTGTCTGAGGAGTGGGGACAAACTAACTGCCCTAAGTTCACACATCGTTTGCCCGGTTTTCCAGCAGAGTAACTGCCAGCCTGTAAGTATTATTACCAACTCTAAAATCTGGAATGATTGTTTTCGCAGCATGTAGAAGTTGAAGTGTTTGTTAATGAACATCTTAATCCTCAGGACACAATTCAAACAGCTGCAAATGGCTGCTGTAAAACCTGTGAGTATGATATTTTAATTTCAATTGTACAAACACCACAAAATTAAAGCCAACTGACCAGGAGTCGTTTTTATTTTTGAAAAAGGTGTGGAGATAGACAAAGCCTGCAAACTGGTGAGCATGAAAACTCGAATTTCGCGCCACGGCTGTCAGTCTGAACACGAGGTGGAAATACCGTACTGTGAAGGATCTTGCAACACGTTCACAAAGTAAGAATGATACAGCTTTCTTTTATTTGCTTAAACAATGTAGAAAGCAGATATAGAGCTAGATTTCTTATTGTCTCATTTCAGGTACTCTGAAGCGGCAGCTGCTATGGAACATTCTTGCTCCTGCTGCAAGGAAACGCGCTCCAGCAATCGCACCGTCGATTTGCTGTGCTTGAATGGAGACAAGCTCCCACACACCTACATTTATGTGGAGGAGTGCGGCTGCGGCCAGACGGAGTGCACCACAACTGCAGGGCTGTCTGCTCGCAGAAAACGAAGATCCACGCTGCTGTGACACAGTCGTCTTTCAGAACTATACTGAATGTTAGAAGTGTTTTGTCTTGTACCACTCTAGCAATATTAGAAGGTAATTTACCACTGATGTGGATTATTTATCAACTAATCAAATAAAAATATGCAACTGAGTTCATGTCTTTATCTTTGTAGTCTAAATTCACTTGGCATCAAATAAAATCATGGTAGAAATTATATGAAGATTTGAAATAAGCACATTGGCGTATTTATAGTGAAGAATTTAAGACATGCAAGTTCAAAAAACATATGAGCTGCATGACTTCTGGATAAGGTGTGCAGTTGTCTGACCTAAAGTGATGCCTCGTGCTGCCATCTAGTGGCAGCGCGAGGCTGCTACTTACTCTTTTCACTTTAGCCAGAGTGTATTTCTAAAATTCTTTGTAGGAACTAGTTTTGTATGATAATGAATATTTTTGGGAAAAATAGAATAAGATTTTTTATTTATTTGCTATTGTAAAATAAAACAAGCATACACAGACATTTATGTGGTGCAATCAGCAGATTAAAATGTATTCATGGCAGCGTTTACATTGTCTAGCTGAAAACTTAAAGAAAACCTTTGCCATAATTCTCTAAGCCATGTGAAATTACAGAGAATCCCATCTGTCAAAACTATTTTACCAACTAGTTTGACATTTTGAGTTTGTATAACGTCGTTCAGTAATTATTATTAGTGACGATTTCACTTGATTATGCAGATAAACAGAGGTAGCTGTGCAGTTGGTAACACAGTTTGCCTTACAGAAAGAAGGTCCTGGGTTCAAATCCTTCCCTGGGATTTTTCTGCGTGGAGTTTGCATGTGTGGATTCCCAATTTAATCTGCTGGTATCTTCCCATAAGATCTGAAAATATGACAACACCTGCAAGCAGGCTCAGATAAAATATGGACAAAGACATTTAAAAAAAAACTTTAACTAGGATAGCTAGAAAGTATTTTTTGCACTTCACTCAGTTTTAGTCATTTGTTTATATAAGTACTTTAGGCAGTGGTGGCTGTGAACAAGATATTTTGCCAGATATTGGGTGAATTGGTATATAAAATATGTTTTCAGTTGTTTTAACTGAAAACAAAATGACAGAATAGCCAAAAATAGAGATTGTATTTTATGATTGTAACGATTTGTCTCCCGTGCGACACAGCAGAGTCAAACATGACCATACAACGTGTAGCGATATTTCAAGATGCAGATGGTAAGAAGCTGCATGCAGTGTGGAATAAAGTATCTCTGGCTCTGCAGAAATGAGATAATTTACTAACTTTTCTTTGATATTTGAACCTCAGGATTTTGACACTATTAGATATTTGTGAAAATTAAATTAGTCAGATGACAGAGCTGATTTGACAAGAATTTTAACACTCATAAAATGCCACCTGAATTTTTATTGTCAAAATAACAACAAAAACAAACTATGTAAACGAAGAATAGGCTGAACTTTCATTATAAATTGTTATGCAGTGTCTTTGTATGTTTTTTACTCTGAAAAAAAGCAAACCAAAAGCCACTAAATCATGTCTGCGCTGACAGGATGCCATGGGAGCATTAAAGCATTACGTGATAGAAACAGCATCTTTACCCTTTGTTCACGTACAGCATTTCCAGACTATACCACTGTGTGTTTGCTTTAAGATCACGTGGTAGCTGGTAAGGCTGCTATCTGATAAATTAAACTAACACGTGCACAAACACTCGTTTTCCTGTTCAAGTTTTCTAAGAAGCTCTAAGTAAAAAAACATAAAAAATAGTCAGCAAACAAAGAATGTCAATAATTCCACAAAATTGTTACTCAAACTTGAAAATACTGTCCAGCAGATGCACAATTTACTACATATCCTGTTGCAGAAATGACTTTTTAAATAAGTCAGCAAATAATGTGACAAATTCATCCCTTTTATAACACCATCTTTTTCTGAGCTGGCAGTAAAAGATTATTGTTGTGTTCACAATTAAGCCTGAGTATTTATCATCTGTGTATCTAAACTCTTTTTAGTCCCCCTGACAAATACCAGCAGATTATTGTTAAGCAATAATCAAACAGAAGGATTACAAACCGGAACCTACCAGCTCAAGCTTCTACTCCGTCTGGTTTGTTTTTAGATTTAGTATCAGCTTTCACTTCCTTGTAAGAAACAAAGATTGTGTAACACCAGACCATTATGTGAGCTCTTATAGCATTTTTTTCCGTCTTTGAGGTAAATTGGAGTTTATCTAAAGACATGCATCTTTTGTTTTGATATAAAATAACTCATTTGAGACTCATATTTTTGGATCCATGTATCCAAAAATGGGGTTTTAATCGACTGATGGTATTATTCATGGCCTCCTCACTCAGCTACTGTTTGATATCAAAATACAAAGCATTTTTAAGCTGTGCATTATAGATAGAGTTGAGGTGAAAGAAACTATTTGTACAGATGTAAATGTTACTACGTTATCTTACTGTAAGTTTCACTGAATGTCTAGAAGATAATATTCTATATACAAACGCACACACAAAACTGATTATTACAGCATTGCACTGAATCCTAGAAAGTTTCAATATTTTAGCTATTTATCACAAAATACCTGCCACAAAATAACTTTAGCGCACAAGCTGGATTTGTAAACAGAGCTATTAATTAATTTAAGCAGTGTGGCACGCATTTTATTACATCATGGAGTTACCTCATCCCCATAACTTCAGATTGTAAAAGCTTGAAATTTTATCCTTGGCAGCAAAAGTAAAACTACAAGTTTCTTACAAGTTCCAGAGCACCTCCAAAGGTAAATTTATCTTTGGATCACTCCCAGGTGGATGACAGAGAAGAATGGTTCTTTCCTCAGTAAGAACACATTCTGTGTTTATTCAAGGAGGAGGCACATGAGTTTGTTAAATTAAATTTAAACAGATGAGACTGAAAGCAGCACTGTTTGTGATCTACCTGTGTTGATACAAGCTATTTAACTTCCACCTCCTCTGACAAAATAAACTAACAGAAGCTTCACTGAAATGTATAAAAAAAAATTAATTAAAACTTTTATTTCTAGTTCATGAGATAACTGGGGAGTCCCAATAATTGTTTCTAATCAAAATGTGTGATTTTCACATCACAGGGAGGAGAGAGGTGAGATGGTTAGAAATGTTGTCCTTACACAATAATTAATACTTTATAAGGAAGATATTTATTTTATGTCACAGTCGAAACAAATACATCCACGTATTAAAAAAGGGGGATGAAGGGGAAAAACAAAATAAAGATGCAAAGAACAATCAAAAATCCTTGATAAAATATTAAAAAAGAAAGGAAATATAAGAAGAAAAGTAAGAAAATTTAAAATCTGCAATAAATAATTTGCAGATTTATACACCTTCCTCCATACTTTTTACCTGTTAAACCTGAACATAAATCTAGTTTAAATCTAGTTTAAACCTGAATAAATCTAGTTTGAAACACGGAACAATGCTAAAATATGAGACATGGAAAAGTATCACTATGACCAGGATCAGTCTGTCATGATAGCTTTGAAACAGTCATCGTTTTTCTTTCCATCTCCAATAAGAAAGCAGTATTCACTTTGTCTCTCCACTGTACTGTTTAAATTTTCCGCCCTCTTCTCACACAAACACACACAGAGAAGTACACATCAACTTAACATTGCTGTGCCAACGAGACTTAGTGTTTGCTATGCGTCAGTCTGTACGTTTCTGTTTGCGTTTGTTTATGCAAATAAAACACATGCACTGACAGAGTGACAGTAACCAAAAACCAAACAGTGCGGGGTTTGACGTGTTTTCCTGGGAAAGTTTTGCGTCCAAAAATGACATCCTGTTTAATTTGCAAACAGCTGATGGGGGAAATATCAAGTAAGGAAGTAAAGACTCACACAAAAGATCAGACTCAGAAATCAAAATCAAACGGAAGTTATAAAGGCATAAAAAAGCTCATTTTTATTTATGACTGTCTATTCTTTTTTTAATATTACATTTCTGTGTGATTACAAAGTATATCTGCTTGCTCTTTACATACAAGCTGGATATTATTTTTACATGAATAATCCTGTCATTAATTGCCAACTTAAGAAATATATTAGCACAATTATGTAAAATAAAGTACTAACAAGTTTAATACACCTATATAAATAAAATGTATTTTTACCAAACTTTTGATAAACATTTTATGTTTTAAAATGTTTATAAAATGTTTTGATAAACATTTTATGTTTTATCCTTACACTATAAGCACCATTATGAAACACTGCAAACACTACACACACGCACACACACACTTTTCCACAGCCTATCCCAGAACCTAAAAACTTTCTTCTGTATATGAAGAAGAAAGTTGGGAATATGGAAATAACTGGAGGAAAGGAACAAGTAGTAATGACAAGATTACAGCTCAGACATGGAGGATCAAACTAACTTTCTATTTGACAGGTTAACATCCAACAGACATTTGTGAGTGTGGTATGGACATGGACACAGTAGAATGTGTAATAATTCATTGTGAAAAGTATAGGGTAAGTAGAGAATAATTGAAACAAAAAATTAGAAAATATGATGTGGAGACATTAAGAATGAATCAGATTTTAGTTAAACATAATAAGATAAGCAAAGCAGATATAGTACTTTTGAAAGAAAAAGTAATGCATATAAGAATTTAGGTTAGGTTTAGAGAGAATGGAAAGAAGGGGCAAATACTCTGGTAAACACTCCAGTACAGTAGATGGCATTAGGTGTCACCTGCCATGAAAAATCAAAAAGAAGAAGAAGACATGAAAATTGGGTTTGAACCCCAGAGGTAGATGCAGAAATAAGCAGGTGAGTCATTTTATCTTAGCAGCTCCACGTCACTTTTGCATCCACACTTAGGAGATTCTACACAAACATTTGCTTACGTTTCACCAACCAGTAGCCTGTCTTTGCTCTGCGTAGAAATGATCCTCCCCTCACAGGCAACCACTTCACTTCTCAAAGAGGAGCAGCTGTGCAGAGCCAGGACAAAATGCTACATGCTAAAGTATTCAATAAAAAGATAAAACTTCTTGTGTGCAAATGGTTATTCTGTGCTTCAAGTGCAGTGCTATACAAGTTACAAAAATTGGCCCAATGATTAAGATCTCTTCATTACATGTCTGAGATTTTCCCCCTGAAGAAAACGGAGTTAAATATCCAAACGGAGACACAACTCTGGAGGTAAATCTTAACATCCTTATGATCATGACAAGTTTAAAATCAAATCCTATCATAATTTTAAAATCAGCCAAATTGGGAATGTTTGTCAAGGACCCTCACATATATAAACAATCCCAGATTGTATATATGGGTAGTCGGAAGATTTATTCTATGGTAGGCAATGATGTTTGAAGAAGTAGATTGAAACCTAAATATACTAACTTTATTTATAAAGACAACAGAAAAAGGTGTACAATTCACAAGGAAACCTCCAAATCAGACAAACCCTGAGTCAAGAAAAAGTTTCTCTCCAGGTGAGTGAAGTGATTTTATTACCTTCTACAAAACATAGGAAAACTTACTTATGTCATCAGTTTTTGCACTGTTGAATATAACTACAAATAAAAGTAAATACTTAAAGATCAAAATAAAACAGCTAAGGAAAGATGTTATATGTTTGATGCAAAAATTCTGAAAAACTTGCAGAAAAATAAGTAAAAAGGAAATTGGTTCAGAAAAAAGATGAGCTCAAGTGACCTGGATGGCAGTGATGTGTGTGTATAACTCCACTGCCACGCCCTCAAACGCCCTGATATGACCTCTTTCACCTGACGGTAAGTGTCTTGCATGCTGATGTAAATAAAGATATCGCTGGACAGAACCCAACATTTTCAAAACTCATCAAACAAAAAAATTAGGCAGCTTAATCTCCATAGTTAGAAGAGTGGGAAACTATTTACACTGTTACAGATTTATTCTATTAGCTTTTCCTTGCAACACGTTGGTGTCTCAAATCCTTAATCAAATTTAAATCATAACCTGAGTAAATATCTTAAATAAATTTAAGATAGGAACGTATCCAGACCAATATGTAAAGAAGTAATTATCCTCAAATAAGCCAATGAACTTTTAAATGTATTGCACTCGTGTGGGAAAAACCTCAACTCATCTTTTCTTTGTCCTCACACATACTGTGGGGTTTTTGACATTAAACAGATTTATTCAAGGTCATGTCCACTCTTTGACAAGATCTATAAAGTCTTCACTTTGTGTGGGGTTTTGTACCCTTCAGAATGGCCATCTTTAAATCCCCTTTATCTTGATGTAAGAGCACCCACATCTTCAAAAAACTTTCACTTTTGTCTCGTTGTATTTTCTCTTGGTGATGGGACACAGTTAAAATCAGCCAGACTTTAACTGTTCTCTTATTCAAAGCCCTTTGGGGAAACAGAACGGGTTGTTCTGAGTTTCAAGTATTAAAATTTGAGTAGATTTGGAGGAGATCTTTGCACAGAAAAGAGTGAATAAGTATAATTTTCGTAGGAGAGTAATTACTCTATTAATTGGTCTTTAATGAAGAGAGACTGATGTATCTCCACAGAGATAGGATGAAAATAAAAGTACATTTACAGATATTTAAAGTGATGATCCAACATATATATTATCTATGATTAATCTTCAAGAGATAGTTTGTAATGACTTGAATTTACTCATTTGCATTGACTTTTAAGCCATGTTGTGTAATTTAATGAGTAAGTAAATATTCAGTAAACAGCAAAAGTGGCAGTAGTACCTGCTGTTCTGCAGTACAACCATGCATTATCTACTGTAATATTGACTTTTTGATGACTGATTTGAAAATGCATGTTTCTTATGCACTGATTTTAATTTGTTTAATTTATGTTATTTTTAATGTCTTAAAAATATAATTTATTAGTTAAAAGTACCAGAAATAGTCAACTTTTTTGTGTGATTTCATAATTTACTCACAACACAGCTTATGCAAATGTTGTAGTACTTCACAGTTCAAACTGTAAGGCAGATTTCTAACCTTTATCAAATATGATCTTTCGCTTTATTAGTATTTGAACATATTGGTTTTCAAAAATATAGTTGATGGTGTAAAATCTGCATTACGTGGCTGCATCTTAACGCGTTTCCGACCCGCATCTCGTCTGCCAGCTCACTGCAGTGTCCTTTTCCTGTCAAGCCTTTCCCTCTAAACAAACAATTAATGCACCTCTTATGTACCGTTGTCTGTAAATGATGTGATTCACTTCAGGTAGAGAACGGCAGCTCACACTAAATCCAAATGAATTTCACATGAGCAAAACTCAAACACTTTCATGAGTTGTGGTTTCAATTTGATTTTTTTTAAAAAATGCAGTTGATTTCAAATTAGTAAAAATTTCCAATTTTTAATAAAAAAAAAAAAAAGAAAGTGCAAAGGTCATGTGTAGTATAGAAGAACATTAGCTGTACCTTTGTGCTGCTTGGGCATCAGAATGAACAGTATTTTGTGGTTTCTATAAACTTCAACTAATACTTGTGTTGACAAGCACTATTCATTTAAGGTTGTGTATTCTGTAGAAGTGTTCAAACAGCTCTACTTTCTTTATACCGTCCATCGAAGAAGGTACTTGCTCACATTTTTTCAAGGTTTTTGAAGTTTGTTGTGAACTTAATAGATTTTTTTTTAAACCAAGGATTTAGTAAAGACTTGACTGAAGTCTTTACTAGATTATTCTTTTGTTAGGAACCAATTCTTTGTTGTTAAAGTATCGTTTCCAAGTCTCACCCATGAATATATTATGAATGTGTCATAGGTGAGACTCAGGTAACCTAAACCCAAAATAACGACGTTAGAAGAAACATACATCAAAGTTTACCTTCAAAGATTACAAAAACCTTTGACTACTTGAAGTAAAAATATTTTAACATTTTTTAAAAACCAAGACTTTTGGTTTATTCGCTCTGTTGGAGACTGTGTCAACATAATTTTGGACTAGATGAGTGATAAGGAGCTTCATGTTTGATTAAGACAATGCAGCCTTTGTGATAAGATCAGATGACCATACTGACAATATTTATCATCTTGGCATCTCACCAGTAGTCATCAAAAGGTGTTATCAAAACAATAGGCATTATTAATATAAAAGGACCTCTGCTTCAGCCTCACTATTTTCTGCTTTCAGACAACAAGCCTGCAGTGGCAAGCATGAAGTGGACTGTGGTGTGGTTGTGTTTCTTCAGTTTTGCTGTTGAAATCCAGGCCACACTGGGTAAGACTGACATCTTTTAAAATCTGACTGCATGGCTGTCTCTGAAATTCATTATATGTTGCTTGTGAATCATGTCCAATATGTGCTAGCATTTTAAATGTCTCTTTCCAAACAATAATTATTGTTTCAAACTTAATGTGTGGACATAAAGAAATAACTGTCTTTTCTTTTTTTCTTTTTTTTGTCTTTTACTGTTCTAGCTGACAACCATGTCAACAACATCTGCAGCACTTGGGGCAAGCAGCACTTTAAGACCTTTGATGGTGATGTGTTCCAGTTTCCTGGCTTGTGTGAGTACAATCTGGTCAAAGACTGCAGCGAATCTGAGAAGAAGTTTTCTGTGCACATTAGACGAGAAGAAAATGATGGAAATATTACAGTGAGTTATGTTGTGGTCACCATTTCTGAAAATACATTCAACCTAACCAAGACTGAGGTCACCGAAAATGAGAATCCGTAAGTGAAACACACACATGCAACAAATGTACACTAATTAAGATATTTTTACATTGTGTTGTTGTCATTAAATCTTCAAACTTTTGTTCTATTTTATCAGAGTCACTCTGCCACACTACAGCGGGGGAGTAAAGGTGGAAGAAAATACATTTTACATCAGGCTTCGAGCAACAAAAGTCGGCATAACTGTCATGTGGAACCGTGAAGATGCAGTCATGGTATACATCTTTTTGTTTCTGCCATACTTTGAGTAAATCTTTTGTTTTTTCCAAATTATTAAATCACATCGACTGACTGATTACATATAGAGGTCAGGCTTAAAATAAATATACTAGCTCTCTCTATGTTGGATGACACAATTGGAGATACAATAAATCTCTGGTGAGAGGAAATCATGAGATAGAAACAGTTATGATTGTTTGAAACATTGGATTTTAACTTCACTGTAACTTTTAGCACTTTTGAACATTATAGCCACTGTAAAAGAACAGAGACTGACTTCTTCTCTCTGGTATAGACTAAAAAGGTTTGAAACGTGATCCTCTCTGTCTTGTGCTTCAGGTTGAGGTTTCAAATGAATACAAGAACAAAACTTGTGGCCTTTGTGGAGATTTCAATGGCGTTCCTGTTTATGATGAGTTCATGAATAATGGTATGTAGTTCATTGAAGTGTGAAAAATGTATTGGAAAATAAAATAAAATCAGTCATATCTTTAATGTTCTTTACTTCATCTTCATAATCAGGTTTTAAAATGACTCCCATTGAGTTTGGAATCAAACACAGAGTCAATCTGCCAAATGATGAATGCAAAGACCCTCATGTGGAAGATGATGAATCAAATGTGTCACTTTCATGCAAAGCATTTGTAAGTTTAACTCGCTCGGTTCTCCACTAAAAATGTTAAATAATAACATGGTGACATTTCAATTTCCATCATTTTTCCTCACTACAGGAAACCATCTGTGAACAAATGTTTGAAGGGGATTCCTGGAGTTCATGCGCCAGCCTGATTGATGCTGAAGCTTTCATCAAGGCATGTGTGGTAGACATGTGTGCCTGTAACAACGGCAGCGGTGACTTATGTGTCTGCAGCACAATGTCTGAGTTTTCTCGTCAGTGTTCGCACGCAGGAGGACAGCCACCCAACTGGAGGAGACCTGATTTCTGTGGTATGATTCTTGTTTGCCTCTTTATTTTTTGTTTTATGACTGTAGTTTAATGCTTAGGAGGTTATTGGAGTCATAAAATGTTAACATATTGTTATTACTTGATATTTTGCCTAAATGATTCTATGAATTATTTCTGCTCATTATTTATGGCACTATTTGTCTTCACAGGTAAACAGTGTCCCTACAACATGACATATGAAGAAAGTGCTTTTCCTTGCATGGATACTTGCACACATCAGGACACAAGATTAGTGTGAGGACCATAAAACAGATGGCTGCTTTTGTCCTTCTGGTTAGTTCTCTTCACATTTAAAATGTGTATTGTGCTACTGTTAATTCACCTTCACAGAATAAAACTGTTTTTCTCTCAGGAACGGTGTTTGATGATATTTCTGAGAGGGGCTGCGTCCCTCGGTCTGAGTGTCAGTGCAAGCATGACAAAATCTACAACTCTGGAGAGACTTACCGTCAAGAAAATACAAACTGGTATGTTTCAAGATGTTTACGGAAAGTCTTCATGTTGCTAAATTTATCTTTTTTGTTACAATACTGGTCAAATTTCATAAAAATGAAGACAATATGTTTTAATGTATTTTCTTGATATTTCAAACAATAAAATTACATAATCTTGAAATGTATGAAAACTTATAGAATTTATCACATTATTCAAAAGTAAAGTTGGAAATGTTTACATGTATACATATATATAAATGGTGCATATGTAAAGAGTTTTCTATATGAAAACTAAGTAGCTACTTGTGCAAAATTTTTAAACCTTGATTTTTCTACCATTTCACAATAATGTCCTGATTTGTGCTGGTCTATCACATAATATACTTAGAAAGTGCAATACAGATATATATTTTTCAGTACTTGTTCAGAGGGGAAGTGGGAGTGCGATTCTTTCGAGACCCCGGCGACATGTGCAGTAGAGGAAGGTTTACATTTCACAACATTTGATGGTGCAACCTATACCTTTCATGGAAATTGTCTTTATACCCTGGCCAAGGTGGAGAGCCAGGTAAATAATGAGTCACTTTCTCATTACTAATAAATAATACAAAGCAGACATAGAAGTGAAGATTTCCCTGTGCTCAAATGTTTTATATATTTCAGGATGGATTAAGTCCAAACTTTACTATCCGGGCCCAATTGGAACAATGTGCAGGAAAAAAATCTGATATTTGTCTAAAGGCTCTTAAAATCCATCTGGGCATAGATAATGTGAGTAAAATTACAGATGTTAGTATTATGTTCTCATTTCACACTAATATCTACAGATCATTCATAATTGGTTTTGTCTTTCTACAGGTACTAATTTTACATCTGAGGGAAAAGTTCAACAGAATAATGAGGACATCAGTTTGCCATATTACTCAGGTGAGTCTGACAAGAAGCAAACTTTAATTGAGCGAATTTTTTCAGTTTCTATTTGTGGAACATCAGGTGACTTTTCTGACATTATTTACAGGCGACATCAGAATATTTCATGCTTCATCCTTTCATATCTTGCTCAACGCTAAGTTCGGACTCCAAATTCAGATCCAGCGTGTTCCTGTCATGCAAGCCTACATCAGTCTGGAAAGCAGCTACAAAGAAAAGACTCGTGGTGAGTTCAATGTTTTTCTTTAATTCAGTCAACTTTTATTTCAGTGTTTAAAGCTTGTGGGAAAGTATGGAAAAAATAGAAGGATGGAAAAATATTAGCATTTTCAGACTTTATTCTTTCTCTCACATTTCAGAATTTTTTCTCTTGTGCCCCTTCTTCCTTTTCTGCCTCTGTCCTATCTTTGTTTACTTTCTTGTGTCATGCGTCTTACCTTCCTGGGTCTATCCTTCCTTCCCTTGTCTCATTTCCTTTCTAATCTTATTTTCTGTCCTTGTATGCTCTTTTCTTCTTTCCTTGCTTTTGTCATTCCTTTCTTTATTGTTTCCATCCTTTTTGATGCACCGCTATCCTTCTTTTCAGGTGTAATAATATCAAGCATCTTTTCACAGTGATGTAATTTGGCAGTGCAGATAAAAACAGATTTGATTGATAAAAATTATATTTTTCAAAACTACTGTTATGTTGAGGGTTTTGTTTATGTGTCCCACTTCAAAAGTGTTGGTGGGCATTAATATCTGTGAACTAGAATATACTTTATCTGTTTGTCAATCTGTCAAAAATATAGACAAATTAAATGGTACATTTTTCATACAGCTTAAAAAAGACAAAAAAAAAAGTACATTGATTAACATTCATGACACTGTTGTACAGTAATGCAGCCCGAAACACATGAAAAACTTCAAGTATCATATGTTCAAGACAAAAAATAAAGACATATTTCTCCAGTTTGGATATTACAGAAACTAAGCAGTTGTTGTTCTGAACATGTTCTTCAGGTTTATGTGGAAACTACAACATGGCTTTGAATGATGATATGACGACTCCTCAAGGGAGCCAAGAAGGAACTGCTGTAACTTTTGGTAATTCTTGGAAGGCCGACCAAACATGCCCTGACGCAGGCAAAGAACTTGAAGACCCATGTTCCGACAGTATGATAACTGGTAAAAAAAAATAAAAAATTAACAATATTTTTATTTTTCCAATCAAATGAAACCCATTGTAGAATTCTATTTAACAGTGAAGCTTTACTTTTGTTGTTTTGTGAGTATATATATTTAATTTGGAAGTGTAAAAATAATTTTACATTTAATTGTAGAGAATTATGCCAGGCACTGGTGCGAAACGCTCAGAAATTCCAATGGTACATTTGCAAATTGCCATTCAGCGGTGAATCCTGACTATTACTACAAGGTACAACAACAACCTCTTCTTTCAGAGCTTAATTCTGCTTTACTGGACTATAATTTTCTCAAACTGTCCATTTTTCTGCAGCGCTGTCTTTATTCCACCTGCAACTGTGAGAAAAGTGATGACTGCTTATGTGCTGTTTTCACCTCTTATGGTCGAGCTTGTGCAGCAAAGGGAAAGTTTGTGACCGATTTTGGAAACGAATGTGGTAATGTGTCTTTAAGTTTCATGACAACACATTAATTGCCATATATAAGTCTTGTAACAGCTAGGTAATTTTCCTATATATCCACAAAACAGAGAAACACACAAAGAGCTGTCCATCAACTCAGATCTTCACTTACAACCACCGCAGATGCCAGCTGACCTGTAGTTCACTGAGCTCAGATCAGCTGAGCTGCACTTCAAATTTCTTGCCTGTGGTTGGCTGTTTTGCCCTGATGGTCTCTACCTGAATGAAAAAGACATTTGTGTACCCAAAGAAGAATGTTCCTGTTCCCATAAAGGACAATACATTGAAGCAGGAACGTCTGTCAACATCAATTCTGAGCACTGGTGAGTCAAAAGAAACCTCAAATAATACGGTTACCAACGGGCTTTTTTCTCCCAGTAACTAGCATTGATGCCACATATCTGTTTCATTGTCAATCTTTCAATGCTTTCCCCAAGTGTGTGCGACAATGGAATGCTTCACTGCCATTCCCAGAAAAACCAGTCCTTGGGTAAGTCACTGGGCCATTTATTTCCTTGCTTTCCCATAGCACTGGTACTGGTGTAATCTTGTGAAATGTGAACAAGTGGATTCTTTTTGTACAGCATGTCCTGCTTCAAAAGTGTACTTCAACTGCTCTTCTACAAACGACAAAACCCTTGGACCACAATGTGCTAGAAGTTGCATGAATCTGATTGACAATGTTTGTGTAAGTTTTTGTCTTGCTCATTTTTGATGAGGATCAGAAATCCTGATATGTATTTTTTTTTTCATCTTCAACAATATGTGGACCTTTTATTTATGCTCCACTGAAATGTGCTCTGTGAACAGGTTCGTCAGCTTGTGTGAGTATCTTCAAACTGATTAACCATAAATAAATACTGGTTAAACAAGGGCCACTAAAATAGACCAAGTGTCGCATGTGGTTCTGTACTGCTGTCTTTCACAGACTACAGATCTCTTGAGACAGTAAAACAGCTATAATTTAATGTTGGCTGAGGTGGGCTCACCCAACAAATAAACTCTTTCATGCATAGTGGTCTCTCCAGTGGACGGCTATCTAAAATCCATTTTATTGTGCTTCTTGTTGATTTTTATGTTAGAAATACACACAGACCACTGAATTTGACTCTAATGCATCATAAAACATTGATGCATTAGATCGATGTTGCATTTGCATAAGCTGCAAATGCAAGAAATAATTTTTGTTAAATTCAATATGGCCGACAGACAAAAAAGCATGTCAACCGACCCTGTTACTCCTCCTACTGTAGACAACTCTTGCAGGAAAAATAAATATTGTGACATCAGATAACCCCTAAAGAACAATACTACTGATGTATTTTTCAAATAACAACTTTGTATTTGGAGAAAATTGCAATTGATCACCTAAAGAAAAAAATAAAAAATAAAATACAAAAATCTACTTTTTTTACGCCTTAAGAAAATCCTGATACAAAGGCTCATAATTAATGCTGGAAAGGGTTAATGTTTACAGCAAAAGATATCAATTATTTCTCAGTACTTTTGAATAACTGTATATATCTTCTCTTCCCAGGATGCATCAGAATGTGTATCCGGCTGCATGTGTCCTACTGACCAGCTTGATGATGGCCAAGGCTCCTGTGTGAAAAATGAAAGTGATTGTCCATGCCAGCACAATGGCAAATTCTATAAACCTGAAGGGACATTTCATCAAGACTGTAACCTCTGGTAAATAAATATACTACTTGTGCAGCATTTTGTTTTGGGCTAAAAACAATTTTCTGTTGAACATTTAAAGTTTATTTAAATAATTCTGCTCAATTCTATCCATTTATTATATATTTAGTACTTGCAGAGGTGGAAAGTGGATATGCACAATGAACAATTGTTCACAGAGCTGCATTATTTATGGAAGTGGACATCATAGAACATTTGACATGCGACAATATGAGTTTCAAGGACATTGTTCTTATGTTGCTATCAAGGTAAGTTAATGCAAAAACACTTTTAAAAAACATTTGTCTGGGCTTTGATTATTAGGAATTATGTGGGATTATTTAATGAATGAATTATGAAAATATTACGACAGCAATTGAAAGGAGATTACTTGGTGAAATAGGGACACTGGCTATCAGACCCTGGATCTTTGTTCGTAAAAGATGACTCACTACTTTGTGCACATCAACAAATTAGTTTAAGAAAAGGTAAAGTAAGAATCAAGCAGATATTTGTGTTTGAAATGATTTAATAAATTTAAGTAAAGGCTTAAAACTAAATATCTATTTTTCCTGAAGATTTGCATAGGCAGCCACATAAATATGTTCTTTTGAGGAGCAATTTATATGCGTAGTATTCTTAGTTTGTGTGGTTGAATTAATTAATTTTTTATTTGTTTATTATCTGTTCTCTTGAAAACAACTTACATGACCTATTTTTCTTCAGAATAATTGTTTCAATAAAACAGCAGAGAGTGACATTGAAGTCATCACAGAAGATGAACCATGTGGATCCACAGGCACAACATGTTCCAAAACTGTCAGAATTCAGCTTGGGGTAAGGCAAAATGCAAAGACACAAAACATTTTCTCCAAACTGTACAACTCCTTCAAGTAGATTTAGGTATCAAAACAGATGATACAAAATCAAATAATAGTAAAAATATTGAAAAAAAAAGTTCTTTCTTTTTTGTTTTATTTTTTACAAAAGTTAAATATTCTTTACATTTCAGAGAGCCGTGATCATCCTCTCAGATGGAACGTATAAAGAAGACGTTTTGGAAAATGGCACAAAAATAGATTATCGAATAACAAACCTGGGCTTTTATATTGTGCTAGCTTCTAAAATGGGTCTGACTGTAATTTGGGATCGCAAAACATATTTTGTTATCCAGCTGGAATCACAATTCATGGTGAGTCTCAGCAATTAATTATGAGAACAAACTACAAACTTGGCATTGTTGAGTCTCATATTAAAACACGGTATAAGATTTGGCAATGACTGACTTGTTTGTATTTGTGCAGGGTGAAGTGTGTGGCCTGTGTGGAAATTTTGATGGCAATGGAGAAAACGACTTCACCACCCGGAGTGGGTTGGTAGTGAGCAGCCCATTAGAGTTTGCAAACAGTTGGAAAGGGGACAGCACTTGCTCGGATGTGGATAAGCTTGTTGACGCTTGTGAAAAAGCACCTCATCGAGACCATTGGGCAAAAATGAAGTGCAACATCTTAAATGGAGACACATTCAAAGAATGCCACTCCAAGGTAGTACAGCGGTTGTGAGTGCAGTGAAGATTTTGCACTAAAAGTACAAAAACAATCCATAATTTTGCATGCTTAAACAGGTAGAGCCTCGTCGGTTCTATGAAAACTGTGTGAAAGACACATGTGCCTGTGACACTGGAGGGGACTGTGAATGTTTCTGTTCAGCTGTTGCAGCTTATGCTCAAGCTTGCAATGAAGCTAACGTTTTGATTTCATGGAGAACTCCAGAAATTTGTCGTAAGTAAATAATATCTTCTTGAACTTTTTTTTTTAAGTTTGTTTGATACTTAGTAAAGAAATAAACTATTACTGGACAGATAACTTAAGCGTAGTTATATTAAAAAACAAATATTACTGCACAAAAGTATGATTGCTTTAATTTTTATTAGCAATTGAGTCAATAATGAAGTGGGAACAAACTCTAAAAACAAACATATCTATGGTCTGTAAAGATATTGAGAAAAAAAACAAAAACAAAATACTCTCATAACAAATGTCAATAATTTTTGAGACGATACTGTGAGTTTTTTAAATAAATCACAATTTAAATCACAATTTACAAGCATTGTTTCTGCACTTTATTTTTAGCTGTGTTTTGTGATTACTACAATAATCATGACTGCTTATGGCACTACCATCCTGGGACTCCAGAGTCATACCAGACTTGTTCAAATTATTTTCTACATGTTCCAAAGCTTGAAGGTAAGTTGTAATTTAAGACTTTCTGAAATCACAAATAAAGATTAAAAATGAATTAATTCAAGCTACCCATTTTGCTGACTCTAAAACAAAAATTATTGTGAGAAAAATGATTTAACACAACAAAAAATAAAAGCATTCATTTCTTGTGAAAGCAATGTTTAATGTATTACTATATTATAACCAAAATGCTTAAAAGGTTTGTTGCAATTTTGCAGGTTGTTACCCCCATTGCCCAGAACATGCAAATGTTTTTGATGATGAATCGAAGCAATGTATCCCAGGCTGTGAGCAAGTTAAAGAAACAACAACAACTACCACCACAGAATCAACAACAGAACTTACAACTAGAACTGAAACACCAACAACAACACCAACAATTACAAGCTCAGCTCCCACCACATCAACTGAGTTTACAACATTAACAACTGGACCAACAGAATCCACAACATCACCTACTGTAACACATCCTACTACACCCACAACTCCCACTACAGTATCCACAACACCAACACAATCTACCACTACAACTACAACACCAACAACCACAACTACCACCACTGGATCAACAGAATCCACAACAGCATCAACTGTAACATATCCTACTACAACCATAACTCCCACCACAGGATCCACAACTCCAACAGAATCTACCACTACAACTACAACACCAACAACCACAACTACCACCACTGGACCAACAGAATCCACAACACCATCAACTGTGACATATCCCACTACAACCACAACTCCCACTACAGTATCCACAACACCAACACAATCTACCACTACAACTGAAACACCAACTACTACAACACCAACAACTACAACTACCACATCAACTGAGTCTACAACCATAACAACTGGAACCACAGAATCCACAACATCATCAAATGTGACATATCCCACTACAACCACAACTCCCACTACAGTATCCACAACACCAACACAATCTACCACTACAACTGAAACACCAACTACTACAACACCAACAACCACAACTACCACCACTGGATCAACAGAATCCACAACAGCATCAACTGTGACATATCCCACTACAACCACAACTCCCACTACAGTATCCACGACACCAACACCATCTATCACTACAACTGAAACACTAACTACAACACCAACAACCACAACTACCACCACATCAACTGAGTCTACAACCATAACAACTGGAACCACAGAATCCACAACATCATCAACAGTAACATATCCCACTACAACCATAACTCCCACCACAGGATCCACAACTCCAACATCTACCACTACAACTACAACACCAACAACCACAACTACCACCACTGGACCAACAGAATCCACAACACCATCAACTGTGACATATCCCACTACAACCACAACTCCCACTACAGTATCGACAACAACACCACAATCTACCACTACAACTGAAACACCAACTACTACAACACCAACAACTACAACTACCACCACATCAACTGAGTCTACAACCATACCAACTGGAACCACAGAATCCACAACATCATCAACAGTAACATATCCCACTACAACCATAACTCCCACCACAAGATCCACAACTCCAACAGAATCTACCACTACACCAACTACAACTACCACCACTAGACCAACAGAATCCACAACAGCATCAACTGTGACATATCCCACTACAACCACAACTCCCACTACAGTATCCACGACACCAACACCATCTACCACTACAACTGAAACACCAACTACCACAACACCAACAACCACAACTACCACCACTGGATCAACAGAATCCACAACCATCAACTGTCATATCCCACTACAACCACAACTCCCACTACAGTGTCCACGACACCAACAGAATCTACCACTACAAATGAAACACTAACTACAACACCAACAACTACAACTACCACCACATCAACTGAGTCTACAACCATACCAACTGGAACCACAGAATCCACAACATCATCAAATGTGACATATCCCACTACAACCACAACTCCCACTACAGTATCAACAACAACAGCACAATCTACCACTACAACTGAAACACCAACTACTACAACACCAACAACCACAACTACGACCACATCAACTGAGTCTACAACCATACCAACTGGAACCACAGAATCCACAACACCATCAACAGTAACATATCCCACTACAACCATAACTCCCACCACAGGATCCACAACTCCAACAGAATCTACGGCTACAACTACAACACCAACAACCACAACTACCACCACTGGACCAACAGAATCCACAACAGCATCAACTGTAACATATCCCACTACAACCACAACTCCCACTACAGTATCCACGACACCAACAGAATCTACCACTACAAATGAAACACTAACTACAACACCAACAACCACAACCACACCACTGGATCAACAGAATCCACAACATCAACTGTGACATATCCCACTACAACCACAACTCCCACTACAGCATCCACAACACCAACACCATCTACCACTACAACTGAAACACCAACTTCAACACCAATAACCACAACTACCACCACATCAACTGAGTCTTCAACCATACCAACTGGAACCACAGAATCCACAACAGCATCAACTGTAACATATCCCACTACAACCACAACTCCCACTACAGTATCAACAACAACAGCACAATCTACCACTACAACTGAAACACCAACTACTACAACACCAACAACCACAACTACGACCACATCAACTGAGTCTACAACCATACCAACTGGAACCACAGAATCCACAACAGCATCAACTGTAACATATCCCACTACAACCACAACTCCCACTACAGAGTCCACAACACCAACACCATCTACCACTATTACTGAAACACCAACTTCAACACCAACAACCACAACTACCACCACTGGATCAACAGAATCCACAACAGCATCAACTGTAACATATCCCACTACAACCACAACTCCCACTACAGTATCCATGACACCAACAGAATCTACCACTACAAATGAAACACTAACTACAACACCAACAACCACAGCTACCACCACTGGATCAACAGAATCCACAACAGCATCAACTGTAACATATCCCACTACAACCACAACTCCCACTACAGTATCCACGACACCAACAGAATCTACCACTACAAATGAAACACTAACTACAACACCAACAACCACAACTACCACCACTGGATCAACAGAATCCACAACAGCATCAACTGTAACATATCCCACTACAACCACAACTCCCACTACAGTATCCACGACAACAACAGAATCTACCACTACAAATCAAACACCAACTACAACACCAACAACCACAACTACCACCACTGGATCAACAGAATCCACAACAGCATCAACTGTAACATATCCCACTACAACCACAACTCCCACTACAGTATCCACGACACCAACAGAATCTACCACTACAATGAAACACTAACTACAACACCAACAACCACAACTACCACCACTGGATCAACAGAATCCACAACAGCATCAACTGTAACATATCCCACTACAACCACAACTCCCACTACAGAGTCCACAACACCAACACCATCTACCACTACAACTGAAACACCAACTACTACACCAACAACCACAACTACCACCACTGGATCAACAGCATCAACTGTGACACATCCCACTACGACCACAACTCCCACTACGGTATCCACAACACCAACACAATCTACCACTACAACTGAAACACCAACTACAACACCAACAACCACAACTACCACCACTGGATCAACAGAATCCACAACAGCATCAACTGTAACATATCCCACTACAACCACAACTCCCACTACAGTATCCACAACACCAACACCATCTACCACTACAACTGAAACACCAACTTCAACACCAATAACCACAACTACCACCACATCAACTGAGTCTACAACCATACCCACTGGAACCACGGAATCCACAACATCATCAACTGTGACATATCCCACTACAACCACTACTCCCACTACAGTATCCACGACACCAACACAATCTACCACTACAACTGAAACACCAACTACCACAACACCAACAACCACAACTACCACCACTGGATCAACAGAATCCACAACAGCATCAACTGTAACATATCCCACTACAACCACAACTCCCACTACAGTATCCACGACACCAACAGAATCTACCACTACAACTGAAACACCAACTACTACACCAACAACCACAACTACCACCACTGGATCAACAGCATCAACTGTGACACATCCCACTACGACCACAACTCCCACTACAGTATCCACAACACCAACACAATCTACCACTACAACTAAAACACCAACTACCACTGTAAAATCCACTACACCCTCTACTAAATCTACAATTGAAACACCTGGTACTATCACGACCTTTACAACCATTTCATATCCTGAATCAACAACTGTGGAATCTATTGCTACATCTGAAACACCCGTAACCCATCCTACAGGTTGTCCTAAATGGAATAAAATGGTAAGTTGCAGAACTTTAAAACTGTAAATGAAGTTATTTTTCGAATGAATAAAATTTTCTTTTTAAATATTTTTATTTTACTTTGTTTGATGTCATCATGCTACATGCTACAATTGTATTGTTGTTGTAGAAACTTATCCCTGATTATCCTCTTTTCTTTATTACAGGAAAATGAAACCTTTTATTTTTGCAACTGCACCATGGCCAAATGTATTGGAAGCAATACTCTTCAAATAGTACCCTATGAATGTCCACCTATCAAAAACATAACTTGTTCCAATGGAAAACGTCCTGTTCTGGTATATGATGAATATCAATGCTGCCAACATTATCAATGTGACTGTAAGTTATTTGGTCAGAATCTTTAGGAAATATACCAAAAAATAAATATTTTGACCACTCAAGCAAGAAACAATACAACAGAATATTATAATGAAGATTAATTGTACAAATCATAACAGTGATTAGCACAAATAGTATTGCTAATTGGTTGAGAGTAGCCATTTTAGCCTATTCAAGCACAACTTCCCAGCTCTTTTTTGCGAAGGGATTCTCCCCTACAGCTCAAATACCTTTTTGCTAATGTGTCATTTCTAGACTCTTTAGGATATCTGTGCATTGTAGTCTTTCTTTTACAATTTGTGTGAGCTATATTTGCAGCATACAGCCTATTTAATCTTATGCAAGTAACATATATTACATTATATATTGGCTGATCGATACATTCAGTCAAATGCTTCTGTTTTAAACAGAATAAAGATTTTATTTCTTTTTTTTCGCTCCAGGCGAGTGCAAAGGGTGGGGAGATAACCATTACAGCACATTTGATGGACTATCCTACAAATACCATGGAAACTGTTCCTATTATTTGATGAAAGAAATTGCACCAAGGGACGACTTGGAAATTTACATTGATAACATCCATTGTGATCCTTTTGAAGATCCTTCATGTCCTCAATCTTTAAATGTAAACTATGGAGCAGAGCATGTCAAACTGGTCTATTTTATTCTCAATGGACAACCAGATTTGAAGGTAATACAAGATGATCCCATTCTGAATATCAGCTTTTATACCGAATTCAAAAGACAAACAGACATGTATTTGCATGTGGGACAAAATATCTGTTTTAGCCTTTTTTGATATTTGAATTGTTGTGATTGATTTGCAGGCGTTTACGAATGAAGTGAGTCTAAATCTCCCTTATTGGAAACAAGGTGTTAAAGTGATGAGCACTGGCACTAATTTAGTTTTAGAGATCCTTCGTCTGAATGTGGTTGTTAAATTTGGAAGAACTGGATTTAGTATCAACCTTCCATACAAGTACTTTGGGGGAAACACACAGGGTCATTGTGGTAAGAACTCCCTCTCAAGAGACCACCTGTATTTATCTTCCGGTTTGAATGTAGAGAGTGACACTTGACAATTTGTGATAGGAACTTGCACCAACAGTCAAGCTGATGACTGCTGGCTGCCTGGAGGAACGGTATCAGAAGGTTGCACTGAAATTGCTAATGGCTGGCTTGTAGAGAAAGATAAAGACTGCAAGCCTGGAGAAGAACCGCCTTTGAAACCTCCATGCAATGCAAGTTCTGTATGTGAACTTCTCAAGAGCAGGTACTTTACGACTTTGTCTGTATTTTTTTTTTTTTTTTACTTTAAATCAGTTTGGAAACTTTTTAAATCATTATTTTCTCTTATGATATTTTTTTTCTTTTTCATTTTCCACCAGTGTCTTTGCTGAATGCCATTCCCAGATCTCTCCAGATAATTACTACAAAGGATGCGTTTCTGATAGCTGCCCTGTTCACAATGGAGCAAATGCAGCGGAGTGCTCAAGTTTAGCAAGTTATGCTGCTGCGTGCTCTGATGTTGGAGTTTGTATTCACTGGAGGAACCACACTGATCTATGTGGTACAATATTTCTTTTTGTCCAAGCCAAAAAGACGTTTTTCCAAATCTAAATTGTAATTTGTGCTCACAATTTGATTAAATAAAACAAACTAAATTGTTGTTCTTTACCAACAGCCAGTGACTGCCCATCAGACAAAATTTATAAACCTTGTGGACCTGCATATCAACCAACTTGCGAGGAAAGGTGAGTTATAAAAAATTATTTAACATATAAAGGTATTTTCTCATACTATTATGGTAGGCACAAGTTGTTTTTAATGAAAACAAAAGAAAATAGTTAAAAAATGTGAAAGCAACACTGATAATGTCAACATCTTCCTTTTGAATCTAACTTAGTTTATCAGGTAATGCTGATTAAAAAGCTAGATGCTATATAATATAAATAAGTAAATATCTGAATATGTTTTCATAGTCCGCAAGAAATCTTTCTGAGAGTTTTCTCTTGTGTTTTAATTACCTCTTTCAATCTGTCAATTCCTCAGTTTTCATCAATTCCACCAAATTTGTTTGCTATTATTTTAAAAAAAAGCAAACAATGCAGGATAAGTAGCGATATAACTAATAAACCCAATGATAGCAATATTAATAGCAAAACACTAACCACTAAATGAGTAATTAAGATGCAATAAGGTGTAATGATTTTTGTTGTTGTTGCAGTTCTAATGATCCAGGTATGGACTTCACCACAGAGGGCTGCTTTTGTCCTGAAGGAATGAAACTATTCAGCAGAGAATCAAAAATATGTGTTAAAAATTGTGGTAAGTATTTACGTTTTGTGACTGCACGTTTTGTGACAAAAATAGGCATAGTTCCAAGGCTGCAAGATGTAACTGAGCCAAGTTTACCTTTAAATGAACATCTAAGTGTTTTGTCTAGAATATAACCAACACACCCAAACATTTTGCTAACGTACAGTAGATGAGCTTAACCTATTCTATTATTTGGGTTTTCACACTCTGTCTAAAAATATCTATTATACAGTTTGCTTGCAGCATATTTTTAATTATTTATCCAAAAGGGTACATTTTGGAAATTTTCTTTGTTTGACACATCAATCAATCAATCAATCAATCAATCAATCAATTTTATTAATAAAGAAGCCTTAATACCAAAAGCAGCTCAAAATAACTTGTAAAACCTTACAAGTTAGAAATATTCACAAAAAACTTGTTGGAATTGTCGTTTTCATTTTTATTAGGTGTGTTGTACTTGGGGAATTGAAAAGTATCTTAATCTAAATCACAAATAAAAGTGACTAATTTCAGCATTAGCAATTCAAGAGAAAAGAGAGACTCGCATAATTATGTTCACAATATGTTTTAACAGGCTGTCTTGATCCTAATGGGATGCCCCGTGAGGTGAGCCAAACATAATTTTCATGTAAAGTCCTCTATTTCTTCCCTTAGATGTTAAACTCAACACTTTGGTTTATTTTTTTTCTTTGTTTTAGTTCAATGAGACATTTGAATACCAATGTCAGAACTGTGTCTGTGATGAGTCCACTAAAACTGTGAACTGCAAGCCTAAGACGTGCCCACCCACTGCTTTACCAAGATGCATGGGTCCAGATTACGTTCTTGTCAATCAAACTGATCCATCAAATCCCTGCTGCAATGTCCATGTTTGCCGTAAGAAACAGTAAAGACGCTGATTACTGTTTGCTGCTTGTAAATCTTTAAATTTGTAATAAACTGAGTTTTCCTTCTTTGTGTGAGCAGAATGTCAGGTCCACGCTTGTCCGGACATCAATATGAACTGTGATGTTGGATTTAAGTCAAACATCAGTGTTCCAGAGGGAAAATGCTGTCCAGAACGTAGATGTGGTGAGTCTGTAAAATCAGTTTGAACCTGCCAAATGGACAAAGAATCACTTTTAAGAGACCTTTATTTTTTGTACATGATTGTTTACTTTCCTTCCCAGAACCTAAAAGAGTCTGTGTGCTAAATGATGTTGAATACCCGGTAAGAAACATACATATTGAGGAGTTCTTTTAATATATGTTTTAATTTTATAGTCTAACAATGAATTTCTTTGGATTTGTCAGCCTGGTTCTTCAGTTCCTGGCCAGAAATGTGAGAACTGCTTCTGTTCCTCAAACTCTTCGTCTGGTGGTCTGATGGAAATAAAGTGTGTGAAACAGCAGTGTGAAGAAACATGCAGAAAGGTGAGGAAGCCAATGTAATGTGTATGGGAAAATGGTCACTGGTGGGAAAAAGTGTTGACATGAAGTTGAGGTATTACAGATATAAGTGAGATTCAGTCATAATCTAAATGTAAATTTCCACCAATATACTCTGCTAGTAAACATCGGAACATGAATAAAGAAATGCAGGCTGATTATCAAGAAAAAAATATTCAGAATGTATAATACATGGACTTTAGTGCTTATTTATAAAAGTTAAAACTCACCGTCTTTTTGTGGAAATCAACCAAGTTAAACAAACGGTAAAATACAATATATTGAACAGTCTTCAGCATTTTTTGAATAATGTCTCAATTTTCAGTATGTTGGGCCAAATTTTATTGTTTAGTTGTAATGTTTGCTGTTGCCAGAAGAAGATAAAATGTATATTTTAGCAGTTCCTTAATTAGAGTTTAGAAAAAATGTGTTTTGCCAGCGGTTCGACCCTTGACCGCAGTTGTAGTGTGGAAACATAATTGCCATTCCTGGTTTATTTCTAAGTATGTTTAGGTGTTGCAATTTCCCAGAAAAAGCCAAAACATAAAGCAGATTAAAAATCAGTGGAAAGATTCAAATATTGAGGAAGATTGGGCAAAAATTGCAATATGAGCATGTGCAAAGCTATATCCCAGAAAACTTCAAAAAATAATTTTCCACTGAAGGTTTTACACAAAGTAGTCTCTGATTTCAGACTTACTGGATTTTGTTTGTAAAGGTTTAGAAAATTATGTAACATTTCTGCTCAATTGTGTACAGGTTTGACTTGGTCTAGTAGAGAAGATCCAAATAAAAAAACTTTGTAAATGGGGGTAATTGCTTGACAAGATGTTAAAAGGGACAAAAGGTGTGAATGAATTTACAAGTAACTGTATTTTAATCTGACATTTGATTTAGTTAAATTTACTTCTTCTTTCAGGGATTCAAATATGTAAAAACCAATTCAGATGATTGCTGTGGGAAGTGCGTACAGACACACTGTGTGTTCAGTGTTAATGGCAATGAGACACTCTTAAAGGTAAACTGAAACATCATTGTTCGTTTGGATTAATTTCTATAAGTATAAAAAAACTTAAGTATATGGTTATTTGTGTGGTAACTTTCAGGAAGGAGAAACCTGGTCACCACCTGAAAATAAATGTGAAAGTAAGACTTGTGTCAAGAATGGTGAGATTTTTACAGTCTCCAACAAACAGATCATTTGCCCACCATTCCAAGAGAGCAACTGCAAGAATGTAAGTACCTGGTTTAATGCATAAACCCACACTGGATTATATACAAAGAAAATTCAAACCTTTTGTTGTTTTGTTTTCTATTCAGGACACAATTCAGACTGCAGCAAACGGCTGCTGCAAAATCTGTGAGCATGATTAATTTCTTTACTTTAGAGTTACAGATACTGAAACAAGCACAAAAAACTGACATTTTTCTTTCCTTTCACATTTTAAAAGGTGTAGAGAAAGAGAAGGCCTGCAGACTGGTTAACCAGACAACTCCTATCAACCACAATGGCTGTCAGTCTAAGTTGAATATGCCATCATGTGAGGGATCATGCGACACTTCCACCAAGTAAATATAACATTATGTTTAGTTTTGTCTTCCTCTGGAAAGTCATCAACCCATTTGTTCAGCAGTTGTGAAGCACTGAATGTGCTGATTGTTTCTGTCCTTGATCCTTTCAGGTACTCTGAAGCAGCAGGTGCTATGGAGCATTCCTGCTCCTGTTGTAAGGAGAGACGTGCCAGCAACCGCACCGTCACCCTGGCGTGTGAAAATAGTGCTGCGCACGTCCAGTTCACTTATGTGCATGTGGAGGAGTGCGGCTGTGGTCACACAGAGTGCACCACACCTGCTGCACTGCATGTTCGCAGAAAGCGACGCTTCACACTGCAGTGACAGAATGCTCTGTCCTCACATGTGGGATACAGAAGTATCTCCAAGAATCGTTTAATTAATCATTAAATATCTCGCAAAATAACTGATATTGTGGAGTTTATTAATCAGTTGATTGAATAAAAAGATGCAAGTGAAATCAAGTCTTCTGTCCTTTATTATCTTGTTTGGCTGACTTAGTAAGTTCTAGAACTCAAAAGCATAGTGACATCAAATCAGTAAGAATTTGAAACAGCCCAAGGTTATTGCACAGAAACACATTCCTATCAGAGGTATCTGAAACAAGTCCAAAGAACAGGTTGAGTCAAAATCACTGCAAGACAAAGTTAGGATAATGTCAGGAATGTTTGACTTAAGGGACAAAGACAAACTGGCAAGGGGAAACTGTGCAGTATAAATGGAGAAACTAAGGCATACAATGAGACACAGGTGGTTTACTATAGATGGGAAGTGAAATTCCCTAAAATAAAACAGGAAATAAGTGCACAAAATAAATACTAAGATCTCAAACCAAGATATACAATTGTAAAACAATCAGTAGAGCTGGACATAATAGACCTGACTTGGACACTCTAGATAAACTAAATACTCACAGACAACTAGAATTGTCTTTTCTGGTTAAGAAAATAAAAGCCTAGAAGGCCTGCAGACTGGTTAACGAGATCAAGGTCTGAACTGAAAATGATTCAGCTCAGACAATCATTTGAACAAATTTACATTTTAGTGTTTGTGAGAACAACAGCAGAACTAGTTTATTTTTCTTTGTATTGTGTTCAGCCCTCAAACAGATGAAAATAGTTATGATGCAAACCTTGATATTTTAAAACAAACTTGTTTGTTTTAAAATATCAATGATAAATAATTGTTTGTTCTTGAACACATTTATATTTGTACTTTCAAGCTTTTACATTAGATTATATTACACTGAATATAAACTGTGTAACTTTTGTTGAAGATGATGAATCACATAAAGTAAGAATTTAAAAAATATTAAAATTAATGTCTACATGTACTGATATAATTTAAAAAAAAAAACATCTGAATTTAGCAGTAAATTAAATCAGCCAGTTTCTCACTTCTTCTACTAGAGTTTAATAGCGGTTGCTTCTCACTTTTTCATTGCGTGACAATTCTTGATAGATGTGTTTCTTGCAGGGCTGCAAAATCAGAGCCTTTTTGTTTTGTTTTGTTTTTTTCAAAAATTGACTCAATCTGATGCTGGCAAACATGATAATGCTCCTCCACACTGAACTGCGTGTATTACAGGATGTATCACCCCTGAAATGGCTCCAGAAAACTGAGAAGACTTGTGCAGGATCTGCCAATGGAGATGAACGTGCCTGGGGCAGAACAGGTTACAATACTAGCATGATGAGGAAAATAAACAAGGTACAAAAGGAGGAACAAGGAAGGACGAATAAGAAAGAGGTGATAAAACAATTGGAGCATGAAGTAACAGGTGTGCGGGGAAAGACAATAAGGCACACAGAAAAATAATAATGAAACTAGAATCAATAAAGCAAAGTGCAATAAACCCTCAACAACTCAGGATCTGATCATATTTCCCTTTTCTTATCAAAGACTTAAGAAGGAAAGGAATAAGACATTAAGCAGAGAAAGCAGCAAAAAGTATAGTCAGATCAATCAATACATTGCTTCGATGAAAGGGTAAACATGGAAATGGCTAACTTGGAGCAAATCAAACATGATCTTATCTGTACTCTGAAGGAGTGTCTTACCTGTTTAATTTTCTGACATGCTTGATGAAGAAATTACAGTAGAGCATTTAGAAAAATGTTGAACGTCATTGACAACTCCACACAAAAAGGCGGTTCTAAAGCTACACGGAAATCTAAATGTATATGTGTATATGTATATATATGTGTAGCCTTGACTGTCAGCCTCACTTTTATCTGCTTTGGGTCAAAAAGCCCACTGTGGCAACCATGAAGTGGACTGTGCTGTGGTTGTGTTTCTTCAGTTTTGCGGGTGCCACTCAGGCCACAAAGGGTAAGACTTGCATGATTTAGATTCTGAAAATATTTTGGCATTACAACCAAAATTGTAATTTCTACTAGTTCAAAAGACAATCTAGAGGTCTGTGATGTTAAATATAATTTTCTAAAAAGATAAAGTAATAAATGTGTGAATTTTAGATTATATTTTGTTCATATTTTTCTGTTTCATTTTGCTGTTCTAGCTGACAACCATGTCAAAAACATCTGCAGCACTTGGGGCAAGCAGCACTTTAAGACCTTTGATGGTGATGTGTTCCAGTTTCCTGGCCTGTGTGAGTACAATCTGGTCAAAGACTGCAGCGAATCTGAGAAGAAGTTTTCTGTGCACATTAGACGAGAAGAAAATGATGAAAATAGTACAGTGAGTTATGTTGTGGTCACCATTTCTGAAAATACATTCAACCTAACCAAGACTGAGGTCACCGAAAATGAGAATCCGTAAGTGAAACACACACATGCAACAAATACACTAATTAAGATATTTTTACATTGTGTTGTTGTCATTAAATCTTCAAACTTTTGTTCTATTTTATCAGAGTCACTCTGCCACACTACAGCGGGGGAGTAAAGGTGGAAGAAAATACATTTTACATCAGGCTTCGAGCAACAAAAGTCGGCATAACTGTCATGTGGAACCGTGAAGATGCAGTCATGGTATACATCTTCCTTCACCCTCCTATAAGTCAGAGTTATTACAAATCACTTTAACACATTTTCTTAAGGTGACTGACTTAGAAGAAACACACTAATTTTGATGTGAGATTAAACAGTTAGTGATACATTAGCTAATGACTGCTGAGAGTGCTTCAAATGTTGGAAACAGGGAACTTTAAAAAAAAATTATTTGTGATGTGTATTTTAACATGGTAGACATAAAGGCTTGATGGTTGAATGGCATCAAAGTCAAACAGAGACTGACTTCTTCTCTCTGGTATAGACTAAAAAGGTTTGAAACGTGATCCTCTCTGTTTTGTGCTTCAGGTGGAGGTTTCAAACAGATACAAGAACAAAACTTGTGGCCTTTGTGGAGATTTCAATGGCGTTCCTGTCTATGATGAGTACATGAATAATGGTATGTAGTTCATTGAAGTGTGAAAAATGTATTGGAAAATAAAATAAAATCAGTCATATCTTTAATGTTCTTTACTTCATCTTCATAATCAGGTTTTAAAATGACTCCCATTGAGTTTGGAATCAAACACAGAGTCAATCTGCCAAATGATGAATGCAAAGACCCTCATGTGGAAGATGATGAATCAAATGTGTCACTTTCATGCAAAGCATTTGTAAGTTTAACTCGCTCGGTTCTCCACTGAAAATGTTAAATAATAACATGGTGACATTTCAATTTTCATCATTTTTCCTCACTACAGGAAACCATCTGTGAACAAATTTTTGAAGGGGATTCCTGGAGTTCATGCGCCAGCCTGATTGATGCTGAAGCTTTCATCAAGGCATGTGTGGTAGACATGTGTGCCTGTAACAACGGCAGCGGTGACTTATGTGTCTGCAGCACAATGTCTGAGTTTTCTCGTCAGTGTTCGCACGCAGGAGGACAGCCACCCAACTGGAGGAGACCTGATTTCTGTGGTATGATTCTTGTTTGCCTCTTTATTTTTTGTTTTATGACTGTAGTTTAATGCTTAGGAGGTTATTGGAGTCATAAAATGTTAACATATTGTTATTACTTGATATTTTGCCTAAATGATTCTATGAATTATTTCTGCTCATTATTTATGGCACTATTTGTCTTCACAGGTAAACAGTGTCCCTACAACATGACATATGAAGAAAGTGCTTTTCCTTGCATGGATACTTGCACACATCAGGACACAAGATTAGTGTGTGAGGACCATAAAACAGATGGCTGCTTTTGTCCTTCTGGTTAGTTCTCTTCACATTTAAAATGTGTATTGTGCTACTGTTAATTCACCTTCACAGAATAAAACTGTTTTTCTCTCAGGAACGGTGTTTGATGATATTTCTGAGAGGGGCTGCGTCCCTCGGTCTGAGTGTCAGTGCAAGCATGACAAAATCTACAACTCTGGAGAGACTTACCGTCAAGAAAATACAAACTGGTATGTTTCAAGATGTTTACGGAAAGTCTTCATGTTGCTAAATTTATCTTTTTTGTTATAGCACAGGGAATTTACCAGCACTTTCCTTTATTATATTTTATACAACAAATAATGTCATAGTAAATGAAAAACAATTAAATTCTTCATAATAGTTACATAAAAAAATCTGAAAAGTGTGGTATGCATTTGTATTCAAATCCGTTTTGTCTGACATCCATTTCTAACAGTTATGCCCACTTTACTTAAATGTTATATTATTTCCTTTCAACTTCACAATAATATGATATACAAAACAAAAATCACATACAATTCTGATAAAATGCTTTAAAAATTAAATGTGTATTAATAGTTTTTCAAGGATTTATGAACAGATATATATTTTTCAGTACTTGTTCAGAGGGGAAGTGGGAGTGCGATTCTTTCGAGACCCCGGCGACATGTGCAGTAGAGGAAGGTTTACATTTCACAACATTTGATGGTGCAACTTATACCTTTCATGGAAATTGTCTTTATACCCTGGCCAAGGTGGAGAGCCAGGTAAATAATGAGTCACTTTCTAATTACTAATAAATAATACAAAGCAGACATAGAAGTGAAGATTTCCCTGTGCTCAAATGTTTTATATATTTCAGGATGGAATAAGTCCAAACTTTACTATCCGGGCCCAATTGGAACAATGTGCAGGAAAAAAATCTGATATTTGTCTAAAGGCTCTTAAAATCCATCTGGGCATAGATAATGTGAGTAAAATTACAGATGTTAGTATTTATGTTCTCAGTTCACACTAATATCTACAGGTCACTCATAATTGGTTTTGTCTTTCTACAGGTACTAATGTTTACATCTGAGGGAAAAGTTCAACAGAATAATGAGGACATCAGTTTGCCATATTACTCAGGTGAGTCTGACAAGAAGCAAACTTTAATTGAGCTAATTTTTTCAGTTTCTATTTGTGGAACATCAGGTGACTTTTCTGACATTATTTACAGGCGACATCAGAATATTTCATGCTTCATCCTTTCATATCTTGCTCAACGCCAAGTTCGGACTCCAAATTCAGATCCAGCGTGTTCCTGTCATGCAAGCCTACATCAGTCTGGAAAGCAGCTACAAAGAAAAGACACGTGGTGAGTTTTATGTTTTTCGTTAATTTAGCCAAATTTTTTGTATGATAATCAAAGCCACACAAGGTTCTTATGCCGTTGGGAATTACATGGAAACGAGTAGCATTTAATTTGAGTGTTTAAAGACTGTGGGAAAGTATGGAACTAATAGAAGAATGGAAAAAAAATATTTGTACTCTACACTTGTTCAAGAATTGTTTTTGTCTGTCATATAAATACATATATATATATATATATATATATATATAATATATATATATATATATATGACATTTATGCCATTTATGCACTGTTAAAAGAAAAAAAACTTAGATAACTGGATTTTATTTTAGATAAAAGAAAATATTCCAGAGAAGAGGTGATACAAGAAAATTACAGAAACATGCTGGAGCTTGGACACTTTGGTGACTTGTTGTTCTGAACATGTTCTTCAGGTTTATGTGGAAATTACAACATGGCTTTGAATGATGATATGACGACTCCTCAAGGGAGCATAGAAGCAACCGCTGTAACTTTTGGTAATTCTTGGAAGGCCGACGCATCATGCCCTGACGCAGGCAGAATAAATGAAGACCCATGTTCCGGGAATGTGAACAGTGGTAAAAAAATAAATTTAACAATGTTATTTTTTTCCAATCAAATGGAACCCATTGTAGTATTCTATTTCAAGAATAGTTTACAAGCTTTTCTTTTGTTTATTTAATTTGTATTCTTTATATTTCATGTTATTGGAAGTGTAAAAATAATTTTACATTTAATTGTAGAGAATTATGCCAGGCACTGGTGCGAAACGCTCAGAAATTCCAATGGTACATTTGCAAATTGCCATTCAGCGGTGAATCCTGACTATTACTACAAGGTACAACAACAACCTCTTCTTTCAGAGCTTAATTCTGCTTTACTGGACTATAATTTTCTTAAACTGTCCATTTTTCTGCAGCGCTGTCTTTATTCCACCTGCAGCGGTGAGAAAAGCGAGGACGGCTTATGTGCTGTTTTCACCTCTTATGGTCGAGCTTGTGCAGCAAAGGGAAAGTTTGTGATCGATTTTGGAAACGAATGTGGTAATGTGTCTTTAAGTTTCATGACAACACATTAATTGCCATATATAAGTCTTGTAACAGCTAGGTAATTTTCCCATATATCCACAAAACAGAGAAACACACAAAGAGCTGTCCATCAACTCAGATCTTCACTTACAACCACCGCAGATGCCAGCTGACCTGTAGTTCACTGAGCTCAGATCAGCTGAGCTGCACTTCAAATTTCTTGCCTGTGGTTGGCTGTTTCTGCCCTGATGGTCTCTACCTGAATGAAAAAGATGCTTGTGTGCCCAAAGAAGAATGTTCCTGTTCCCATAAAGAAGATTACATTGAAGCAGGAACGTCTGTCAACATCAATTCTGAGCACTGGTGAGTCAAAAGAAACCTCAGGTAGCAGTCATATTTTCTTCCTGCATAAATAAAATGGTTGCAACTTGAACAGTATCTCTGTCTTATCATATGAATTTGATTTTTTTTTCCAAGTGTGTGCGCCAATGGAAGGCTTCATTGCCATTCTGGGAAAAAGCAGAAAATAGGTAAGTAATTGGGGCTCTTATTTCTTTACTTTCCAATAAGACTGATATTGGGTTCACATTAACAATATGTTTGTTGAGCGTATTTCTTCTGTTTTTTCAGAATGTCGTCATCCAAAAGTATACTTCAACTGCTCCTTTGGGAGGGCTAACAACCATAGACCACACTGTGTTCGACGTTGTTTGAATCTCGATGATGATGTCTGTGTGAGTTGCTGTCTTGTTTATCTTTAATGTGATCATCTCCTGATTATTTTTATATGGATTCATAGTAACCCTTTGCTAATTTGTCTATTTCTGTCTGCATCTATTACCATGATTTTTTTTCGCATGATAAATAAACCACTGCAGATTTTCCTCAGATATGTGAAAATATAATTATTTTTGCATAATACTCAGTTATGAAAGATCAAAATAGTTATTTTTTTATATATAAAATAACTTTAAAAGTGTAAAAATACTTTAAAGTTAATTCTCCATATAATTTGCATCAATAGACCAGTGTCTGCCTTTGACTGATTGTTTTGCAAAGGGTTATGCATAGGTTAATCTTAGACAAAATGGGTGATTTTCTGTGGTATAGATATGACTTGGCTGACTGTATGTTACCAGAATATCAATAAAAATACAACTTCTCACAGACAGTTTGTGGCTCACTACAGCAAACCATCAAGGGAAAGACTCATTTTTTACTGAGTCTTTCTCTCAGTAATTTTTTTTTAACATATCCATGATTAACACTCTTATTTAGAAGTATTATTTTGATTTTTTCACTCTTTAATGATTCTGATTATCACATGCATTTTTATATCAGACAAACATGACCCCAGTTTACAAGTCTTTTTTTTTCTTTAGTTCTTAACGAGGTGGCTCATCAAGCAATACTTTCATATATATATATATATATATATATATATATATATATATATATATATATATATATATATATATATATATATTGTTTACCACTTGAGAGAGCAGATCTGATTGAATATAATTGAGATAGGCTAATTCCATGAAATGTCTCCAGTGAAAACTGAGAATCATTAATTGCTGTGTATCTACTTGATGACTCTACATTTTCTTTCCAGGATGCATCAGAATGTGTATCTGGCTGCATGTGTCCTCCTGGCCAGTTTGATGATGGTCAAGGCTCATGTGTGAAAAAGGCAGAGGATTGTTCATGCAAGCACAACGGTCAATTCTATAAGCCTGGAGTAGCAGTTTACCAAGATTGCAACCACTGGTAAAAAAGAAAAAATAGTTATGCTGTTTGTGTGTATTTTAATTTGAAATATATTGCATTTATTTTGTTTTGCTTTACTCTACCCATTTAGCATTTGTAGAGGTGGGAAGTGGATTTGTACATCAAACAACTGTTCACAGAGCTGCATTATATATGGAAGTGGACATCACAGAACATTTGACCTGCGACAATATGAGTTTCAAGGAGACTGTTCCTATGTTGCTGTCAAGGTAAGTTTATACAAAAACACTTAAAATATGTTCAAAGCTGTGGTTTAATCATTAGAAAGACATGTCAACATTTAGCTTAGAAATAAATCTATATATTTAAAGGTATAACTAACAGAAAAAAGTATTTGGTAAGATGCAAAGAATGCCATCAGATAATTACTCTGGCATTTTTAGAAGTACTCTGACTACTTTGTCCATATTAACAGATTACTAAGTTTAGAGACTGTGTGAGCATGTTAGATTTTTCAAAAGAGTAAATGCTAATAATTCTTGAAGCATAAATATTATTTACAGAAAAGAATATTTATTGACAGTAAGGTCAAAACATATGTTCTGCTCTGTCAGACAAACTAATGCAAAGGATGCACTTGCTTTCAAAGCAAGAATACTTTCTAGAAGTTCATAATGTATCATTTTTCAGTACTAATGGAAACCAATTTTAAAAATTTATTTGTTTAGAACAAATGTTCTAATAAAACAGTAGAGCATGAAATTGAAGTCATCACAGAAGATGAACCATGTGGATCATCAGGGACAACATGTTCTAAAATTGTCAAGATTCAGCTTGGGGTAAGGCAAGGAACTCAAATAATAATAAATATCATCTTAGGATGGTGTTCGTGACTTACAAAGAGTAAAATCTTCTCTATATTTCAGAAACATGTGATCACCCTCACAGAAGGCACTTTTAAATCGGAAGTTTTGGAAAATGGCACCGAAATACCATTTGAAATAACAAGTCAAGGCTTCTATGTTGTAGTAAATTCCAGCATTGGTTTAAGCGTGATTTGGGATCGCAAAACATATTTTGTCATAACACTGGAACCGTATTACAAGGTAAGTCACAGTAATAGGTTTCTGGCAAGAGATAAATATTTTCTTTTCAACTAACTCCAACCTTCAGCCGTACGCAGAATACAAACATTTCTCAGTTTTACTACAATAGAGAACTGGTGACATGCTTTCTCTAAATGTTGACTAAAACTGATAGATACAATCTCAGTACAAAATGTTTTTCTACATAGTATAAAATGTACCAATGACTGAATTGTTTATGTTTGTACAGGGTGAAGTGTGTGGCCTGTGTGGAAACTTTGATGGTAATGGAGAGAACGACTTCACCACCCAGAGTGGGTTGGTAGTGAGCAGCCATTTAGAGTTTGCAAACAGTTGGAAAGGGGACAGCTCTTGCTCGAATGTGGATAAGCTTGTTGACGCTTGTGAAAAAGAACCTCATCGAGACCACTGGGCAAAAACAAAGTGCAAAATCATAACTGCAGACACATTCAAAGAATGCCACTCCAAGGTAGTGCAATGGTTGTTCTAGCAATGAAAATATTACACACGATGTATTAGAGACAAAAAATACATAATTTTCAATGCCTGAACAGGTAGAGCCCCAACCGTTCTATGAAAAATGTGTGAAAGACACATGTGCCTGTGACACTGGAGGAGACTGTGAGTGTTTCTGTTCAGCTGTTGCAGCTTATGCTCAAGCTTGCAATGATGTTGGTGTTTGCGTTTCATGGAGATCTCCAGAAATCTGTCGTAAGTTAATAATTTTCTTCCTGTATTATTATATAAAAATCTGGGTCTTTTTCTTAGTCTATTGCAAAGTTTAATCTTGAAGGTGGTATTGTCATGAACGGTAATCAGAAATCCAATAAAACTTTAGTTTAATAGATTTTTTTTCTACAATGTCTTTTTAGCTGTCTTCTGTGATTTCTACAACTTCCACAATGATGAATATGATTGCTTATGGCACTACTATCCGTGTACTCCAATCACATATCAGGGTTGTTCAAACTATTCTGTTGGAAAGTTTGAAGGTAAGGTCTGAACTAAGGCTTTTTGAAGTTACAAAGCAATATGAAAATCAATTTATTTTCTGTGCTCTCTTTGACCACTATGCGCAATGCACTTACAATTTCCATGCATATGTTTTTACAGGTTGTTACCCTAGATGCCCAGAATATGCCCCAATATTTGATGAGAAATCAAAGCAATGTGTGGCAATATGTCCACAAACAGAAACAAACACTTCGTCATCAACTACGACTATAACAACCCCAATAACCACAACATCAACACCAACTACAACCACAACTACCACAACAACCACAACTACCCCTACAACCACAGAATCAACAACTGAATCTACTACTGAAACATCAACTACAATCACAACTACCACAACAACCACAACTACCACAACGACTACACCCACAACTACAGAATCAACGACAACTGAAACTACAACTGAATCCACTACTGAAACTCCAACCACTACCACAACAACCACTACGACAACTACTACAACAACTACACCAACAACCACAGAATCAACAACAACTGAAACACCAACTACAACCACAACTACCACAACGACCACAACAACTACCCCTACAACCACAGAATCAACAACTGAAACTACACCAACTACAACCCCTACAACAACTACCACCACCACAACCACTACAACAACTACTACAACAACTACACCAACAACCACAGAATCAACAACGACTGAAACACCAACTACAACCACAACAACCACTACTACCACTACCACAACTACCACTACAACTACTCCTACAACCACAGAATCAACGACATCACCTACTACAACCATAACTTCTCCATACACATCATGCACTCCACCCCCATGTAACTGGTCAGATTGGTATAATGTACATGATCCACATGTAGATAGAAATGACTTTGAAACATATGATAATATTAGAAAACATGGCAAAGAGGTGTGTGACAATCCTGAAAAAATTGATTGTAGATCAGTTGAAAACCCTGAGATGGACCTAAAAGAATATACGACGTTAAATGACCAAAAGCTTACTTGTAATCTAAGTACAGGTTTAGTCTGTAAAACAACTGAACAAAAATATAACAAAAAGTGTTTGAATTATAAGATAAGGGTATGTTGTAGTGTATATAACCCATGTGAAAGTAGCACAAGTACAACCACTACAACAACCACAACGACTACACCCACAACCACAGAATCAACAACTGAAACTACAACTGAAACACCAACTACAACCCCTACAACCACTACCACCACAACTACCACAACAACCACTACGACAACTACTACAACAACTACACCAACAACCACAGAATCAACAACGACTGAAACAACTACTCCTACAACCACAGAATCAACAACTGAAACTACGACTGAAACACCAACTACAACCCCTACAACCACTACCACCATAACAACTACAACTACTACAACAACTACACCAACAACCACAGAATCAACAACGACTGAAACACCAACTACAACCACAACTACCACAACGACCACAACAACTACCCCTACAACCACAGAATCAACGACAACTGAAACTACAACTGAAACACCAACTACTACCTCTACAACCACTACTACCACTACCACAACTACCACTACAACTACTCCTACAACCACAGAATCAACGACATCACCTACTACAACCATAACTTCTCCATACACACCATGCACTCCACCCCCATGTAACTGGTCAGATTGGTATAATGTACATGATCCACATGTAGATAGAAATGACTTTGAAACATATGATAATATTAGAAAACATGGCAAAGAGGTGTGTGACAATCCTGAAAAAATTGATTGTAGATCAGTTGAAAACCCTGAGATGGACTTAAAAGAATATACGTTAAATGACCAAAGCTTACTTGTAATCTAAGTACAGGTTTAGTCTGTAAAACAACTGAACAAAATATAACAAAAAGTGTTTGAATTATAAGATAAGGGTATGTTGTAGTGTATATAACCCATGTGAAAGTAGCACAAGTACAACCACTACAACAACCACAACGACTACACCCACAACCACAGAATCAACAACTGAAACTACAACTGAAACACCAACTACAACCCCTACAACCACTACCACCACAACTACCACAACAACCACTACAACGACAACTACTACAACAACTACACCAACAACCACAGAATCAACAACGACTGAAACAACTACTCCTACAACCACAGAATCAACAACTGAAACTACGACTGAAACACCAACTACAACCCCTACAACCACTACCACCACAACTACCACTACTTCAACAACTACTACAACAACTACACCAACAACCACAGAATCAACAACGACTGAAACACCAACTACAACCACAACTACCACAACGACCACAACAACTACCCCTACAACCACAGAATCAACGACAACTGAAACTACAACTGAAACACCAACTACTACCTCTACAACCACTACTACCACTACCACAACTACCACTACAACTACTCCTACAACCACAGAATCAACGACATCACCTACTACAACCATAACTTCTCCATACACATCATGCACTCCACCCCCATGTAACTGGTCAGATTGGTATAATGTACATGATCCACATGTAGATAGAAATGACTTTGAAACATATGATAATATTAGAAAACATGGCAAAGAGGTGTGTGACAATCCTGAAAAAATTGATTGTAGATCAGTTGAAAACCCTGAGATGGACCTAAAAGAATATACGACGTTAAATGACCAAAAGCTTACTTGTAATCTAAGTACAGGTTTAGTCTGTAAAACAACTGAACAAAAATATAACAAAAAGTGTTTGAATTATAAGATAAGGGTATGTTGTAGTGTATATAACCCATGTGAAAGTAGCACAAGTACAACCACTACAACAACCACAACGACTACACCCACAACCACAGAATCAACAACTGAAACTACAACTGAAACACCAACTACAACCCCTACAACCACTACCACCACAACTACCACAACAACCACTACAACGACAACTACTACAACAACTACACCAACAACCACAGAATCAACAACGACTGAAACAACTACTCCTACAACCACAGAATCAACAACTGAAACTACGACTGAAACACCAACTACAACACCTACAACCACTACCACCACAACAACTACAACAACTACTACAACAACTACACCAACAACCACAGAATCAACAACGACTGAAACACCAACTACAACCACAACTACCACAACAACTACCCCTACAACCACAGAATCAACGACAACTGAAACTACAACTGAAACACCAACTACTACCTCTACAACCACTACTACCACTACCACAACTACCACTACAACTACCTACAACCACAGAATCAACGACATCACCTACTACAACCATAACTTCTCCATACACATCATGCACTCCACCCCCATGTAACTGGTCAGATTGGTATAATGTACATGATCCACATGTAGATAGAAATGACTTTGAAACATATGATAATATTAGAAAACATGGCAAAGAGGTGTGTGACAATCCTGAAAAAATTGATTGTAGATCAGTTGAAAACCCTGAGATGGACTTAAAAGAATATACGATGTTAAATGACCAAAAGCTTACTTGTAATCTAAGTACAGGTTTAGTCTGTAAAACAGCTGAACAAAAATATAACAAAAAGTGTTTGAATTATAAGATAAGGGTATGTTGTAGTGTATATAACCCATGTGAAAGTAGCACAAGTACAACCACTACAACAACCACAACCACAACAAATACACCCACAACCACAGAATCAACAACTGAAACTACAACTGAAACACCAACTACAACCCCTACAACCACTACCACCACAACAACCACTACAACAACAACTACACCAACAACAACAGAATCAACAACGACTGAAACAACTACTCCTACAACCACAGAATCAACAACTGAAACTACGACTGAAACACCAACTACAACCCCTACAACCACTACCACCACAACAACCACTACTACAACAACTACTACAACAACTACACCAACAACCACAGAATCAACAACGACTGAAACAACTACTCCTACAACCACAGAATCAACAACTGAAACTACGACTGAAACACCAACTACAACCACTACCACCACAACAACCACTACTACAACAACTACACCAACAACCACAGAATCAACAACGACTGAAACACCAACTACAACCACAACTACCACTACCACCACAACAACCACTACTACAACTACACCCACAACCACAGAATCAACAACTGAAACTACAACTGAAACACCAACTACAACCCCTACAACCACAACTACCACTACCACCACAACAACCACTACTACAACTACTACAACAACTACACCAACAACCACAGAATCAACAACAACTGAAACAATAACCACTCCTACAACCACAGAATCAACAACTGAAACTACAACTGAAACACCAACTACAACCCCTACAACCACTACCACCACAACTACCACAACAACCACTACAACGACAACTACTACAACAACTACACCAACAACCACAGAATCAACAACTGAATCTACTACTGAAACACCAACTACAACCCCTACAACCACTACAACCACAACTACCACAACAACCACAACTACACCAACAACCACAGAATCAACAACAACTGAGTCTACAACTAAATCATTGTCTACTACAACAATTCCAACATCAACTGAAACACCAACTATTACTACACCCAGCACATGTGCACAGTGGGGTGTGCAGGTAAGTTGCATCATTTAAAAGCTCTTGAATTAATTTTTTGGCCTGTAATTATGTATTTATTTTTCTGTCTTTTTTAATGTTTTCTTTTTATTTCTGTTTACATCCTATCACTGTCTCTCTTTTTTCCCTTGTCTACAGCAAAATGAGACATTTTATTTTTGCAACTGCACCATGGCAAGATGTATTGAAGGCAATAAAATTGAAATAGTGCCATATGAATGTCCAACTATAAATCCCATAACTTGTGCCAATGGGAAAGACCCTGTTCTTGTATATGATGATTATCATTGCTGCCAACATTATGAATGTGACTGTAAGTTTTCTATTTAAAAATTAAGACATTTATAAACATCTAAACATTATGAGCACTGATAGATTAAATTATTCTTGTCCTCCAAGAAAATACCCATGAACATAAAAGTATGAATAGCAACAGTTGATCAATAACAGCCCTGGGTTTCAAAGGCATTTGATATCATAAACAGCTTCCATATCAGGGTGAAAACATTTATTGCCAATGTGCTTTTTCTATTTGCTTCACTTGTGGGAAATGAAGAACCGAATTGTACTCATGCAAGGAATTATGTTATTGAGACTGTTTAGTGGATCGATTTTGTTTTTATTAACTATTTACATTTCTCTGTCACTGTAGGTGAATGTGAAGGCTGGGGAGATCCTCATTACGTTACTTTTGATGGCAAATACTACACTTACCAAGGAAACTGTACCTATCATTTGATGAAAGAAATTACACCAATGCATGGCTTAGAAATTTTAATTGAAAATGTCCATTGTGACCCTACTGAAGATGTTTCCTGTCCCGAGCTTTAACTGTAAAATATGGATCACAAAGTATCAAACTGATCAACTTTAATCTTGGTGCACGACCTGATTTGAAGGTAACGTGATGACATTCTTTGAACAATAGCTTTTAAACTACATACACATGGCAGGTAAAATAGGTACTTAACACATCAAAGTTTTTCTCAGAAGGTACATGGAATGACACAAAGAATACGTGTTGAACACACTTGAATAACTATATAAAATATTTTTGGAAAAAGCCCATCAGTATCAGTGTTTTGAGAATGAGGGGCAATTGTGGTTAAGCGAATTACTTGTTATTATTACAGATATTGATATTTCTAGATGTTTCTGAAGTTCTGAGTCTGCCTAAGCTCTTGGGAAAAGACATCATAAGAGGGGCACCTGTCTTGTTACAGCTCAAACAACAGCTAAATGTTCACTATTGTGAACATTTAGAAGTTTATAAAACTATAACTACTGTAAAGATTTATTTTATAATAGATCCACTCTGGAAGGAATAATAAGTTATTCCTTCAGTATCTAAATTAATAGATATTGTTGCAAGTTATCAGCTGATATTAAAATAAGCTTTATTTGCACATAAGAGGAATGCTTACCATAGATTTCAGGCTTCCTATTGCTTTTTGCATATTACCTTCAGATGTTCAATATTTATCCCATGCTCACTTCATTATATATAAATTTATAGACTAATTTATTTAGATTTTATTGTGTGTATATACAAATTACAATACACAATCAAAATATTAGCTTCATACTTGATATTTTTACTATCTGTACTTCTGCTTTTTTCAGGCATTTAAAAATGAAGATGTGGAAAATCTAAGGCTCCCTTATTGGAAAGATGGTGTTAAAGTGATGGGCACTGGTGTTAGCTTGGTGTTAGAGATCCTTCGTCTAAAAGTGGTTGTTAAATTTGGAAGAACTGGCTTCAGTATCAACCTTCCATATAAGTACTTTGGAGGAAACACACAGGGTCATTGTGGTAAGAATGTCCTCTCAGAAAGCATCTGTACCCAGATATACAGATAGCATCTGTATACACCTTTCAGTTTGTATGGAGAAAATGACACTAGGACATTTTTTATAGGAACTTGCTCCAACAATCGAGATGATGACTGCAGATTATCTGACGGTACAGTAGCAGAAAATTGCGGTGTGATGGCCGACGACTGGCTTGTGGAGAAAGATAAGGGAAAAACTGGCTGCATACCGAAACGTACTCCACAGAAAAAATGCGAATCAAATCCAAATTCTGTTTGTGAATTGCTTAAGGACCCAGCAGGGTATTTTACAAATCATCTTGATCTGTATCATTTTCTTCAGCTTTTTAAAAAGTCTTTTTACTAATGAATTATCATTTTCCACTTTAGTGCCTTTGCTGAATGCCATTCCCGGATCTCTCCAGAAAATTTCTACAGAGGATGTATTTTTGATAGCTGCTATGTTCACAACCGATCAGTGGAGTGCACAAGTTTGGAGACTTATGCTGCTGCCTGCGCTGAGATTGGAATTTGTATTGACTGGAGGAAGTTCACTAATATATGTGGTACAATATTTTTTCTCAATGTAGAAAATTCAAAATAAAAAAACACATTGTGTTTAGTTATTACTTCCTAGGCCTGGAATTTTACATTTTGTTTTCATATCTTTCTGTTCTTTCTGTTTGCTTTTTACCAATAGCCAGCAACTGTCCATCAGGCAAGATTTATAGATCTTGTGGACCTGCAGATCAACCAAGCTGTGAGGACAAGTGAGTTCTAAAACAAGTTCATTTTTTTTTGTTTTAGCATACAATTAAAAGAAACACAGGAAAATTAAAGGAACAGTTAAATCAACCCGGTTATGTCACAATGATCCCCTTTAACTCAAAATTAGTTTGAGAAAAACTCAGGTGATCTTTATTAAAGGATGAAATAATATCACATTCAATAAATTAGAATATTAATCCACGTTCCTGTAACTCAGGAACTCAATTTACTCAGCAAAACACATTTATATAGATTTATTATTCTGAAAAATAATTGTAATTTCCACTATTTTCCATTGGGAGATTTTAAAACTAATTCTCAGATATAAATTCTTTGTCCCATTCAGATTAGATCTAAATTATGCCTTTGCTTTTACTTTACACCTCCTACAAATTTGCATGGTCACTGAATTTCACTGTTATTTTTTATGTCTCAAAAATATTAATTTATAATTAACAATGTTTAAAATGTAATTATATTTTCCATTGGTATGAAATGCAAAGATCAGATGCAACATAAATAACAATTTTAACAATAAAACATGTTTTTTGTGTCTAAATCTTGCAGTCCTAACGATCCTGTCATGAACTATACTACTGAGGGCTGCTTTTGTCCTGAAGGAATGAAACTGTTCAGCAAAGAATCAAATATATGTGTTAAAAGTTGTGGTAAGTATGTAAGAACAATTCTGAACATCTGTTTCATAATTAAGATTCAACATCTTTGGTTCCTTTCATTTGCTTACATTCTGAGGCCGTTCATCAGTGTGTGCAATATGTTCACATTTATGTATTCAAAATATTTTGGTGATTATAAATACTGCTTTCATAGTTATTATAGTAACAGAGCTCAGTTTGTCTTTGAATGAACCAGTGTTTTATGTAAAATCCAAAAAGAGTGTAAACAAATAATTCACTTGCTTAACCAATCATTTGGGTTTCTCTTCCCAACAAACTATTTCTGACATACAGTTTGCTTACAGCATTTTCAACTATCTGTCAGAGTCTGGGGGATTGTGTCTTTCCTTGAGACATTTTAGGACGTATAAGAAAACACATGAAGCAATAGTGTATATGTTTGCTATTTCTATGAAACTGTAAATCAAAACCAGTTTCTTTAAGTTCATAAATACATGTTACTTTATTTATTTACTTTTTGCAGTGATTATATAAGTAAAAGAGTACCACATAGTTGAATCCAAATTAAAAGTAAATTATTTCACTAAGCTATTTGGCAAGAGCATTAGCATATAGAGACAACAGAGAGACTCAAATAAATATGTTTGTGTTGTTTAAACAGGCTGTCTTGATCCCAATGGGCAGGCCCGTGAGGTAAGCCACACTTGACGTTCATGTACTGTTCTCTACTTCTTTTTTATACATTTAAGCCAACATTATCTTCTCTTTTCAGTTCAACGAGACATTTGAATACAAATGTCAGACCTGTGTGTGTGACGAGTCCACCAAAACTGTGATCTGCAAGCCTAAGACGTGCCCACCCACTGCTTTACCAAGATGCATGGGTCCAGGATATGTTATTGTCAATCAAACTGATCCATCAAATCCCTGCTGCAATGTCCATGTTTGCCGTAAGACACAGTAAAGATGCTGATTATTGTTTGCTGCTCGTTAGTGTTTAAATTAGAAATAAACTAAGTTCTTCTTTCTTTGTGCAAACAGAATGTCAGAGCCATGCTTGTCCGGAAATAAACATGAACTGCAATGTTGGCTTTATGCCAAACATCAGTATCCCAGAGGGAAAATGCTGTCCAGAACGTAGATGTGGTGAGTCAAAATCAATGTGTTCCTTCCTGAGGGCCAGTGGATAAAAAATCCATTTGAGTGATATTTGTTTTTACATAAATGTCAACTTTCTTTCCTAGAACCCAAAAGAGTCTGTGTGCAAAATTATATTGAATATCGGGTAAGGGATATAGAAAATATATTGAAGAGATAAATATTTCCCTTTTAATATTTATTCATTGTTAGACTAAAATTTGCTGGCTAACAATGAATTTATGTGATTTCTCAGCCTGGTTCTTCTGTGCCTGGTCCAAAATGTGAGAACTGCTTCTGTTCCTCAAATTCTTCATCTGGTGGTCTGATGGAAATAAAATGCGAGAAGCAGCAGTGTGAAGACACATGCAGAAAGGTGAGGATGACAACGTAACATGTATGACAATGTATACAATACATACATACTCAACTGGCCCTATATTTCCCAAAAGCCAGTTGGGAATGAAAATAATTGCAAATATTAATGTTTTACTGCCATCAATGTTATTGCATCGACATATATGGCTACCTGAATCAGAACAAGACAATATTCGATACTACAGTTGCCATTAAGTAAACACCAAAAAGTGTTGTACATCATTCCTGCACAAACTGTAAAAAAATAAAACACATTCTCCACTAACAGAACAGATTAACAGAAAGGTTCATAACAGCGATTAAAATTTGCAGTTTCAAACGTTTTAAGATTCTCCACTTAACAGATAAAAATCTAGTTTTTACATCTGTTTGACTACTTAAGATGTAAAATCCTGTTTTATTTATGTTAAAAAAAAAAACATTTTGCAAAATGAACTGTTTTTTTTAATTACATATTTTGATGAGTAATTTCCAGGAGCCACGTCCACGAGTCCCTCTGGCAATCTATGAAAAGTGTTTAGACTCTCCCGACAGAAACTAATAAGTTCTTTAAGAATGGTGGACACATTTTTTTTAATACTAAAGAAAGAAAACACAGAAAATCATAATCTATACTGTTTTTAACAGTAATATTGCTATTACATATACATTATTTTCTGATATTGTGCAGCCTCCTTAAAACACTGGCATGTGTATCTAGCAAAAGTGCCTCTGCGAAGCATTAATGTGGGACTGGAAACAAATGCAGCCTTGACAAATTGTCTGATTTAGAAAATAAAATATAAAAATTACATCACAAATAGTCACTACATTTGTTGTAATTTATTTTACAGCATACACAAAGAATATTTGGGGTGATAACATAAATGTTGAATGAGTTAATTTATAATTAACAGTTTTTATTATTATTATTATTTTACCATATGGATGCATTGAATTTGCTATTTTTTCTCTCAGGGATTTGAATATAAAAAATCCAACGCAGATGATTGCTGTGGGACGTGTGTGCAGACCCAGTGTGTGTTCATTGTTAATGGCAATGAGACACTCTTAAAGGTAAACCAAATCATCTGTGTGCATGGGTTTGTGTGTATGCGTGTGCATGTGCGTGTGTAGGTGTGTGTGTGTTTGTGTATTCCTTTCTCTAAGTGTAAAAAACTTAAGTATGTGGTTATCTGTGTGATAATTTTCAGGAAGGAGAAACCTGGTCACCACCTGAAAATAAATGTGAAAGTAAGACTTGTGTCAAGAATGGTGAGATTTTTACAGTCTCCAACAAACAGATCATTTGCCCACCATTCCAAGAGAGCAACTGCAAAAATGTAAGTACCTGATTTAATGCATAAACCCACACTGCATCACATACAAAGAAAAATTCAAACCTTTTGTTGTTTTGTTTCTATTCAGGACACAATTCAGACTGCAGCAAACGGCTGCTGCAAAATCTGTGAGCATGATTAATTTCTTTACTTAGAGTTACAGATACTGAAACAAGCACAAAAAACTGACATTTTTCTTTCCTTTCACATTTTAAAAGGTGTAGAGAAAGAGAAGGCCTGCAGACTGGTTAACCAGACAACTCCTATCAACCACAATGGCTGTCAGTCTAAGTTGAATATGCCATCATGTGAGGGATCATGCGACACTTCCACCAAGTAAATATAACATTACGTTTAGTTTGTCTTCCTCTGGAAAGTCATCAACCCATTTGTTAAGCAGTTGTGAAGCACTGAATGTGCTGATTGTTTCTGTCCTTGATCCTTTCAGGTACTCTGAAGCAGCAGGTGCTATGGAGCATTCCTGCTCCTGTTGTAAGGAGAGACGTGCCAGCAACCGCACCGTCACCCTGGCGTGTGAAAATAGTGCTGCGCACGTCCAGTTCACTTATGTGCATGTGGAGGAGTGCGGCTGTGGTCACACAGAGTGCACCACACCTGCTGCACTGCATGTTCGCAGAAAGCGACGCTTCACACTGCAGTGACAGAATGCTCTGTCCTCACATGTGGGATACAGATGTATCTCCAAGAATCATTTAATTAATCATTGAATCTCTATAAGGTATAGCATACTTTGTAGAGTTCATTTATCAGTTGATTGAATAAAAGCATGCATCTAAGTTTCAGTCTCTTGTCTAGTTATTTTGATTGTGGCAGTCATCACATATTCCCTACTTGCTTGTATATATTAATAATAATGAAATGTTTGAAAATTTACAATTTCAGAATAATATCATCAGTTGTTCTATGAACAATAAAAAATATCTTCTTCTCTATAAAACATTGACTCTTTACAGTCCTGCAAGGGTAAGCGTGCTCAATAATGGATGAATGGAAATAAAACATATATAAGAGATACACTTTTTCCCAATCTGATCATTCATTCTGTCATCAAATTTAATTAGTCAATTTGCGGGGCCTGACCTCTTTACCTACACTAGGAATCCTAATTGCCCACAAAGACCAATCCATGACGATACAATTTCCTTTGTTTCTCTTCCAAAATAAAACTTCAGGAGATCACGGTGAATGTGTGAAAAGATTATGTAAGAAGAGACGTGGCAACAACCGCACTGTTACTCTGGCATATTAAAACACACCATCTTCAAATGCAGATTTATCTCCAAGAATCAATTAATTAATCATTAAACTCTTCAAAATAACTGATATTGTGGAGTTCATGTATCAGTTGATTGAATAAAAAGATGCAAGTGAAATCATGTCTGTCTTTTCTTATTTTGCTTTGGCCAATTATTTCAGTTAATTCTTGCTTTTCTTATTTATTAGAAAAAGTACAATTCATTATTTCTGAACAATAATTATCATAATTGCTTCACAAACACAAATCAAAGTTTAAGTCTACTGCTCGATATGAAATTATTTGCTTAATGGTCAGGTTGGGCTCTGCCTTCTCTTCTGTGGTTTGTATGGAATAGTCCTATAACAAAACAGTCCAGAGTACTTGATATAAAGTTGTGTGAATCTACTTATTAGTCTAGGAGAAGGTAATTTACCCTGCTGAGAAAAGAACGAAAGGTGCAGAAGTTAATTAGACTGTAACAAGCACATTGCACTGTACAACGTGCAGTGTGATATGCACGTTGTAGACTGGGGCAGTGTACAATGAATGCACTGCCCCAGTCTTATCCTTCACACAACCCAGATGATTTGCACTTGACTCACCCTGTGGTTATTGTGGAGCCCCATAGGGAATATGGGGGGATTTCTTTCTTTTGCATTGTCTCACACAAGTATTGCATTTCTCCACAATACTTGTGTGGTACTTTACCAACGTTTTGTATTCCCTCATACAGAAGTTATGCATTTCCTTGCAATAATGCATCTACTCATCCAGCAGTTCATGCAGCATTTTGAATAGTGAAAGTTTTTTTTCTGCCATATAAGGGCTTTCCCTGAATGTTAGTATCTCATTTGTGAGACATCTGATGATGATGTTTTTGGATACAAAAATATCAATCACTTTTGACACATTTGACATATAGATATTTTGTCTCGTTGCTGTTTCAACAGCAACGAGACAAAGCACTCACTTCTGTGTGTGAACTCCAGTTTTCTAAGAAAATCCTGTCAAATGTTGTGTTCATCTGACATGATGCTGATGTATTTACAAATAGACATCACTCAAAAACAAAAAAAAATCTGAATAAACACAAGACCAAACATTCTTCTCAAGGATTTAGTAATGGGCAGAATAATTCTAGGTTTTCTTAATTCAGTTGCTTAGGTCCTAAACTAATAGACCCATACCATCACTCTCACCTGAAATGCTGAGATATTTTTTACAACATATTTAACAAAAACCAACCGGCAAAAATTTTATTAAACATTATCAAAACTTACATAGGAGGATTATGACCAGAGGATACTGTCATTGAAAAAATTTTCTGTCATTGATCCAGATAATATTGTCCCAAAAGTCTTGTGGACCATGAAGATCTTTTTTTGGCAAATAAGAGAATTGACTTTGTGTTTGTTTTTGGTCAGCACTGCTTCTCACCAATTACCTTCCCCAGATCCTACTTGATGAGTCTTATTGTTGACTCATGAACACTGATCTCAACTAACACAAGCTTAGAAGGTTTTATCTGTTTGTAGAAAATGACTGCATCTGGTTTGCTGAACTTTCTGTTTTAACAATTGCATTGTAACCTTTTGCAGAATTATATTTCTTTGCTTATTTAACCCTCCTGCAATCATAGCTGGATGCTCAGAAACAGTGAGACAGATGTCATAGTCTGAAAATGGGAAAATAACAGGGTTGTCCTGTCAACCTGTCAGATCTCAAAATCACAGAAAAAAGAAAAAGAAACTTGTAAAAGTGCCCATGGTGTCAGTTTTACCTTTTCAAAATGGTAAGGAGGAACAATGCGCAGGGTTGAAAAATCAGTCAGTTATTGTTAAAAGGGAAAAGCATATTAATAGACATGAATATTTAAATTTATTGCAATGTGCAAAACTTAGATGAGACAAATGTTCTACAGTACCAGGTAGGTTTATGGTTTAGAAAAAGGTCTATGTGCTATTCTTCAGTTTTGTCTGTAAAGTATTCTAAGTATGAAAAATAACTTTTCCTACAAGAGATCCAACAGTATCCTCATAATCCTCCTGTGTAAGTTTTGATAATGTTTAATAAAATTATTCAGTGGGGCAGCACCCCAAATGTAACATTTTGTACACTAATGAAATATCAGCAATGCTCCTTATTAGTGTAGATCGGGGTATGATGTGTTTCTTTTTGCTCTGCTTCATGTTGTCAGACAGGTTTTATTTAGGGGAATTCTTTATTTTTTTTTATTCAGGTCTGACAAAAATTATGCCTGGGTTTCAAAAGAATTGGGTTGATCACAATTATTGGAAGTTTTGAATATGGTATTTGATAACTCTTACAAATAGAGTCTACATGCTCTACGTTTAGTTTAGTTGGAATGTTTTTCTTCCATTAGAATATGAAGTCATCATTTGAAAACCACCTTGTGTGTTTACTCAAGTTAGATGTCTAATTGTAGGAACGAATCTGGTGACAAGAAATATGAAAAATAAGCAAATAATAAAAAAAGAGAGGCAGAAAGAAGTCTGTCAGGTGGCAAGTATTTATTCCATATTTGTACTGCTGGAGATCAGTACTGCACATAGATTAAGAATTAGCCATCTCTGAAACCTCACAGCTATTTCTTCTTTGTAGACTGAAAAAGCAAATGCAAAATAAAATGTTAAAAACACAAACAGCAGTGGTTCTTAAAATATTTCTGAATTTATTCGTTCTGACACGATAGAACTATTTCAAACCAAAATTGTAGGTAACATTGCCATTACATTGCATCTTTCACAACAGAAATACTAGATAAACTTTAAGCAAACCAAACATTATCTTATTTGTATTCCCCAGAACTGTCTCATATATTTGCTGTCATCTTTTCCACATAACGCTTGATGTAGAAAAGACAACATAGCATTTATGAAACTATCCCAAAATTCCAAATTATTGACTTTACCAATGGTTGCACAAAGGCGGTTCTAAAGCTGCATGGAAATCTAAATGAATATATAAAGCCTTGACTGTCAGCCTCACTTTCATCTGCTTTGGGACCGCAAGCCCCACAGCGGCAACCATGAAGTGGACAGTGGTGTGGTTGTGTTTCTTCAGTTTTTCTGTTGCAATTCAAGCCAAACATGGTAAGACTTACATATTTTAGATTTTTTTAAGCTGTTTTAAGGACTGCAAAACTTGATATTCGGTTTCTACAACAGTTTGCTCAAGATGCTTGATGTTAAATTTATTTTCCTAAAAAATAACATTTCTTGTTTTTATTTTATGCAGGGGGGAAAAAAATTATCATTTATATTTCTCTTTTTAATTTTCTTTTTCTAGTTCGCAACCATGTCAACAACATCTGCAGCACTTGGGGCACACAGCACTTCAAGACCTTTGATGGCTATGTGTACCAGTTTCCTGGCATGTGTGAGTACAATCTGGCCAAGGACTGCCATGGTTCTGACCCCAAGTTCTCAGTGAACATTAAAAGGGAGGAAAATGATGGAAATATCACAATAAGTTACATAATAATAACTATCAATGAAAATGTATTCAACCTAAACAAGACCCATGTCACTGAAAACAGCAAGCTGTAAGTATAAAAAGAAAAATTGCATATTTTTATGAAATAGAAAAAAGTGAAAATACTTTTGTTCTTTTTTTAATCAGGGTCAGCCTTCCACATTACAGTAGAGGCGTAAGACTTGACGAAAGAACATTTTACATCAGTTTTCAAGCTTCAAGAGTTGGCATCAATGTCATGTGGAACCGTGAAGATGCAGTCATGGTAAGAATTGAAGGTTTGTGGGTAAGAAAACCAAACCAGATCTACAAACAAAAATGTAAACAGGATTTTGGAGCAAAAGTGGAAAATAGCAATACATTTTGTGTTTCCCGTCAATAATATGAAAAACATATCCATCCTTCCATATGCAAACACAGTAAGTTACCACATGCAATGTGATTTACTAAATCTGAACCAAATTGCTAGGTACTCTTTTTGAGTCTGTATTTTGCATGTTTGGAGAAAAAAGGTATAAACTGGCATGCAAAAATGACTATGGTCATTTCAGCAAGCAGTCCATAATGGCAGTCAATAGCACTCACAAAATCTCCATTAAAAGAGGGTGGTGTGCATCACTTTTGCTCCTGGAATCAATTCCAAGCATGAAGCTTTTCTGCTCACACAATTTCTGTTCATTATTTGGAATCCTTGTAGATATTACTTGGTAACACTTTATTTGACGGGTTGTGAATAAGACTGTCATGCCACCATCATAAACATGACAAAACACCTGTCATGATCATGAGTAAGTCTTCACGAATATTTATGAATGTTGTCATAAAGTATCATTTGGTAAATCATGTCACTTTTAATACAAAATTGACATTATTCAAAATGTCTTCTTTATGACAACTTGACATGAACCAAGAAATTATAATCTGATAAAATTTGTTATTGAGATTACTCAGTATTACTGATTAAACTTTAAAAATTATGGAGCTTTATGTTATTAAAGCTAAAGTTTAATCACGTCATCTGCATGACACAAATTCGATCTGATCATTTATTATGCCCAGAATACACATTGCTGTAGAATACCTGAGGTATAATGAGTGTTATTTTAAGTAACAGAAAAAAATATGACTGTCCTTTTCTTCTTTTGTGTGTATTTCAGGTGGAAGTTTCAGAGAACTACAGAAGCAAAACCTGTGGACTTTGTGGAAACTTCAATGGTGATCGAGACAATGATGACTTCATTGTCGATGGTATGTTGTTCAACTAATACAATTTATGATGAAGATGATAATCTATCATCTGTTAATGATCACATTCAGATCTTCTTATATTTTCATTATCGTCATGATCAGGTTTTAAAATCAGCCCCATTGAGTTTGGAAATAAACATAAAATTCATCTACCAAATGATGACTGCAAAGACCCCCATGAAAACGAAGATGAATCATGGAAGTATGGAAAAGTTTCAAGTTCTTGCAAGAATTTTGTGAGTTTTTCACCAAGTACATTTGGTAGAAGACATTGTGTTTTGCTTACAACTAAAAAATGAATATTGTTCCTGTTTTCTGTTCTTTTTCTTTTTTCTTTTTTTTTTTTTTACCAAACCAGCAAACCATCTGTGAAAATGCATTTCTCTCTGAGTCCTGGAGTTCATGCAAAGAACAAATTGACCCTAAAGATTACATTCATGCATGTGTCATAGACATGTGTGCCTGTAACAACGGCAGTAGTGACTTCTGTGTCTGCAGCACAATGTCTGAGTTTTCTCGTCAGTGTTCGCACGCAGGAGGACAGCCACCCAACTGGAGGAGACCTGATTTCTGTGGTATGATTCTTGTTTGTCTCTTTATTTTTTGTTTTATGACTGTAGTTTAATGCTTAGGAGGATACTGGAGTCATAAAATGTTAACATATTGTTCTTACATGACATTTTGCCAAAATGATTCTATGAATTATTACTGTTCATTATTTATGGCACCCAACTGGAGATTTCAATTGTGTGGTATGTTTTATGTTGGACTCTACTTCGTGTCTTTTTGTGAAAATGTTTTTAAACAGCTCAATAACCAGCTTAATAATTCAATGAACCCATTGGACATATTTCTAAAAAAACAAGCAAAACAAACAAACACAACACATAGAAATAGAAAATAATGTTTAGCTTTAATTAAAAACATTTCATACACCGGTTTTTAAGTGGTTAAAATGTTTGGAAGATTAAAGCAATTCTTAATATTTAGCAAAGTGGAATATTTTAATTGAGACTGATAAATGATGACTGAATTGTAATTTAGTAATAAGAGCAGTCTGAGATTTGAAAATCACAAGTCATTTCCTTGTTTTATTTACTGCCTCATAGCATGATTAAATTACTACCTCCCTTTTTTTATTCCACCATCTATCTTCACAGGTAAACAGTGTCCCTACAACATGAAGTTTGAAGAAAGTGCTTTTCCTTGCATGGATACTTGCACACATGAGGAAACAAGATTAATATGCGAGGACCATAAAACAGATGGCTGCTTTTGTCCTTCTGGTTAGTTCTCTTCACATTTAAAATGTATATTGTGCTACTGTTAATTCACCTTCACAGAATAAAACTGTTTTTCTCTCAGGAACGGTGTTTGATGACATTTCTGAGAGGGGCTGCGTCCCTCGGTCTGAGTGTCAGTGCAAGCATGACAAAATCTACAACTCTGGAGAGACTTACCGTCAAGAAAATACAAACTGGTATGCATGTATTAAGGTGTCTAGAGAATAAATTTTTTGCATTGTGTGTTTATCTGGTTTGTCACACAGACAATTGTTTTCTTTTAAAGTACTTGTTCAGAAGGGAGATGGAAATGTGAGAGTTTTGAGACACCTGTTTCCACATGTGCAGTTGAGGAAGGTTCACATTTCACAACATTTGATGGTACACCCTATACCTTTCATGGAAACTGTCGCTATACCCTGGCCCAGGTGGAAAGCAAGGTAAACGCATAATTCATAATTTATTGTTGTTAAAAAGAATGCAGTGTAAGGGTGAACTTTAAAAAATAAGTTGATTTATCTTCTTCATGGAGTATATTCATATGTTTCAGGATGGAGCAAGTCCAAATTTTACCATCCGAGCTTTGCTGGAACCATGTGCCCAAGAAAAGTATGACACTTGTTTGAAGGATTTAAAACTCCATCTGCATGATGGCCATGTAAGTTAAACACTGACATTTTTGTATTCACTTTCTAGATTCACACTGATATTTAAATCTTATTTATGAAACACTATTTCTCTAGGTCTTAATGTTCACATCTGATGGCACAGTTCAGCATGATCAAAAAACCTTGACTTTGCCCTACTTCTCAGGTAGGTGAGACAATTAAAAAACTCACTTTACCATGCGGTTCTGAGCTTATATCAGGACCTGATCTCTCTTACTTCATTTATAGGGGAAATTAGAATATTCCATGCTTCTTCCATTGACATCTTGCTTTATGCCACATTTGGACTGCAAATTCAGATTCAGCATTTACCTGTCATGCAAGTCTACATCAGTTTGGAAAATAGCTACAAAGATAAGACAAAAGGTAGGTTTGATATTACTTTTGAAGTCACCCAACTTTATTTAAGGATCACTTTTCAAATGATGACTGAAAACTCAATCACTTATCCTAACACACTTTAGAGTCCAAGCATTTGATGTTTGAACCATGTCTTTCAGGTTTATGTGGAACCTTCAATGATATCTCTAATGACGACATGATGATTCCACAGGGGGTCACCGAAGGATCTTCATTAACTTTCAGTAACTCTTGGAAGGCTAGCACACAATGCTCAGATACAAAGGAAAGACTCAATGATCCCTGTGATCAGAGTTCAAAGACTGGTAAAGCTTTTCTTTTAGTTGAGCAAGTAACAATATGACTAAAACTTCTTTTAGCATTTTGAAAGTAATTAGACGTGTAAAAAATCTATATGTATTTTTTGTATTTACTCAAAGTGGATTATGCCAAACACTGGTGCGAAATGCTTCAAAATCCAAATGGTACATTTGCAAAGTGTCATTCAGTATTGGATCCTAAACTATACTATCAGGTATAGCATATACCTTTTTTATGGACTTTTACTACCTATTTTGGACTGTAATTTATCGAGTGTATTTGTCTTTATCTGCAGCGTTGCCTTTATTCAACTTGTAACTGTGAAAAGAGTGAGGACTGCTTGTGTGCTGTCCTGACCTCTTATGGTCGAGCTTGTGCAGCAAAGGGGAAGTTTGTGGCAGATTTTGGAAATGTTTGTGGTAAGGTATTTTTAATTTTTATAGGACTGATGACTATTTGATCATTTGTCAACCAGTGAACTCAATTAGTTAACTCTCATTTGTAAGCCACGAAACAGTCCAGTAACTATCCCCATTCTATCCACAAAACAGAGAAACACACAAAGAGCTGTCCATCAACTCAGATCTTCACTTACAACCACCGCAGATGCCAGCTGACCTGTAGGTCACTGAGCTCAGATCAGAAGAGCTGCACTTCAAATTTCTTGCCTGTGGTTGGCTGTTTCTGCCCCGATGGTCTCTACCTGAATGAAAAAGACATTTGTGTACCCAAAGAAGAATGTTCCTGTTCCCATAAAGAAGATTACATTGAAGCAGGAAAGTCTGTCGACATCAATTCTAAGCACTAGTAAGTCAAAATAATTCCCTTGATTTTTATTTAGCATATTTGCTAAGCATTCAATTTCTTTGTTTTCTAATTATTCTTTGTGCTTTTTTAGTGTGTGCACAAATGGAAGACTTGTTTGCCATTCTTCAGAAAACAGCCCCCCAGGTCAGTCGTCAAGCTGCTCATATCTATTCTTGCCCATATCTTTCATATTTAGAAGAAATTCATTTATGTAAATAATTTAGGTAACTATGAATATGTAACATGTTTTTTCTTTTTGTTCAGAATGTAAACATCCAAAAGTGTACTTTAACTGCTCCAATGCTACCCCTGAAAGACCCGGACCACAATGTGCTAAAACCTGTTTAAATTTGGACAATATTTGTGTGAGTTGCCATTATGTTGATCTTCTCTGATTTACACATACCTCTACGCATCCATCAATGACATCATTTCAATACATCTTATAAACATATCTTTCATTTGTTATTTGATCCTCCTATCTCCTAACATATCTTTCATTTGTTATTTGATTCTGCTTTTGTGAAAGAGTTATATGGAAACAATTAACCACACAAAACATAAATTGTACCCAAATATACAATTCTAACACCATAGATATGAAGACCACAAGTATTAAAATACGCCAAGACATCAATTATGGATTCAGTTCAACAGTTTGCTAGTTGGACTCCAAGTTTGTGCTGGAACATTAAAGAACAGTATAATTATAAATGAGTAGATCAATAGGCCTATTTGTCATGTTTCTTGACATAAAAGCAGCTAACCTCCACCATCCAGTTTCCCAAACAATCCATAATAACAAGGCAAGCATTATACAACTTAACAAACAGACTAACATAATTATAATTTTTTTCTAGAAATAAGCATAAAGGAGAAAGTGACAAAGGGCGTAGGAACAAGGATTTAAAAAAATTGGGAATACCTTCTCAATAAAAAAATTAAATAAATCACACAAAAGGTATTTGTGTTTCTATTCCAATTTCTTTTTATTCTTTCAGGACCCATCAGAATGTGAATCTGGCTGCATGTGTCCACCCGGTCACATTGATGATGGCAATAATTCCTGTGTAAAAAATGTAAAAGACTGCCCATGTCAGCATAATGGTCAGTTTTATAATCCTGGCAATCACATTTTTCAAGATTGCAACAGATGGTATGTATACTTTAATACCTATTCTCAATCATTTTAAATTAAAGCTCTTGTAGAAATGAATTTTCAACGCTCCAAGGTGATGGTAATTTTATTTGCTTCCTCTTAATGCATTTAGTACTTGCAAAGGAGGAAAATGGATCTGCACAAATAATAAATGTCCAAAATCCTGCGTTATTTATGGAAGTGGGCATCACAGGACATTTGATGAGAAACAGTATGACTTTCAAGGAAAGTGTTCCTATGTTGCTGTCAAGGTAAATTCATCATGTAACAGTAACTAAAATAACAATTGCTCTCCAGATCTTCAGACAAGCTCCACTAAAAGAGCTTTTTGTTAGGTTTCTTACTGATTTAATAGCACGAAACATTTCCACAACATTTAAAAGCCGTTTTGTTTTAATAACTATTGGGTATGGACAAACTGACTAATTGGAATAGTCAGTAGTATATGTGAGTTTGTGCCAATGGAGTACTGTTCTGTAACAAAAAAGCATATTTATTTTAATTTGTAAAAACGGAAAGGTTAAAAATACACTGTTCCCCACTATTATAATGGTCTGGTGAAAGAAAGCATCTTTACTATTTAGCCATTCATGACTTTGAATTCTATGTGTGTAAATTACGGTAGATTATTTGATCAGTTGATGCTGTTTTTCTGCTGTAGAGAGGCACAATATTTAATTAACTTCTTTTTGTTTAGAACAAATGTTCCAATGAAACAGTAAAAAACAGCTTTCAAGTTATCACACAAGATGAACTATGTGGATCTACAGGCACAACTTGTTCCAAAACTGTAATAATTCAGCTGGGGGTAAGAACAAGCATCTGGGCATGAAACTTAATTTTCAAATGGAAGTTCACAAGCAATTAATATAATAAAAATATAATTACTACAAATATAAATGTATTTCAAAATGACTGAAATCTCCTTGTCATTTTAGACAGCTGAAATCACGCTCTCAGGTGGAAAACTCGAAGAGAAAGATTTGGGAAATAACAGCGAAATATATAGTATACGAAAGCAAGGCTTATATTTTGTGGTGACGTCCGAGATTGGTTTGACGGTGATATGGGATCGCAAAACATTTTTTCTGATCCAACTGGACCCAAGATTCAACGTAAGTCATATTGATTTTTCTATGTAGAGCAGAGGAGGTAAGATTTAGTGAGGATGTGGCTTATTTGGGGACTGTGGTTTGAACAGAGATTTTTTCAAAAGGCATGGTTCAGCTGCAGGAACCCTTTCTGGGTACTGTAGTAGTTTTCTGGGGCCATAATTTAACCCTCTCCGTTTGTCAGAGGAGAACTTTTTCCAAGAAAATCCCACTTAGGGAGGTAGTGCTTTGTCAGTAATTAGAAATATTTGTACTTTTGAGCACACTACTTATAATTATAATCTTTTCAGGATAATAATTTCTGACAAGACATCTCTTAGTAAAATCATCTCATAAAGTCATTTTTTTGCTTAAGCTGAAATAATTTGAAGAACTGTTAAAGCAAGATAATAAATATGTGTTGGGATGTTTAAACTGTTCTGGAAACTAACTTTACTTTTCGAACTATGTTTGAGGGTGTTAACATTTGGGGAATAATCAACACCCAGTTGAAATTCCAACCAGAGCTATGCCACCACTTCTTAGTAAAGTTGCTTTAAAATTTGTCTTACTTTTTGTGGTTTGTTTTTCTAAAAGTCAGAGCTTTTTATTTTAACAAGAGGTGTCTTTCTGTCTAAGCAATTGAAAATGACATAGGGTGACATTGCTGTGCCCACGCATATAATTTAAACACCCAGGGTGAATAAGAAGCTTAAGAAAAATAATAATTCTGGACAAAAATGTCCCAGGGCTAATGATCCTACCTTTGAGCTATTGTTTCAGCTTCAGATATTGGAGCTGAAACTATTTTTAACTTCTACTAAAGAGGCTTAAGGATATGTATGCATCAAAGGTTGGCAAAATGACTGGCATTGTAATGCATGTTTTATATATTATTAGATTTTTTTGCCTACTCTTTTTTTCTTGCTGTCCTTACAAATGTTTGTGGAAAGAATGTTGAAGCTAAGACAACCTATCTAACCTCTGACCCCCCCAAAAAATTGGTTTAAAATGTTTGAGTTTGCAAATCATCAAAGGTCAACCAGCACATTGTACAAAGTTGGGGTCAAAGTGACTGCTGTAAAGTGACTGTTGTGTGTTTGCGCAGGGTGAAGTGTGTGGCCTCTGCGGAAATTTTGATGAAAATAGAAACAACGACTTCACTACTCAGAGTGGGATGTTAGTGACCAGCCCATTGGAATTCGCAAACAGCTGGAAAGTGGATAGCGCAGGCCCAGATGTGGAGGAAAACATTGACACATGTAAAAAAGCACCCCATCGAGAGGCTTGGGCGAAATTGAAATGCAGCATTCTAAAAGATGAATTCAAAGCATGTCATAATGAGGTAATGATGGCACCGTCTTTGCAATAGCAATGTCAATCTGGAATTATGAAACAAATTGCTAATGTTAAAAGGATCACTCTGAATAATTAAACAGGTAGATCCCCATCCATTCTATGACAACTGTGTGAAAGACACATGTGCCTGTGATTCTGGAGGAGACTGTGACTGTTTCTGCTCAGCTGTTGCAGCTTACGCCCAAGCTTGTAATGAGGCTGAAGTATATGTTGCATGGAGAACTCCAGACATCTGTCGTAAGTGGATCTGTTTATATATGTGTGTGTGTGTGTGTGTGTGTGTGTGTGTGTGTGTGTGTGTGTGCGTGTGTGTGCATTTTGAATTTGCAAAGTTATTACAAATATTTTGAGTTAGTTTCTGCAGATTACAAAATACCTGAGTATATTAAGTTGATCTTAAAGTATCAATAATATAGTCTTATTTGAAAAGGAGAGAAACAGATTTTCTTTTTGTTTCATTCTAAAACAAGGTTTGCACCTCTTGTTCACATGAAGGGTTTTGAGATTTTTTTAAAAACACTTTACACAATGGGTAATATTAAAAACTGAATTTGTGGAAAATGTATGTATACTTGGAACACAAAGATTTTAAGACACATCTCTGAGCATTAACCTGTTTTGTGCATATCCACCATTATTGTCTGCATCATTGACTATAAAGAGTTGCCTTAAGGAATTTTTCTAATCTTCTTTGGTTTGGCTTGATACTACCACTATTGATTTCAGGTGTAAAGAAGTTAATAACTGACAGGAAATCGTTAGTTTTACGTCTGTAATAAGGTCTTGTAGAAATAAAATGGGACAATTTCTTGCCAAGCTGACAAACTGTCAAACAAAAGGGAATAAAATCTGTCTTGCTGATGTGATCCGGGCATAACTAACCCCAAACGTGTTAATGACTTATAAACAGATGAATACAGACTCCAGAGGTAAGTTCAGTTGCTGTTTACAATCAGAAAAAGACACAGCAGAGATGGCTAATCACATGTTAAAAACAGCATAATATTGTTTTTGGATTGTATAAACTGTGCTTTTGAGAAGTGCAGAGGACTTTAAATTTAAATGATTACCAAGTGCAGCAATCATTTAAATTAGTTGTGCTGGACCACAAACATATTTAAAAGATCTCTGCTATCAGAAACTTTTCTGTTTGTGGTGATTTTAAAGGAATTTTTGTCAGGAAGACTCTCTCTTGAATCATTTGTACATGGACATTCTTACTACCAACTGGCATGAAGACGGACACTCAGTTAATTTTAAGTATATCAATAAAGCTTTTAATACTAAAACAGACAATAATCTTAGTTAAGAAAGATACAAAGAAGTCAATCCTGAACTTGTGATCAAAATATATAGTACCTGTTTTTGCAGTGACATCTGACAGGACATTTGAAGAAATTTTAAAAGACATAGTCCATTATGTTTTTTATAAGCATTTATTTATATCCCCAAAATTTTTTCAGCTATATTTTGTGATTTCTACAACAATCCAAATGAATGCAAGTGGCACTACTCCAGCTATCCTCCAACGCACTACACGCCCTGTTTGAACGACAGCCAAACTGTGCTAAGACTCGAAGGTGAGATGTTAATTTAACCTGCTTTACGTTAAAGCTATCAATTCAGCTGATTAAACTTTTTAAGTTTAATTAGCAGAAGATTAAATTTATGTTATCATATATTAACATTTTAAAAAAGAATAAATGTATCAAACACTTTTCTTTTTATGTTCTGTTAACTTGGATGATGTTCCAAAGGCTGTTATCCTGAATGTCCAGAAGAAACACAATTTTTTGACGAGAAGAAACAGCAATGTGTTGAAGAATGTGTTCCAACTTCAACAATTGAAATAGCAACTACAACCCCTACAACCACTACCACCACAACTACCACAACAACCACTACAACGACAACTACTACAACAACTACACCAACAACCACAGAATCAACAACGACTGAAACAACTACTCCTACAACCACAGAATCAACAACTGAAACTACGACTGAAACACCAACTACAACCCCTACAACCACTACCACCACAACAACAACTACAACAACTACACCAACAACCACAGAATCAATGACTGAAACACCAACTACAACCACCACTACCACAACGACCACCACAACTACCCCTACAACCACAGAATCAACAACAACTGAAACACCAACTACTACCTCTACAACCACTACTACCACTACCACAACTACCACTACAACTACTCCTACAACCACAGAATCAACGACATCACCTACTACAACCATAACTTCTCCATACACACCATGCACTCCACCCCCATGTAACTGGTCAGATTGGTATAATGTACATGATCCACATGTAGATAGAAATGACTTTGAACATATGATAATATTAGAAAACATGGCAAAGAGGTGTGTGACAATCCTGAAAAAAATTGATTGTAGATCAGTTGAAAACCCTGAGATGGACTTAAAACAATATACGATGTTAAATGACCAAAAGCTTACTTGTAATCTAAGTACAGGTTTAGTCTGTAAAACAGCTGAACAAAAATATAACAAAAAGTGTTTGAATTATAAGATAAGGGTATGTTGTAGTGTATATAACCCATGTGAAAGTAGCACAAGTACAACCACCACAACAACCACAACCACAACGAATACACCACAACCACAGAATCACAACTGAAACTACAACTGAAACACCAAACTACAACCCTAACCACTACCACCACAACAACCACTACAACGACAACTACTACAACAACTACACCAACAACCACAGAATCAACAACGACTGAAAACAACTACTCCTACAACCACAGAATCAACAACTGAAACTACGACTGAAACACCAACTACAACCCTACAACCACAACTACCACAACGACCACCACAACTACCCCTACAACCACAGAATCAACGACAACTGAAACACCAACTACTACCTCTACAACCACTACTACCACTACCACAACTACCACTACAACTACTCCTACAACCACAGAATCAACGACATCACCTACTACAACCATAACTTCTCCATACACACCATGCACTCCACCCCCATGTAACTGGTCAGATTGGTATAATGTACATGATCCACATGTAGATAGAAATGACTTTGAAACATATGATAATATTAGAAAACATGGCAAAGAGGTGTGTGACAATCCTGAAAAATTGATTGTAGATCAGTTGAAAACCTGAGATGGACTTAAAACAATATACAATGTTAAATGACCAAAAGCTTACTTGTAATCTAAGTACAGGTTTAGTCTGTAAAACAGCTGAACAAAAATATAACAAAAAGTGTTTGAATTATAAGATAAGGGTATGTTGTAGTGTATATAACCCATGTGAAAGTAGCACAAGTACAACCACTACAACAACCACAACCACAACGACTACACCCACAACCACAGAATCAACAACTGAAACTACAACTGAAAAACCAACTACAACCCCTACAACCACTACCACCACAACAACCACTACAACGACAACTACTACAACAACTACACCAACAACCACAGAATCAACAACGACTGAAACAACTACTCCTACAACCACAGAATCAACAACTGAAACTACGACTGAAACACCAACTACAACCCCTACAACCACTACCACCACAACAACCACTACTACAACAACTACTACAACAACTACACCAACAACCACAGAATCAACAACGACCGAAACACCAACTACAACCACAACTACCACAACGACCACCACAACTACCCCTACAACCACAGAATCAACGACAACTGAAACACCAACTACTACCTCTACAACTACTACCACTACCACAACTACCACTACAACTACTCTACAACCACAGAATCAACGACATCACCTACTACAACCATAACTTCTCCATACACACCATGCACTCCACCCCCATGTAACTGGTCAGATTGGTATAATGTACATGATCCACATGTAGATAGAAATGACTTTGAAACATATGATAATATTAGAAAACATGGCAAAGAGGTGTGTGACAATCCTGAAAAAATTGATTGTAGATCAGTTGAAAACCCTGAGATGGACTTAAAACAATATACGATGTTGAATGACCAAAAGCTTACTTGTAATCTAAGTACAGGTTTAGTCTGTAAAACAGCTGAACAAAATATAACAAAAAGTGTTTGAATTATAAGATAAGGGTATGTTGTAGTGTATATAAACCCATGTGAAAGAAGCACAAGTACAACCACTACAACAACCACAACCACAACGACTACACCCACAACCACAGAATCAACAACTGAAACTACAACTGAAACACCAACTACAACCCCTACAACCACTACCACCACAACAACCACTACAACGACAACTACTACAACAACTACACCAACAACCACAGAATCAACAACGACTGAAACAACTACTCCTACAACCACAGAATCAACAACTGAAACTACGACTGAAACACCAACTACAACCCCTACAACCACAACTACCACAACGCCACCACAACTACCCCTACAACCACAGAATCAACGACAACTGAAACTACAACTGAAACACCAACTACTACCTCTACAACCACTACTACCACTACCAAACTACCACTACAACTACTCCTACAACCACAGAATCAACGACATCACCTACTACAACCATAACTTCTCCATACACACCATGCACTCCACCCCCATGTAAACTGGTCAGATTGGTATAATGTACATGATCCACATGTAGATAGAAATGATTTGAAACATATGATAATATAGAAAACATGGCAAAGAGGTGTGTGACAATCCTGAAAAAATTGATTGTAGATCAGTTGAAAACCCTGAGATGGACTTAAAACAATATACGATGTTGAATGACCAAAAGCTTACTTGTAATCTAAGTACAGGTTTAGTCTGTAAAACAGCTGAACAAAAATATAACAAAAAGTGTTTGAATTATAAGATAAGGGTATGTTGTAGTGTATATAACCCATGTGAAAGTAGCACAAGTACAACCACTACAACAACCACAACGACTACACCCACAACCACAGAATCAACAACTGAAACTACAACTGAAACACCAACTACAACCCCTACAACCACTACCACCACAACAACCACTACAACGACAACTACTACAACTACACCAACAACCACAGAATCAACAACGACTGAAACAACTACTCCTACAACCACAGAATCAACAACTGAAACTACAACTGAAACACCAACTACAACCCCTACAACCACTACCACCACAACTACCACAACAACCACTACAACGACAACTACTACAACAACTACACCAACAACCACAGAATCAACAACGACTGAAACAACTACTCCTACAACCACAGAATCAACAACTGAAACTACGACTGAAACACCAACTACAACCCCTACAACCACTACCACCACAACAACAACTACAACCACTACTACAACAACTACACCAACAACCACAGAATCAACAACGACTGAAACACCAACTACAACCACAACAACTACCCCTACAACCACAGAATCAACAACAACTGAAATAACAACCACTCCTACAACCACAGAATCAACAACTGAAACTACAACTGAAACACCAACTACAACCCCTACAACCACTACCACAACTACCACAACAACCACTACGACAACTACTACAACTACACCAACAACCACAGAATCAACAACTGAAACTACAACTGAATCTACTACTGAAACACCAACTACAACCCCTACAACCACTACAACCACAACTACCACAACTACACCAACAACCACAGAATTAACAACAACTGAGTCTACAACTAAATCATTGTCTACTACAACCATTCCAACATCAACTGAAACACCAACTATTACTACACCCAGCACATGTGCATGGTGGGGTGTGCAGGTAAGTTGCATCATTTAAAAGCTCTTAAATTAATTTTTTTGGCCTGTAATTATGTATTTATTTTTCTGTCTTTTTTATTGTTTTCTTTTTATTTCTGTTTACATCCTTTCACTGTCTCTCTTTTTTCCCTTGTCTACAGCAAAATGAGACATTTTATTTTTTCAACTGCACCATGGCAAGATGTATTGAAGGCAATAAAATTGAAATAGTGCCATATGAATGTCCAACTATAAATCCCATAACTTGTGCCAATGGGAAAGACCCTGTTCTTGTATATGATGATTATCATTGCTGCCAACATTATGAATGTGACTGTAAGTTTTCTATTTAAAAATTAAGACATTTATAAACATCTAAACATTATGAGCACTGATAGATTAAATTATTCTTGTCCTCCAAGAAAATACCCATGAACATAAAAGTATGAATAGCAACAGTTGATCAATAACAGCCCTGGGTTTCAAAGGCATTTGATATCATAAACAGCTTCCATATCAGGGTGAAAACATTTATTGCCAATGTGCTTTTTCTAGTTGCTTCACTTGTGGGAAATGAAGAACCGAATTGTACTCATGCAAGGAATCATGTTATTGAGACTGTTTAGTGAATCGATTTTGTTTTTATTAACTATTTACATTTCTCTGTCACTGTAGGTGAATGTGAAGGCTGGGGAGATCCTCATTACGTTACTTTTGATGGCAAATACTACACTTACCAAGGAAACTGTACCTATCATTTGATGAAAGAAATTACACCAATGCATGGCTTAGAAATTTTAATTGAAAATGTCCATTGTGACCCTACTGAAGATGTTTCCTGTCCCCGAGCTTTAACTGTAAAATATGGATCACAAAGTATCAAACTGATCAACTTTAATCTTGGTGCACGACCTGATTTGAAGGTAACGTGATGACATTCTTTGAACAATAGCTTTTAAACTACATACACATGGCAGGTAAAATAGGTATTTAACACATCAAAGTTTTTCTCAGAAGGTACATGGAATGACACAAAGAATACGTGTTGAACACACTTGAATAAATATATAAAATATTTTTGGAAAAAGCCCATCAGTATCAGTGTTTTGAGAATGAGGGGCAATTGTGGTTAAGCGAATTACTTGTTATTATTACAGATATTGATATTTCTAGATGTTTCTGAAGTTCTGAGTCTGCCTAAGCTCTTGGGAAAAGACATCATAAGAGGGGCACCTGTCTTGTTACAGCTCAAACAACAGCTAAATGTTCACTATTGTGAACATTTAGAAGTTTATAAAACTATAACTACTGTAAAGATTTATTTTATAATAGATCCACTCTGGAAGGAATAATAAGTTATTCCTTCAATATCTAAATTAATAGATATTGTTGCAAGTTATCAACTGATATTAAAATAAGCTTTATTTGCACATAAGAGGAGGAATGCTTACCATAGATTTCAGGCTTCCTATTGCTTTTTGCATATTACCTTCAGATGTTCAATATTTATCCCATGCTCACTTCATTATATATAAATTTATACACTAATTTATTTAGATTTTATTGTGTGTATATACAAATTACAATACACAATCAAAATATTAGCTTCATACTAGATATTTTTACTATCTGTACTTCTGCTTTTTTCAGGCATTTAAAAATGAAGATGTGGAAAATCTAAGGCTCCCTTATTGGAAAGATGGTGTTAAAGTGATGGGCACTGGTGTTAGCTTGGTGTTAGAGATCCTTCGTCTAAAAGTGGCTGTTAAATTTGGAAGAACTGCCTTCAGTATCAACCTTCCATATAAGTACTTTGGAGGAAACACACAGGGTCATTGTGGTAAGAATGTCCTCTCAGAAAGCATCTGTACCCAGATATACAGATAGCATCTGTATACACCTTTCAGTTTGTATGGAGAAAATGACACTAGGACATTTTTTATAGGAACTTGCTCCAACAATCGAGATGATGACTGCAGATTGTCTGACGGTACAGTAGCAGAAAATTGCGGTGTGATGGCCGACGACTGGCTTGTGGAGAAAGATAAGGGAAAAACTGGCTGCATACCGAAACGTACTCCACAGAAAAAATGCGAATCAAATCCAAATTCTGTTTGTGAATTGCTTAAGGACCCAGCAGGGTATTTTACAAATCATCTTGATCTGTATCATTTTCTTCAGCTTTTTAAAAAGTCTTTTTACTAATGAATTATCATTTTCCACTTTAGTGCCTTTGCTGAATGCCATTCCCGGATCTCTCCAGAAAATTTCTACAGAGGATGTATTTTTGATAGCTGCTATGTTCACAACCGATCAGTGGAGTGCACAAGTTTGGAGACTTATGCTGCTGCCTGCGCTGAGATTGGAATTTGTATTGACTGGAGGAAGTTCACTAATATATGTGGTACAATATTTTTTCTCAATGTAGAAAATTCAAAATAAAAAAACACATTGTGTTTAGTTATCACTTCCTAGGCCTGGAATTTTACATTTTGTTTTCATATCTTTCTGTTCTTTCTGTTTGCTTTTTACCAATAGCCAGCAACTGTCCATCAGGCAAGATTTATAGATCTTGTGGACCTGCAGATCAACCAAGCTGTGAGGACAAGTGAGTTCTAAAAATAGTTCATTTTTTTGTTTTAGCATACAATTAACTAGCAAATGGAAAAAAGAAACACAGGAAAACTAAAGGAACAGTTAAATCAACCCGGTTATGTCACAATGATCCCCTTTAACTCAAAATTAGTTTGAGAAAAACTCAGGTGATCTTTATTAAAGGATGAAATAATATCACATTCAATAGATTAGAATATTAATCCACGTTCCTGTAACTCAGGAACTCAATTTACTCAGCAAAACACATTTATATAGATTTATTATTCTGAAAAATAATTGTAATTTCCACTATTTTCCATTGGGAGATTTTAAAACTAATTCTCAGATATAAATTCTTTGTCCCATTCAGATTAGATCTAAATTATGCCTTTGCTTTTACTTTATATTTTCCATTGGTATGAAATGCTAAGATCAGATGCAACATAAATAACAATTTTAACAATAAAACATGTTTTTTGTGTCTAAATCTTGCAGTCCTAACGATCCTGTCATGAACTATACTACTGAGGGCTGCTTTTGTCCTGAAGGAATGAAACTGTTCCGCAAAGAATCAAATATATGTGTTAAAAGTTGTGGTAAGTATGTAAGAACAATTCTGAACATCTGTTTCATAATTAAGATTCAACATCTTTGGTTCCTTTCATTTGCTTACATTCTGAGGCTGTTCATCAGTGTGTGCAATATGTTCACATTTATGTATTCAAAATATTTTGGTGATTATAAATACTGCTTTCATAGTTATTATAGTAACAGAGCTCAGTTTGTCTTTGAATGAACCAGTGTTTTATGTAAAATCCAAAAAGAGTGTAAACAAATAATTCACCTGCTTAACCAATCATTTGGGTTTCCTCTTCCCAACAAACTATTTCTGACATACAGTTTGCTTACAGCATTTTCAACTATCTGTCAGAGTACTTCTGGGGGATTGTGTCTTTCCTTGAGACATTTTAGGACGTATAAGAAAGCACATGAAGCAATAGTGTATATGTTTGCTATTTCTATGAAACTGTAAATCAAAACCAGTTTCTTTAAGTTCATAAATAAATGTTACTTTATTTATTTACTTTTTGCAGTGATTATATAAGTAAAAGAGTACCACATAGTTGAATCCAAATTAAAAGTAAATTATTCACTAAGCTATTTGGCAAGAGCATTAGCATATAGAGACAACAGAGAGACTCAAATAAATATGTTTGTGTTGTTTAAACAGGCTGTCTTGATCCCAATGGGCAGGCCCGTGAGGTAAGCCACACTTGATGTTCATGTACTGTTCTCTACTTCTTTTTTTATACATTTAAGCCAACATTATCTTCTCTTTTCAGTTCAACGAGACATTTGAATACAAATGTCAGACCTGTGTGTGTGACGAGTCCACCAAAACTGTGATCTGCAAGCCTAAGACGTGCCCACCCACTGCTTTACCAAGATGCATGGGTCCAGGATATGTTATTGTCAATCAAACTGATCCATCAAATCCCTGCTGCAATGTCCATGTTTGCCGTAAGACACAGTAAAGATGCTGATTATTGTTTGCTGCTCGTTAGTGTTTAAATTAGAAATAAACTAAGTTCTTCTTCTTTGTGCAAACAGAATGTCAGAGCCATGCTTGTCCGGAAATAAACATGAACTGCAATGTTGGCTTTATGCCAAACATCAGTATCCCAGAGGGAAAATGCTGTCCAGAACGTAGATGTGGTGAGTCAAAATCAATGTGGGCCAATGTGGGCCAGTGGATAAAAAATCCATTTGAGTGATATTTGTTTTTACATAAATGTCAACTTTCTTTCCTAGAACCCAAAAGAGTCTGTGTGCAAAATTATATTGAATATTGGGTAAGGGATATAGAAAATATATTGAAGAGATAAATATTTCCCTTTTAATATTTATTCATTGTTAGACTAAAATTTGCTGGCTAACAATGAATTTATGTGATTTCTCAGCCTGGTTCTTCTGTGCCTGGTCCAAAATGTGAGAACTGCTTCTGTTCCTCAAATTCTTCATCTGGTGGTCTGATGGAAATAAAATGCGAGAAGCAGCAGTGTGAAGACACATGCAGAAAGGTGAGGATGACAACGTAACATGTATGACAATGTATACATACATACATACTCAACTGGCCCTATATTTCCCAAAAGCCAGTTGGGAATGAAAATAATTGCAAATATTAATGTTTTACTGCCATCAATGTTATTGCATCAACATATATGGCTACCTGAATCAGAACAAGACAATATTCGATACTACAGTTGCCATTAAGTAAACACCAAAAGTGTTGTACATCATTCCTGCACAAACTGTAAAAAAATAAAACACATTCTCCACTAACAGAACAGATTAACAGAAAGGTTCATAACAGCGATTAAAATTTGCAGTTTCAAACGTTTTAAGATTCTCCACTTAACAGATAAAAATCTAGTTTTTACATCTGTTTGGACTACTTAAGATGTAAAATCCTGTTTTATTTATGTTAAAAAAAAAACATTTTGCAAAATGAACTGTTTTTTTAATTACATATTTTGATGAGTAATTTCCAGGAGCCACGTCCACGAGTCCCTCTGGCAATCTATGAAAAGTGTTTAGAATCTCCCGACAGAAACTAATAAGTTCTTTAAGAATGGTGGACACATTTTTTTTAATACTAAAGAAAGAAAAACACAGAAAATCATAATCTATACTGTTTTTAACAGTAATATTGCTATTACATATACATTATTTTCTGATATTGTGCAGCCTCCTTAAAACACTGGCATGTGTATCTAGCAAAAGTGCCTCTGCGAAGCATTAATGTGGGACTGGAAACAAATGCAGCCTTGACAAATTGTCTGATTTAGAAATAAAATATAAAAATTACATCACAAATAGTCACTACATTTGTTGTAATTTATTTTACAGCATACACAAAGAATATTTGGGGTGATAACATAAATGTTGAATGAGTTAATTTATAATTAACAGTTTTTATTATTATTATTATTTTACCATATGGATGCATTGAATTTGCTATTTTTTCTCTCAGGGATTTGAATATAAAAAATACAACGCAGATGATTGCTGTGGGAGGTGTGTGCAGACCCAGTGTGTGTTCATTGTTAATGGCAATGAGACACTCTTAAAGGTAAACCAAATCATCTGTGTGCATGGGTTTGTGTGTATGCGTGTGCATGTGCGTGTGTAGGTGTGTGTGTGTTTGTGTATTCCTTTCTCTAAGTGTAAAAAACCTAAGTATGTGGTTATCTGTGTGATAATTTTCAGGAAGGAGAAACCTGGTCACCACCTGAAAATAAATGTGAAAGTAAGACTTGTGTCAAGAATGGTGAGATTTTTACAGTCTCCAACAAACAGATCATTTGCCCACCATTCCAAGAGAGCAACTGCAAGAATGTAAGTACCTGGTTTAATGCATAAACCCACACTGGATCACATACAAAGAAAAATTCAAACCTTTTGTTGTTTTGTTTTCTATTCAGGACACAATTCAGACTGCAGCAAACGGCTGCTGCAAAATCTGTGAGCATGATTAATTTCTTTACTTTAGAGTTACAGATACTGAAACAAGCACAAAAAACTGACATTTTTCTTTCCTTTCACATTTTAAAAGGTGTAGAGAAAGAGAAGGCCTGCAGACTGGTTAACCAGACAACTCCTATCAACCACAATGGCTGTCAGTCTAAGTTGAATATGCCGTCATGTGAGGGATCATGCGACACTTTCACCAAGTAAGTATGACATTACGTTTAGTTTTGTCTTCCTCTGGAAAGTCATCAACCCATTTGTTAAGCAGTTGTGAAGCACTGAATGTGCTGATTGTTTCTGTCCTTGATCCTTTCAGGTACTCTGAAGCAGCAGGTGCTATGGAGCATTCCTGCTCCTGTTGTAAGGAGAGACGTGCCAGCAACCGCACCGTCACCCTGGCGTGTGAAAATAGTGCTGCGCACGTCCAGTTCACTTATGTGCATGTGGAGGAGTGCGGCTGTGGTCACACAGAGTGCACCACACCTGCTGCACTGCATGTTCGCAGAAAGCGACGCTTCACACTGCAGTGACAGAATGCTCTGTCCTCACATGTGGGATACAGATGTATCTCCAAGAATCATTTAATTAATCATTGAATCTCTATAAGGTATAGCATACTTTGTAGAGTTCATTTATCAGTTGATTGAATAAAAGCATGCATCTAAGTTTCAGTCTCTTGTCTAGTTATTTTGATTGTGGCAGTCATCACATATTCCCTACTTGCTTGTATATATTAATAATAATGAAATGTTTGAAAATTTACAATTTCAGAATAATATCATCAGTTGTTCTATGAACAATAAAAAAATCTTCTTCTCTATAAAACATTGACTCTTTACAGTCCTGCAAGGGTAAGCGTGCTCAATAATGGATGAATGGAAATAAAACATATATAAGAGATACACTTTTTCCCAATCTGATCATTCATTCGGTCATCAAATTTAATTAGTCAATTTTGCGGGGCCTGACCTCTTTACCTACACTAGGAATCCTAATTGCCCACAAAGACCAATCCATGACGATACAATTTCCTTTGTTTCTCTTCCAAAATAAAACTTCAGGAGATCACGGTGAATGTGTGAAAAGATTATGTAAGAAGAGACGTGGCAACAACCGCACTGTTACTCTGGCATATTAAAACACACCATCTTCAAATGCAGATTTATCTCCAAGAATCATTTAATTAATCATTAAACTCTTCAAAATAACTGATATTGTGGAGTTCATGTATCAGTTGATTGAATAAAAAGATGCAAGTGAAATCATGTCTGTCTTTTCTTATTTTGCTTTGGCCAATTATTTCAGTTAATTCTTGCTTTTCTTATTTATTAGAAAAAGTACAATTCATTATTTCTGAACAATAATATCATAATTGCTTCACAAACACAAATCAAAGTTTAAGTCTACTGCTCGATATGAAATTATTTGCTTAATGGTCAGGTTGGGCTCTGCCTTCTCTTCTGTGGTTTGTATGGAATAGTCCTATAACAAAACAGTCCAGAGTACTTGATATAAAGTTGTGTGAATCTACTTATTAGTCTAGGAGAAGGTAATTTACCCTGCTGAGAAAAGAAAGAAAAGGTGCAGAAGTTAATTAGACTGTAACAAGCACATTGCACTGTACAACGTGCAGTGTGATATGCACGTTGTAGACTGGGGGCAGTGTACAATGAATGCACTGCCCCAGTCTTATCCTTCACACAACCCAGATGATTTGCACTTGACTCACCCTGTGGTTATTGTGGAGCCCCATAAGGAATATGGGGGGATTTTTCTTTTGCATTGTCTCACACAAGTATTGCATTTCTCCACAATACTTGTGTGGTACTTTACCAACGTTTTGTATTCCCTCATACAGAAGTTATGCATTTCCTTGCAATAATGCATCTACTCATCCAGCAGTTCATGCAGCATTTTGAATAGTGAAAGTTTTTTTTTTCTGCCATATAAGGGCTTTCCCTGAATGTTAGTATCTCATTTGTGAGACATCTGATGATGATGTTTTTGGATACAAAAATATCAATCACTTTTGACACATTTGACATATAGATATTTTGTCTGGTTGCTGTTTCAACAGCAACGAGACAAAGCACTCACTTCTGTGTGTGAACTCCAGTTCTAAGAAAATCCTGTCAAATGTTGTGTTCATCTGACATGATGCTGATGTATTTACAAATAGACATCACTCAAAAACAAAAAAAAATCTGAATAAACACAAGACCAAACATTCTTCTCAAGGATTTAGTAATGGGCAGAATAATTCTAGGTTTTCTTAATTCAGTTGCTTAGGTCCTAAACTAATAGACCCATACCATCACTCTCACCTGAAATGCTGAGATATTTTTTACAACATATTTAACAAAACCAACCGGCAAAAATTTTATTAAACATTATCAAAACTTACATAGGAGGATCATGACCAGAGGATACTGTCATTGAAAAAATTTCTGTCATTGATCCAGATAATATTGTCCCAAAAGTCTTGTGGACCATGAAGATTTTTTTGGCAAATAAGAGAATTGACTTTGTGTTTGTTTTTGGTCAGCACTGCTTCTCACCAATTACCTTCCCCAGATCCTACTTGATGAGTCTTATTGTTGACTCATGAACACTGATCTCAACTAACACAAGCTTAGAAGGTTTTATCTGTTTGTAGAAAATGACTGCATCTGGTTTGCTGAACTTTCTGTTTTAACAATTGCATTGTAACCTTTTGCAGAATTATATTTCTTTGCTTATTTAACCCTCCTGCAATCATAGCTGGATGCTCAGAAACAGTGAGACAGATGTCATAGTCTGAAAATGGGAAAATAACAGGGTTGTCCTGTCAACCTGTCAGATCTCAAAATCACAGAAAAAAGAAAAAGAAACTTGTAAAAGTGCCCATGGTGTCAGTTTTACCTTTTCAAAATGGTAAGGAGGAACAATGGGCAGGGTTGAAAAATCAGTCAGTTATTGTTAAAAGGGAAAAGCATATTAATAGACATGAATATTTAAATTCATTGCAATGTGCAAAACTTAGATGAGACAAATGTTCTACAGTACCAGGTAGGTTTATGGTTTAGAAAAAGGTCTATGTGCTATTCTTCAGTTTTGTCTGTAAAGTATTCTAAGTATGAACTGCTTAAAATAACTTTTCCTACAAGAGATCCAACAGTATCCTCTGGTCATAATCCTCCTGTGTAAGTTTTGATAATGTTTAATAAAATTATTCAAAACAGCAATTTTCAGCTATCTTTTGTGATTTCTACAACAATCCAAATGAATGCAAGTGGCACTACTCCAGCTATCCTCCAACGCACTACACGCCATGTTTGAACTGCAACCAAACTGTGCTAAGACTCGAAGGTGAGATGTTCATTTAACCTACTTTACATTAAAGCTATAAATTCGGCTGATTAAACTTTTGAAGTTTAATTAGCAAAAGATTAAATTTATGGTATCAGAAATTAATATTTTTTCCAAAGGCTGTTATCCTGAATGTCCAGAAGAGAAACAATGGTTTGATGAGAAGAAACAGCAATGTGTTGAAGTATGTGATGTGGAGACATGTGTTACAACTCCAAACAACACTACAACTCCACGACCAACTACAACCATTACATCAACTGAATCTACAACTACACCTACTACAACAACTACAACCACTAAAACTACAACCATTACATCAACTGAAACACCAACTACTACAATTACAACCACTACAACTGAAACACCAACTACTACAATTACATCAACTGAAACACCAACTACAACCATTACATCAACTGAAACTACAACTACACCACTACAACTACAACTACAACTGAAACACCAACTACTACAATTACATCAACTGAAACACCAACTACAACAACTACAACCACTACAACTGAAACACCAACTACTACAATTACATCAACTGAAACACCAACTACAACGACTACAAGCACTACAACTGAAACACCTACTACCATCACTTCAACCGCAACCACTGCTCCATGTACTCCTGGTTGTAAATGGTCAAAATGGTTTGATGTACATAATCCAACCACAGATAAAAATGACATTGAAACATATGACAACATCAGACACAATGCCAAGAAAATATGCGATAAACCTGAACAAATTGAATGCAGAGCAACCGAAAATCGCAACAAAACCCTAAGTGATTATTTGAATGAAACTGGATAAAGGGTGACCTGTGATGTTAACAGTGGACTAATATGTAAAAAAGAAGACCAGCCAAGACCATACAAGTTTTTTAACTATGAGATACGTGTCTGTTGTAGCACTTGTACCCCCACACCTGGACCGTCAACTAGTACAGCAATCACCACTACAACTAAAACACCAACTACAACCATTACATCAACTGAATCTACAACTATATCCACTAAAACAACTACAACCACTACAACTGAAACACCAACTACAACCATTACATCAACTGAAACTACAACTACACCCACTACAACAACTACAACCACATCAACTGAAACACCAACTACAACCATTACATCAACTGAAACTACAACTACACTCACTACAACTACAACTACAACTGAAACACCAACTACTACAATTACATCAACTGAAACACCAACTACAACCACTACAACTGAAACACCAACTACAACCATTACATCAACTGAATCTGCAACTACACCCACTACAACTACAACCACTACAACTGAAACACCAACTACAACCATTACATCAACTGAATCTACAACTACACCCACTACAACAACTACAACCACTGCAACTACAACTGAAAGACCAACTACAACCATAACATCAACCACTACAACAACTACAACATCAACTAAGACATCAACTGTCCCCTCTACTACGTCAACTGAAACACCAACTCCAACCACATCACCTCACACCAATGGCTGTCCTGACTGGGATAAAATGGTATGCTATTTTACTTTTTTTCATATACTGTTTGGTGTCAGTAATTATTGTAATGTTCTTAAAGTCCTGTTTCTGCAATTCATACATGCAAGGTCCAATTAATTATCTGCTCTTCTCTTTTAGGCAAATGAAACATTTCAGTTTTGCAACTGTACCATGGCCAAATGTATTGGAAATAACACAGTTAAAATAGTTCCCTATGAATGCCCGCCGATACAGAACATAACTTGTACTAATGGCAAAAAACCTGCTGTCAACATTATGTGTGTGACTGTGAGTACATTGGTTAAAAACTATATGAAATGTACACCAATAAGCCATAACATTATGACCACTAACCACAAGTAAAAAGCAAGTTACAAAGAGCATAGGCCAAAGAGTTATAACATGCAATAGCAAATTTGGCAGTCCTCGACTCAACATTATTAGTTGTTCTCTGTCTTTTCCATGTGAAAAGGACATTTTGTTGACAATTCATAAAAAGTTAAATTTATGAAGGTGATAATATTGTGGCTAATCATATGTTACATATGTCCTATTTGAAATTAAGTCAAAATTTTATGTCACTGCAGGTGAATGCGAAGGATGGGGAGATCCTCATTATATTACATTTGATGGCAAATACTACAGTTACCAAGGAAACTGCAGTTATCACTTGATGAAAGAAATTACACCAATGTATCACTTAGAGGTTCAAATTGACAATGTCAATTGTGATCCCACTGAAGATGTTTCCTGCCCTCGATCTTTG